GTGTCGGGTAGAGCATGGATATTGTAGTCACCATAGAAGCCAGGCACAGCTCTTGGGAGGCACCATAGAAACAGCTGATGGAATTACCACCCTCTTCCCCTCCAATTGCTTTCACCAAGGATGATGGGGGTTGTTGTAGCCCATCAGAAAAGACGGCCAAAAGGACCACAATGGAATATTATCACCCCATTGGCTCAAAAATCATCCCGTCTGGGGATAATGGAGCCTGTAGTCCAGCAGAGATTGAAATCCCAGATTGCAGGGACAGCAGTGCCCAACTCGCTCAACTTCTGCATTTACTCCAGGGTAAACCTGCCACACACAACGGCTTTCTTTGCAGCTGTCTTAACAATTTCCATTTCACTAATCATGGCTTAACACAGCCACCAGCAAGGCAGTTCTGCAGACAAACCACCATTCCCCAACAAGGATCCAAGAAGTTAACTTCTCTCTTCCTTTCCATCAAAACTGGGCAAACCAAATCCACATCTTTGCTATCAGGGAAGCTGCAGAGCCAGTCCTCAAGTTCAACTGGCTAGTTTGATTTTCCCACCCACCACCCTCAATTTACCGTATTTTTCAGAATATAAGATGCACCTTAGTTTTTGGGGAGGAAAATAAGAAAAAAGCTGATTGGCCGGTGGATCAGCCTCCCGGAATATCCCCAATCAGCTGTTCCAGAGGTGAATTTTACCAACAGATTCCTTGGTTGTGAGCTCTGTGCCTTGTTTTTTGTTTTTGTTTTTGCTTTTTTTTTCTGCCTCTGAAACTTCTGAAACTCCATTTCAGAAAAAAACTTTTTTTCCTGCCTCTGAAAGCCTCCGAAACAGAGCTTCAGAAAAAAAGCCTCTGAAGCTCTGTTTGGAGGCTTTTTTTCTGAAGCTCTGTTTGGAGGCTTTTTTTTCTGAAGCTTTATTTCTGATGCTTTTTTCAGCCTCTGAAAAAAGAAATTTGAGAAGCTGGGCGGGGCTGCATTCGGAGTATAAGACGCACCCAGATTTTCACCCTCTTTTTTGGGGGGGGAAAGGTGTGTCTGAAAAATACGGCAACTTCCTTTCTCATCTCGCCCCCAAAAGAAGAACATCAACAAAACACCAACGCTTCTCTGTTTTTATTTGCCTCACAAGAGAATTTCTGGGGTGGTGGGGTTTTTTCAGGGGGTGAACAGGTAGCTCAGATGGCTTTGCAAATCTTTTTCATACACTAAAGGGGAGGGAGGGATAGGAGTTGAGGATAGGAGGGGGGAGCAACAAAGTGAGAAGGAAAAAAAACAACCGACAGCATCTGAAGCGAAGGCAGCAAAAAAATGGTTTACAGTATAATTCGAAGAGGGGGGGGGTGTTCTCCATTCCCAGGTCCCCAGCAATGAGAAGCTGAGCGAACCGTCCTTGCCTTGAGACCCTCCCCACAAGCACCCCCATGTTTCTTGAAAAGCAACAGCTGGAGAGAAAGGAGGCATGGGGAGCGGAGAGAAAAGATTTACAGGATTGCAAACATTGAACCATTTCCGTCAGCTGCCCTTCCTTTGCTACGACGCAGGCGCTAAGGGGGAAGAGGGGACTAAACGTATTCCTCTAATGAGCCTCGTGTCCTGGGACAGCCACGTTTTTTTTTTTTTAGTTGACTCGGGGGTTCCTGAAATTCCTGCCGGCAAAACGGGCCTTGCTCCCCAGCTCCTCTTCAATTCTATAGGAGGAAGGAAAAAAAAACAAAGAAAACCGTTTTTTTTTAAAGCCCCCACAGCAAGAAATACAGGCAGTCCTCGGACTTACGACCACAAGGGAGCCCCAAATCTCTGCTGCTAAGCCAGACTATTGTTAAGTGAATTCTGCCCCGTTTTACGACCGGATTTGCTTGGGTGAATCGCTGCAATTGAGAATTGTGAAAGATGGTCATAAGCCATTTTTTTCAGCACCGTTGTAACTTCGAACAGTCACTAAACAGAATGTTGTAAATCGAGGACTACCTGTAGATAGCCCACAAGTAAAATATGGGGGGGATCATCGCATTGACCAATATGGGGGGGGGATCATCGCACTGATCAAGTTGCATTGACAATTTAGCAATATTTCCCCAACTTGGCCAGTTTAAACAGGGTGGACTTCAACTCCCAGAATTCCCCAGCATTACATCACTTCCTGCAGAGTTGTTAGAGGACCACTTATTCTCATTAGCCTGAGCTCACCTGCCTGCATTAAGGAAGGGGAAAAATTAAAATGGGAAGATTTATTTCTTTTATTTGTGTTTCGTTATTTCTAAACCACCCATCTCCCTCAAAAGATGGGCTCCTCCGGCAGGGGGCAATTTAATACAACTGATAAATAAAAGAACTTATTAAAAAAAAACTTACCGTTCAAATTAAATTAGGTTGAACGCTTTTAAAATTATAGAACAAGGACAATAAAGATCAAAGGCAGAAAATAAAAAATATTACTCGATGGGAAGAAAAGCAGTTGTTTTCTTTTTCAATTTTCCGTCTTATTTTGAAATCTTTATTCTTCTGTACTTTGTTGAATATTTAAATTAAAAACGATTTCTTCTGCAAGCGCTATTGATGCATTGAACAGAACTTGGCCATTTTACAAGAACCCAGAATTTAGAGGACAATTCAATTTAGGGAATAATTCAAATCTTTATTACGGCCACAGGTCATAGATGAAAAGGAAGATGTTGCCCTTTGACCCCCCAAAAGAATCTGGCCATAAAAACTGCCCTTACCTTAGAAGTTGATTGTATTTAGCTAGACGTTCGGATCGGCAAGGAGCACCAGTCTTAATCTGAGAAAAGAAAATTAGTATGAGCCTACAAGGAACCGAGAACTCACAGCCAACGGCGTCATTTTGAGCCTTGGTGGCGCAGCAGACTAAAGTGCTGTTAAGTAACACCAGCTGCCTGCAATTACTGCGAGTTCGAATCTCACCAGGCTCAAGGTTGACTCAGCCTTCCATCCTTTCTAAGGTAGGTGAAATGAGGACCCGGATTGTGGGGGCAATAAGCTGACTTTGTATAAAAAAGAACACCGCTTATAGGGGGGTCCGAAAGCCCTACTAAGCAGGTATATACAAAAGTAGGAAGGCTATTGCTTAACGCATTGTAAGCCGCCCTGAGTCTCCAGAGAAGGGTGGCATATAAATCGAACCAATAAATAAATAGATAGATGATAGATAGATAGATAGATAGATAGATAGATAGATAGATAGATGATAGATAGATGATAGATAGATAGATAGATAATGTTTCATGTGACAAAAAAGACTCCTTAGCCAGGATCTAACCAGCTTCTCCAACAAGCCACAGAATTATCATTCTCATAACAATACACCAACGTTTCGCAGTCATTTTGAAGATGTGTGGACTTCAACTCCCAGAATCCCACCAGCCAGTTTAGCTGGCTTGGGGAAAGGGGGGGGGGATTCTGGGAGTTGAAGTCCACACATCTTCAAAATGGCTGCCGTTCAATGCTGCAGGACATCCCATTCACACAAAGCCCGCAACAAGCTTTCCGCATCGTGGCTTGTTTCGCAACCCACCATTGGTCATATGAAACAATACTGCCCAATCTTCCTTCCGGTATTTCCTTCCCGCTCTTCCTCTCCCCGTGCACCCTTTAGGCCGATGCACGACCCCAACCTCCCCCCACATTCTTCCAGCAACCTTTGGGGCAGGTAAACTCCTCACCTGTCCTGTGCAGAGACCAACCACCAAGTCGGCAATGAAGGTATCTTCCGTCTCTCCGGAGCGATGGCTCACCATCACCCCCCATCCGTTGGACTGAGCCAGCTTGCAGCTAAAAAAAAAAGGAAAGGGAAAGGAGACCACAGGGTGATTTTCCAACCAGCAAGCAAAGATCAAAACCAGGGGCTGGGTGACTTTTCCCTGAATTTGAATTCGATGCTACTGTGTCCTCTTTCCTCGAAAAGGAAAGCAGGCTCAACTCGTTTATCGACTTCGGTCGCTATACAAATAGGTTGCACGTGAAGGATTTACCTGTAATTCATTCCATTTCACGTTTTGTACATCCCGAGAGATATTTTCTCTCTAAACCTTGATTTAATGCCTTGAGTCACGGGTGTCAAACTCGAGGGCTGCAGGCCACATCCGGCCCCCTGGATGCGGGGCCGCCCTGGAAACAGCCAAGGACCAACCGGCGGTGTCTCTGCCAGCAAAAACGGAGCTCGGGAGGGCCGCGTGCTTTCACTGGCAGAGGGTTGCAGGAAGACATCACAGCCGAAAACTGAGTTCGGGAGCCCGTTTTCACTGGCAGAGCCCCCAAACGAGTGATGTCGAGCTGGCCACAGTCATCCTGGCCATGCCCCCCCCCCCAGCCCCACAATGTCAAACACAACCCTGATGTGGCCCTCAATGAAATCCAATTTCAACCTTCTGCCTTGAGTATTCACTAAACGAACAATTGTTGTAAGTCGAAGATCACCTCTGTTCTCATTTATGAATCCCTTTCCTCCCGCCCCACCAGATCTCTGGAGTTTTGCAACATCCCGTCTGCCTCCCCCACAGGGGCTCCGCTAAACCTCCGGATGGAAGACTTACGCCTGCAGCGACTCGGTGACGGAGCCGATCTGGTTCACTTTGAGGAGAAGACAATTGCACGACTTCTCCTGCACAGCTTTGCTGATGCGTTTGGGATTGGTCACCGTCAGATCGTCACCCACCACCTGGATCCCGGCTTCGGCCGTGAACTTCTTCCAGGCTGGCCAATCATCCTGGTCGAAGGGATCTTCGATGGAAACCACTGAGGACGACAAAGGGGGGAGAAAGAGACGGAGCTGAGATGGAGCTGACTGGGCACCAATGATCTCTGGGAATGCAGCTGTCGGGGTTCCAAGGAACACCCCCAACGAAATAAAGCTCTGAGGTTCCAATTTATTAAGGATGTCATGTTGGCACATCTGGGAAAACCCGAATCTGAATGCTTCCAGGTTTCCTCCACCCAGCTAACAGTTCACAGCCCTGCCCTACGCCCACAAGTTCATCACATTGTCCAATCAACTCTTCACACTCCGCCGGATACAATCTTCAGGCATTCTCCATCAGACGCAGGCAAAAGTCCTTGAATACGGAATGTTGTTATGACTAACTTTCTACCCCTCCCAACTTCCCCAGTCCTGGAGTCTTGGGAAGGCTCTGATGAGAGCTCTGCGTCGGAGGCAGAGAGGGGGCCAGGGCCGTCTTGACAGTTGTCAGCTGCCTTCGGAGTCGGACATCAGTGGGGCAGAAGAACAGCTGGAGCCTGTTCCCAGTGTGAGCTGCCAGGAGAAGGGAACAGCTAAAGAACAAGGGTCGACTCAGGAGTAAAGCCACAGGTGGACGATGAATGGCCCCTCCCAGAGGGAATAAAAGAGGAGCGAAAGGGGAGTGAAGTTTGCAGGAGAAAATTAGTTCATTCCTGCATTCTTGCCAATGAAAGATATCGGCCTGGCCACTCTCCAAGCCTGATAAAGTTCGGTCATTGTGAACTACCTTGAAAGACTGTGGGAGAGGAGAGACTTTTGCTGGAGAGGAATTCACTGTAAATTAAATAAAAGGGGTTTATCAGGACGAGGACTCAGCTTTGTGCTGCTGGGGAAGCTTAGGGCAGAACAATTCCTCTGCGGCTGCCCTTAAGAGGGGAAGGCTCTGAATTCGAAACATGCTAACACAGCATACACACCTGGGTAGTTTTTGACAAAGCTCTTGTACAGGTCAGCCAGCTGATCGGGAGAGATGTATCGGCTAGGATCATCCGGGGATTTGAAATCCAGGTCATATTTCCCTTCGCGGTAAAACTCAGAAGCCGCCACGTCCATTCCGATGACGATCTTATCCGTGTAGCCGGCCTTGCTAATGGCATTCTTCAGCAGCTCCAGAGCTAAAGAAGCAGACAAGCAGAGTCACTGAGTAAACAAGCCAATTAACAAGCAATTAAGCAAAAGAGCGATCGAGGTCTATCTGCTTTCCTAAGGACACACGCCAGCGTAAATTGGCATACCTGCAAAATCTGTGTTTCTCAAAACTTTGCAAATTTGAAAAAGATGTGGACTTCAACTCCCAGAATTCCCCACCCAGCACGAGGAATAAATTAAATTTATAATAAATTTAAAATAAATTGTGTTATAAATTCTGGGAGTTGAAGTTCACTCATGCTGGTTGGGAAATCCTGGGAGTTGAAATTCACTCATGGTGGCTGGGGAATTTTCGGAGTGATACTTGCTAGGGAATTCTGGGAGTTGAAGTCCACTCATGCTGGCTGGGGAATTATGGAAGTGAAGTTCACTAATGCTGGTTAGGGGATTCTGGGAATGAAGTCCACTCATTCTGGCTGAGGAATTCTGGGGAGTTGAAGTTCACTCATGCTGGCCGAGGAATTTTGGGAGTGATACTTGCTAGGGGATTCTGGGAGTTGAAGTGCACTCATGCTGGCTGGGGAATTATGGAAGTGAAGTTCACTAATGCTGGCTGGGGAATTATGGAAGTGAAGTCCACTCATGCTGGCTGGGGAATTATGGAGTTGAAGTCCACTCATGCTGGCTGGGGAATTATGGAAGTGAAGTCCACTCATGCTGGCTGGGGAATTATGGGAGTTGAAGTCCACTCATGCTGGCTGGGGAATTATGGAGTTGAAGTCCACTCATGCTGGCTGGGGAATTATGAAAGTGAAGTCCAGTAATGCTGTCTAGAGGATTCTGGGAGTTGGAAGTTCATTCATGCTGGCTGGGGAATTCTGGGACTTGAAGTCCACTCATGCTGGCTGCGGAATTCTGGGAGCTGAAGTCCCCTTACTGACTTTGAGAAACGCTCACTGCTTTAAAACCTAACCAACTCCACGCAAAGCCGATTTTACCTTCCTTGTTCTCCAGGATGTTGGGGGCAAAGCCTCCTTCGTCACCCACGTTGGTGGCATCCTTGCCATATTTCTCCTTGATAACATTCTTCAAGTTGTGGTACACTTCCGCCCCGATCCTCATGGCTTCCTTGAAGCTTTCTGCCCCGACAGGAAGGATCATGAATTCCTGCATAGCCAACTTGTTCCCAGCGTGAGAGCCACCGTTGATCACGTTGAAAGCCTTCGGAGACACCAAGGACCCCACAACAGTGGTTTAACCCACAAAACCAGAGATCCAGCGTAAAACCAATTCAAGCTTCTAGTGACTAGAATCTAGTCCGTAACACTCCCCAACAGTCTTGTCTAACTAAACCAGGGAGGGGCAGGGTGGGGCGGGGCCAGTCAGGAGTGGGATTTGGGGGTTCTCTGAACTGCACAGAATCTTAGCTAGAGGTTCTCCCGAACCCCTGCAAACCCACCCCTGACTGAAGGGGTCTGTGGGGATTCTCAGTCATCCAGATCATGATTGTCCCAAAGGTGTCTTTTTCAAGAAACCACTGGACTTCCTTTGTTTTTTCCTTGAAAACGTTTCCCTTCTCATCCGAGAAGCTTCTTCCGTTCTGACTGAATGGCGGGCAGGAATGGAATATAAATCTTTCCAATCTCCACCGGCCAGAACTTTCGATGCAAACCCCAGACCCAAAGGTGTTTGTTTTTTTTTCAAGAGGACGCTAAACTTTCTTTTTCCTTGAAGACATTTCGCTTCTCATCCGAGAAGCTTCTTCCGTTCTGACTGATGGGAGAATGGAAGGGTTTGTTATTCCATTTCCCCGCCGTTCAGTCAGAAATTGAAGAAGCTCCTCCGATGAGAAGAGAAACGTCTTCAAGGGAAAAAAAACCCCAAAAAAGTCCTTTTGAAAAAGCACCTTTGGGTTTGGGGTTTTTTTGCATCCAAGGCAGACATTTTCCATTGCGGCAAACTTGTGGAATTTTATTTTTAAAAAAATGAAAACTCACCGCAACCCCCAATCGATCCCCATATTCTACAGCCTAAAGGGGGGAGGGGGGAAAACCTTCCCACAAGGGCCTGGTGGCTCAGCAGACTGATAGCATTGTGATTAACACCAGTTGTCTGCAATTACTGTAAGTTCGAATCCCACCAGACTCAAGGTTGACTCAGCCTTCCATCCTTTCTAAGGTAGGTTAAATGAGGACGCAGATTGTGGGGGCAATAAGCTGACTTTGTATAAATATACAAAAGTATGAAGGCTATTGCTTAACGCATTGTAAACCGCCCTGAGTCTCCGGAGAAGGGCGGCATATAAATCAAATTTAAAAAAAAAAAAAAACCAAGAGAGAATAAAATCCTCCACAAAGGATTAACGGATTCCTGCATTCACGCTCTCAAAGATTTGATTTGCAGCTTCACTTCCGACACAGGGTCGGCCATCCACACGGGCACAGCAAAATAAACTTACCGGCACCGGCAAAACAACTTCTTTGTTTCCTGCCAGATCAGCAATGTGACGATACAGGGGCACCTCCTTCTCCGCCGCACCAGCCTTGCACACCGCAAGAGACACACCCAGGATTGCGTTTGCACCAAATTTAGCTGCCGTAAAGAAGAGAGAGAGAGAGAGAGAGAGAGAGACAGAGACAGAGACAGAGACAGAGGGAAATAAATAAATAAATAAATATTATTTGCTTGCAACCAGTTCTCACAACACAAGTTGCTGCCTCTCAAATTATTTTTCACCTCTGGCATTGTTTAGCCATAGCAATAGCACTTTTAAGACTTATATACCGCTTTGCAGCCCTCTCTAAGCGGTTTATAAAATCAGCGTATATTGCCCCCAACAATTTGGGTCCTCATTTGACACACCTCGGAAGGATGGGAGGCTGAGTCAGCCTTGAGCCAGTCGGTCAAGATCGAACTGCTGACAGTGGGCAGAGTTAGCCTGCAGTACTGCATTCTAACCACTAGGAGGGAGGGAGCAAGAGCCCTTAGACTTATATATCACTTCACAGTGCTTTACAGCCCTCTCTAAGCAGTTGACAGAGTCAGCCTCTTGTCCCCAACAATCTGGGTCCTCGTTTTACCCACCTCGGAAGGACGGAAGGCTGAGTCAACCTTGAGCCTGATGGGATTCGAACTGCCAAAATTGCAGGCAGCCAGCAGCCGGCAGAAGTAGCCTGCAGTACTGCACTCTAACCACTGCGCCACCGTGGCTCGTTTTAACATGAAAACGAGCAGGATTATGCTATTTTGGGCTGGAATAATTTTTTTCCTTTTTCTATCTCTAGCTCTGCCCCTTTCAAAATTAAGCCAGACGTATCTTTGGCTCCAATTAAATCCTTTGATGCAAACCCCAGACCCAAAGGTGTTTTTTTCAAGAGGACACTGGACTTTCTTTTTCCTTGAAGACGTTTCGCTTCTCATTCAAGAAGCTTCCTCAGCTCTTGAAAAAAGCATCCCGAATGACTTGAGAATCTCCATAGACATTTACTAATAAATACCTAATTAAGTCACAATAATAAATAACTATAGTCAAAAGTTTCCACTAACAGCAGAGGTGGACAGCTAGGAGATTTGAGTGGCAAATCTCGGTTTCTCTCTCATTGCTAACCCTTTGAATGCTCCAAACAGCAACCTAGTTCTTTGCCGAGGATTGTGTCAGGGGGCAGGAAAACACAAGTGTGTTATCATTAAAATAATTTCAAAATAATTTTCTTCCCTCCCCCCACCCCCCATATGCAAGGGTGTGGCTCTTTTACTTACACTTGTTCTCAGATCCATCCATGTCAATCATCAGCTTGTCAATCTTTTCCTGTTCCACCACATTTACATTCTGCAGAGGGGCAGGGAAGAGAGAGAGATGAGAATCCAATCATAGTTTAGCATATGATCCCCAGTCCATAAGTTTCCCTCACTCCCACACAGGTTTCATTGTGGCTTCTAATTCTAGGTTGTGAATTAAAGTGTATAAAACAAGAATCCTTAGCTTAAAATAGGGAGGAGGGGATCAGACTTCAACTCCCAGAATTCCCCGGCCAGCAAAGCCAGGGATTCCAAACTTAGCAACTTTAATAAGACTTGTGGACTTCAAATCCCAGAATTCCCCAGCCAACATAGCCGGGGACTCCAAACTTAGCCACTTTAATAAGACTTGTGGGCTTCAACTCCCAGAATTCCCCAGCCAGCATAGCCGGTGACTCCAAACTTAGCAACTTTAATAAGTTGTTGCTTTTTATGACCCCTCGTTTGGTGGCTTGCATTGCAGTACAGATAGTCCTTGCCTTACAACCATTCGTTTAGTGACTGTTCAAAGTTGTAACGACATTGAAAAAAAGCGACTCGTGACTAATTTTCACCCTTACAATGGCAGCATTTCCCAGCGTTGCATGATCAAAATTCAGAGGTTTGGCAACCGATGCGTATTTATGACGGTTGCCATGTCCCGGGGTTATGTGATTTCCCCCATTTTACGACCTTCTGATAAACAAACACAACGGGGAAACCAGATTTATTTAACAACCACTTTGCCAACTTAACCACTGCAGCGGTTTACTTAGCAACAGTGGCAAAAAAAGTCCTAAAAGGGGACAAAATTCACTTAACAACTGTCTGGCTTAACAGTGGGAACTTTTGACTCAATTGTGGTCGTAAGTCGGGGATTACCTGTAGGGGAGGGAAATCATCCAGTCCTCGGAGAAATGGTCCGGGGGATGCTTACCTTGCAAAATCTACAATTCTTTTACATTAAAACTTTTTGTACAGGAAGTCCTCGACTTATGACCAGAAATGAGCCCAACATTTGTTGTTAAGTGAGACATTTAAGTGAGTTTTGCCTCGTTTTCTTTTTTTTTTAGGTAGGTGACGTGACTAGAAGTTAGGTAGGATAGAAAGAAAACATTTTTTAATATAAAGGGTTGATATAAATTAGAATAAGCGATAGAAATAAGGGGGAATATTAATGTATACACTTTTATACAGTAAAATAAAATCAATAACAAGAGGAAATATGGAATAATTGAATGATGATAGACTGTAACTTAATAGAAGTGTGTATTATTAGAAAAGTTGATTGAATGTAATAACTATGATTAATTTTACTAGTTTTATTTGTAATAGAATGCATGGCACCCACTGTTCACGCATTGATGTTTGTAAAAATATAAAAAAAAACTTGGGGGGGTAGAAGTGAGTTTTTCCTCATTTCATGACCTTTCTTGCCACCGTCGTTAAGTGAAGCACTGCAGTTGGTAAGATAGTAACCCGGTTGTTAAGTGAATCGGGCTTCCCCATTGACTTTGCTTGTGAGAAGGTCGCCAAAGGGGACACAGTGTAAATCAGGGGTCAGCAACCTGCGGCTCTGGAGCCGGATGTGGCTCTTTCACCCGTGCTGCGGCTCCATCACTCAAAATATGCGTCACAACCGCTAATGTGCGACACGTTATTTATTGAGCTTTTCAATCCCTGGTAGGCCAACCATGGACAAATCCAAGAAAAGTTTCAGAAGAAAACAGAACATTTAATTCAACGACATATGCTAGTTTTATGTCCGTTCAAGAAAAGGGTTTTTGTGGCTCCCGGTGTTTTCTTTTCTGTGGGGAACGGTGTCCAAATGGCTCTTTGAGTGTTTAAGGTTGCAGAGCCCTTGGTGTTAAGTATTAACCAGTTGCCAATCATCTGAATTTTAATCCCAAAATCATGGGGATGCTACAAAAAGCTTGTAACTGGAGTAAAACCAGTCCTAAATTACTTTGCTCCGTGCCGTTGTAACTTTGAACGGGTCACTAAACGAACAGTTGTCATCCGAGGACTATCTGCATTCGAATTTTTGAGCATAAAACTGACAACATCCCGCTTCAGCCCCACCGCCTTTCCCAAATCGTGCGAGGTGCTCAGGTTTAGCGACACACTTCCCCCCCCCCCCAAAAAATACAAGTGCTTTGCTCCTTCGGACCTCCTTGGAAACACACACAGGCCCCCGTGCACGAAGGATTAAAAAAAAAAACTGCTGCACACAGCACTCAGCCTACACTACAGGGTTAGCGTAAGGGGGAAGCATGCCTACCTTGTTAACCAGAGCGGGTGCAATTGTTTTATTCACATGCTCAACAGCCTTTGAGACACCTGGAAGGAACAACCAAGATCCATCACTAAACCCCCCCCAAAAAAAACTCAAGGAAAAACAGGCATTAGTAAAAGACGGCTCGGGGGACGGGCTGGCAGGCCGGCCATTTAGAATTTCAGTCTCCTAGTCCTCAAGCCAAAAGATCCAAGTGTGCGTGGTTGTTAAAATCCCCTTTTTCTGAACAATTGCGGAGAAGAAGCGTCATTCAGGAATGCCAGCGAGGAGGCCAGCCGCCAAATCATGCAAGATGGCAGCACCCCGGCCACAAGTGTGCATCGGTTACCTGAGTGCACAGCGCTGGTGCCAGGAACATATTAACGTACTTAACGGCTCTGGAGACACCTGAGGGGGGCACCGAGTTTGTGGAGAGAAGGAGTGAAGAGAGAGAGGGGGGAAAGAAAGAAAGGATGAATGCCCACAAAAGGAAGACAAAAAAAAAAAAGCACTTCATGCATGGAAAAGAGAGGGAGCACGCATGAAATGCACAGCGAGAGAGAGAGACCCCTGGGACAGAGAGAGTGTATCTTGATAACAGCGTAACCTGACTTTTTAAGTTTTGAACTGGGGAACGTGGAACGAAACTCAAATCGCGCTGAACGGACCTGCCGCAGATATTCACAAGAAGTCAAACCACGGTTCCGTGTTACAAAAACGGCGGCTTCGCGTTTCTTCCTGAATGGACCGCCTAATACCCTGTTTCCCCCAAAATTAAGACACCCCCTGATGATAAACCCAATCAGGCTTTTGAGCGCATGGCAATAAGGCCAAGCGCTTATTTCAGGGTTCAAAAAAAAATATAAGACAGGGTCATATTTTCAGGGGAAAAGGGTATCAATCATCTATCTACCTATCTACCTACTTATCTATCTATCTATCTATCCATCCATCCATCTATCATCTATTTATCTATCCATCTATCTATCATCTACCCTGTTTCCCCCAAAATAAGACACCCCGATGATAAGCCCAAACCAGGTTTTTGAGCACATGGCAATAAGGCCAAGAGCTTATTTCAGGATTCAAAAAAATATAAAACAGGGTCATATTTTCGGGGGGAAAGAGTATCTATCATCTATTTATCCATCTATCTATCATCTATTTATCTATCCATCTATCTATCTATCCATCCATCCATCTATCCATCATCTATTTATCTATCCATCTATCTATCTATCTATCTATCCAGCCATCCATCTATCTATCCATCTATCTATCATCTACCCTGTTTCCCCCAAATAAGACATCCCCTGATAATAAGCCCAATCAGGCTTTGGAGTGCATGGCAATAAGGCCAAGCGCTTATTTCAGGGTTCAAAAAAAAAATATAAGACAGGGTCTTATTTTCAGGGGAAAAGGGTATCAATCATCTATCTATCTATCTACCTACTTATCTATCTATCTATCCATCCATCCATCATCTATTTATCTATCCATCTATCTATCTATCTATCTATCTATCTATCTATCCTGTTTCCCCCCAAATAAGACATCCCCTGATAATAAGCCCAACCAGGTTTTTGAGCACATGGCAATAAGGCCAAGCGCTTATTTCAGGATTCAAAAAAATATAAGACAGGGTCATATTTTCAGGGGAAAAGGGTATCAATCATCTATCTATCTATCTACCTACTTATCTATCTATCTTCCATCCATCCATCATCTATTTATCTATCCATCTATCTATCTATCTACCCTGTTTCCCCCAAAATAAGACACCCCGATGATAAGCCCAACCAGGTTTTTGAGCACATGGCAATAAGGCCAAGCGCTTATTTCAGGATTCAAAAAAAATATAAGACAGGGTCTTATTTTCGGGGGGAAAGGGTATCTATCATCTATCTATCCATCTATCTATCCATCCATCCATCATCTATCTATCCATCCATCTATCTATCATCTACCCTGTTCCCCCAAAATAAGACATCCCCTGATAATAAGCCCAATCGGGCTTTTGAACGCATGGCAATAAGGCCAAGCGCTTATTTCAGGGTTCAAAAAAAATATATAAGACAGGGTCTTATTTTTTGGGAAACACGGTATCCCTTCCAGTTTATTAAACAGGACGGTCGTTTTAACAGGCGTCAAACCTAAACGTGGTTTGCGAGGCACGTCAAGGCGATATTTCCACCGTAGATTGCAAGCCACGGTTTTAAGGCGCATGCTTTCTTTAATTTGGCAAATCTATAAACAGGTTGCAGAATCTCTCTCTTTTTTCTTTTTTTTTTTGCAGGGCAAGAAAACTTGATGATTTAGCTGTTTTTTAGTTTTTTAGCTTTAATTTGTCAATGGGTTTTAATTCGAATTGTTTTAAATTTGGGCCAAAGTTATGTAATTCTTTTAATAATTTTAAATTTTGTATTGATAGGTGTTTTAGTTCTGGCTGTGCACCGCCCTGGGTCCACTAGGAGAAGGGCGGCATACAAATTGAATAAAATAAATGAATAAATAAATGAATAAATAAATGAATGAATGAATGAATGAATGAATGAATGAATGAATGAATGAATAAATAAATAAATAAATAAATAAATATGTGCTGTGCGACAGCTAACATTTGCAATTGCATGGTGAGTTTTTGAAGTTGTGGTGACGTTTCTAAGCTCGCTGATGTTACGGGTTCAACCTTAAAAGCTGGATCGTGGACTTTTTAATGCAAGGGAACAAGTGGTTAAAAGAATCAAAAGCTTTATATACTAAACTAGATTTTTAATATAAAACGACACTCTAAATTCAGCTTTGCAGCTCTTGAGCAAAACGAAATCTCCGTTTTGTGTTTTTGTTACGACACTGAGTTGTCCCGTCCCCCCGTCCCCGCCCCCGGATGGGACTTGAGCCAGGCCGACAAGCCATCGCCCCAAAATTTCCCAAAGCACATTGACCAAGGGGCAGAGTAGTGCAGCGGCCTAGAGGTGGAGCTCTCGCCTCACAATCAGGAGGCTGCGAGTTCGATCCTAGATAGCGGCAGATAATTTCTCTCTGCATCTAGGCACACTGAGAATATATCTGAAGAACAAAACTCCGCACTGGCGACAGGAAAGGCATCCGGCCATTAAAACACTCTGCTAGCTCCATTCAGTTGCCCAGACTCCACCTCGCAAGGGATTATGGGATCATTAAAAGACCAAAAAAAAAAAAAAAAGAACAGCGACCAGGGGCAATTAGCGTCTTCCTTTCTGCTCCAATATGATGGGAGAACATATGAAAAAAGTGGTCAGCTTATTCCATCTGGGATGGCATCACGGCACAAAGACCTACTAAAGCCGCTTGCAAGGAGGTATTTATGTCGGAGCCTCTTGGGGGTAGGGGGGAAATATACAATAAATATTCAATAAATATGGAATTACCAGTGATGAAATCCATTTTCCTACTACCAGTTCTATGGGCGTGGCTTGGTGGGTGTGGTGTGGCTTGGTGGGCGTGGCAGGGGAAGATACTGCAAAATCCCCATCCCCTCCCCACTCCTGGGGGAAGGATACTGCCAAATCCCCATTCTCTCCCCATTCCAGGGGAAGGATACTGCAAAATCCCCATTCTCTCCCCACTCCAGGGGAAGGATACTGCAAAATCTCCATTTCCACTCCACTCTGGGGCCAGCGAGAGGTGGCATTTGCCGATTCTCCAAACTACTCAAAATTTCCGCTACCAGTTCTCCAGAATCTGTCAGAACCTGCTGGATTTCACCCCTGGGAATTACCGTATTTTTTGCTCCGTAAGACGCACTTTTGGGTCACCCAAAATTGGGTGGAAATGTCTGTGCGTCTTATGGAGCGAATATTAACGAAGCCCCGCCCCCCCACCCGCCGGTCGTGAAGGCGGCCGAAAATGGGACACCCGGAGGCCAAAAACGGGAGTGCGTCTTATGGTCAGGTGCGCCTTGTGGAGCAAAAAATACGGTATTTGAAGGACACTGCTAGCAAAGCAGAGCAGATCGACGATTTTCGAGTGAAAACGTAGCCACCGCTAGTCGGTAGGGGTTACCTTTCCCCAGGAAGCGAGTCTTGTCGTTGTCACGGAGTTCCAGGGCTTCGTAGATACCAGTTGAAGCTCCGCTGGGAACAGCAGCACGGAAGAGACCTGGGGAGGGTGGGAAAAAAGGAGAACCCCATTTGTTGAGCGGAAGGAAAGGGATCCATTTTCCCAGCCTCGTGAGCGAAAAATACAATTTGGGGGAGGGGCCCAGGTTCTTCCCAGGGCGGCTGACCTTTGTTGGTATAGAGGTCTACTTCAACGGTGGGATTCCCGCGGGAGTCGAAGATTTCACGGGCGTAGACCTTAAGGATGGACATGTTGTTGGTCTAAAGAAGAAAGGACAAGGCAAAAAAAAAAGTTTTGACTTTCCAAAAACCCAAACATATCCACATATTCTGGAAGCCAGGAATGTGAAGCAGCGAGTACAAATTTTTTGGGGTTCCTAAGACAAGTTGCACATCAGTAAATACACTGAGGGCTAGAAACTTTGCTAGGGGGGAGGGAGGGGAGGGGAAAGAGGAGAGGGGGGAGGGGAGTAGGGGAAGGAGTCTACCTTGAGCCAATTGGTCAGGATCGAACTGCTGGCAGCGGGCAGAATTAGCCTGCAATACTGCATTCTAAGCACAAGGGAGGGAGGGAGGGAGGGAGAAAGGAAGGAAGGGAGAAAGGAGAGGAAGGAAGGAAGGAAGGAAGGAAGGAAGGAAGGACCAAAGGAAGAGAGAAAGGAAAGAGAGGGAGGGAGGGAGAAAGGTAGGAGAGAAAGGAAGGAAGAAAGGAAGGAAGGAAGGAAGGAAAGGAAGGAGAGGAATGACTGAAGGGAGAAAGGAAAGAGAGGGAGGGAGGGAGAAAGGGAGGAGAGAAAGGAAGGAAGGAAGGAAGGAGAGAAAGGAAGGAAGGAGAGGAATGACTGAAGGGAGAAAGGAAAGAGAGGGAGGGAGGAAGGGAGGGAGGGAGGAGAGAAAGGAAGGAAAGACAAATGGAAGGGAAAGAAAAGGAAGGAAGGAAAGACAAACGGAAGGGAAAGACAAGGAAGGAAGGAAGGAAGGAAGGAAGGAAGGAAGGAAGGAAGGAAGGAAGAAAAGCTGACTTTGTATAAATATACAAAAGGATGAAGGCTATTGCTTAGCGCATTGTAAGCCGCCCTGCGTCTCCGGAGAAGGGCGGCATATAAATCAAATTTTTAAAAAAGGGGGGGGTGTTAACGGGTGATAAAATAACCCACCCATCTAATCCATATCCTGTTTCCCCCCAAATAAGACACCCCCTGATAATAAGCCCAATCGGGCTTTTGAGCGCACGGCAATAAGGCCAAGCACTTATTTCAGGGTTCAAACAAAAATATAAGACAGGGTTTTATTTTCGGGGAAACACGGTAAATTAATCTGAGACAAGAGTCCAGATTTCAGTTTAGACCCAGAAAACAAACCGTGCTGGCATTCGTCCTCTGAAGGACGGATTAAAAATAAACTCATTTTTGTTCATATTTCAACAGAAAAGGAAGAAGTTCAATTAATTCACTGGAATTTGAAGGAAGGCAGACCAAAAAAAAAATAAAATAAAAAGAATAAAATAAAACAGGGTGGATTTGATTTAAATCGAGCTGATTTAAATCACTAGTAAATCATGATTTAAATCACTAGTAAAAAGGCTCGATTTAAATCCGCTCGATTTAAATCATAATTTTTAAAGAGCAACTGTCATCTCTGCTACTCCTTTGACCCACTCTTGACTCACCGATAGTCCCAGTGTTGCAGAATATACAGCCTCCTGCTACATAACTAAGCTCCATTTCATGCTGAATAAACTAAATTATGTACCTTAAATAGAAAACTATCTTACGATAGATTTTTACCCCAAAAGTTTTTTATTGAAATAAGTTCGATAAAAATAAAAAAAAATCCGATTTAAATTTTAAAAAATCTAATTTTTTTAAAAAAGCATTGATTTTTATCCACCCTGATATAAAAACAATCAGATTCCCAAGCTCAGATCTTTAAATGAGGGGAAAAAGAAAACAACCCATCATCACATTAGCTGCAATTCCAGTTTTCGCCCTGCAGAGAGAAAAAACGCTGAATTATAATTTCACCTCTCCCAACACGGGCTTTACCGGAAGAGAAGCCAGCGCCCTCGCCTGAATCTTTCCTCCAGCTAAGGTCACCTTCAAATTTATAAGCGCTGCCCTGAAAACACTCATGGAAAATTGATTTTTTTTTTAAATAAAATAAAATAAAATAAATCACATGTGTGGGGGTGCTCCAGGCTGTGAGTGAATAAAACGGAGCCTCTTCCCACTCGCACATCCGTGCGCTTGGAAACTAAGCCTGCTCTCAAATGTCTTTGCTCAACCTGACTCAGCGTTTTATGTAACTGTAAAAAAAAATAAGAAAAAAAAAATACTTTGCAGGGAGGAAATTCTGGAATTGGAATGACTCAGTTTCTGCAAACGGAAAGGCCAAGGGTTTTCCTGCTTTTTTTCCCCCCCTACTCTTCCCAGCCCAGAAGCCCAGATTCTCTTCGGAAGCAGTAACAGAGTTGGAAGGTACCTTAGAGGTCATCCAGTCCAACCCCCCCTTGCTGACGGAGGAGACCTATACTAGGGATTCGAACCGCCAAACCGCCAACTGTCTTCGCCACTGAGCCACCAAGGAATAAAAAATTCGGCTCGCTTCCTCCTAAGCCCAGATTTCTCCGAGCGAAGCCTCCCCACCTTGCTGGGACTACAATTACCAACATTCCCGGCCCCTTCTGGAAGGGAGACCGTAAATCCAGACGGAGAATGAAACAGCTGGGGACTTATGACCGTTCTTCTCACTTTATGACCGTTGCGGCATCCCCATGGTTTACACCAGGGGTGGGCAAATATGGCTCCTTTTACGACCTGTGGACTTCAACTCCCAGAATTCCTGAGCCAGCTTGGCTGTCTCAGGAATTCTGGGAGTTGAAGTCCACAGGTTGTAAAAGGGGCCATATTTGCCCACTCCTGGTTTACACCATCTAGGTGGCTAGGTGGCTCAGACACTGAGCTCATCGATCTGAAAGGTCTGCAGTTCGAATCCCTAATTCAGGTGAGGGAGCAGGGGGTTGGGCTAGATGACCTTCAAGGTTTCTTCCTTCTCTGTTACTGTTATACCTGATCAAAATTTGAATGCTTGGCAACTGGTTCCCGGTTTAGGAGAGGTTCTGGTGCCCCAGGATCGTGTGTGATCATCTTTTTGTGACCGTCTGGCAACCAGAGTCAATGGGAAAATCCGGATTCACTTAACAACCGTGTTACTCACTTAACAACTCTAGCTAGAAAAGTTGTAAAATGGGCCCAAAAACCTCACTTTTAACAAATGTGTCGCTTAACAATTTATATTTTGGACTCATTTGCGGTAACCAAGTCGAGACTTCCTGTACTCTACTGGTCTATTTAAATTTCTTTTCTGCAAGCCTCAGGGATCTATTTCGGGACCTTCGCCAAACTCTAAAATGGAAATCCACGTTGTGACACCACACCTAGATTTGAAGCTGGTGAGATCTCTTCCCTTCACCCTAGCTGGCCATCTGCGGCTGCACTAGGGATAAAATTACCCTGGAAGTTACAAACTATTCTAAAAATACGAGTTCCAGGTATATTAGTAAAAAAAAAAAAGAAGCAGATATACTGCGAACTCCGGAACTTAAAATTTTAAAATAATTAAAATATTATTTTACTAAGCTTTTGTCAGCCATCTGCTGATATCGTCAAGAGTATTAAACTACCATTACAGAGATCTCTGCCTATATATATATATACATATACATGTGTTTTTCTAGCCAGGAAATTGATAGATATACATATATATACATATATATACATACATACACACATATATAATATATATATAATATATATATAATATATATATATATATATGTCTTAAGTTTTCGGGGGTGTGCATATGCAAAAAATTAAAATCTTGGGTGTTTTCCCGCGTCATTTTAAATAAATTGGTTAAAATATTTAAAATCCTAGTTAAAATCACAGCTTAAAATCTTCTAAAAAATCTATAAGGATTTTTAGAAGATTTTAAGCTGGGATTTTAACCAGGATCTTAAATATTTTAACCAACTTATTTACAATTTTACAATTTAAAATAACAAATAATAACAACAATGCAGCTTCCCAAGAGAATATAAGCCTTAACCCTGAGGTGCTAACTTTCTACAGAAAATTTCCTTTAGCTAGAAATGCTGCCTCTTGGTTACAGGCTGAATTTATACCACTTTCTCACCTGTTGCACTTTTTTTAAAAGGGGAGAATTTGCTGTGCCTCGTTGCAAAGCAACTTCTAACTCAGGTTTAAGATGCGTGGACTTCAGCTCCCAGAATTCCCCAGCTAGCCAGAATCCTGGGAGTTGAAGTCCACCTATTTTAAAAACTCCGGAGAGCTCGAGAAAGCTGCATTAAACCAATTGGCTTAAGACTAACAATAAAGAACAATAACTATTTCTCAGAAGAGAATAGAAGTACAAAATAGAGATTTATCAAATGTGTGGAGTGGAATTAAAATGTATATAATATGAAGGTAGAAATGTGTAATACTAAAGAGATAGCTAAAATGTATAGTTCTCTATAGGGGAAAAAGGGGGAGGAAGGGGGGGAAAGGAAAAGGAAGGGAAGAAGACTGGAATAAAAGATTATTTATTTTATTTGTTTCTCCAAAGACTCAAGGCGATTAAGATAAAAGGGAAGAAGAATAAAGTAATAACTGGAAGACCACTATGAAACAATGCTTAAATATGATAAGTTATTTATATGTTGTATGTTGTGTAAATGTCTGTGTTCTAATAAAATTACAAATTTTTATTTTAAAAAAAGAGAGAGAGAGAAAGCTGCATTAAACCCACTCTCCGTATTAAGCAATAATTTGAAATTTTCCAAGCTCTCTGAAAGAAGATAGGAGCACTTCCAAGTGCAAGAAACCTCTTTTCCATCCCCCACCCCACCCCCGATTGCTGGCTGGGAATGATAGGCATTGGAGTCCCTTGAAGGCCACCAACCGGGATCAAGCTGTCCCCAGAAGGTCAGGGGGGAAAGAGTTCCCCACATATTAAATATTTGGGAAGGCAGAAACGCAGGGGCCCGTTGCAAAGCAAAGAGGAATGTGCACGCTCTTGTGCAATTGTGTCAACAATTGCACAAGAGTGTGCAAAAGAATTAAAAAGGATGATTAAGGCCGCAAAGCTAAGCCACTCAATTAAACGTCACCGCCGTCGGGAGGACGTGACTCAGCCTCTCCGCAGGATGGGGAAATTTTTGGCTGCCGCGGCTAAGGACAAAACTCTTCGCACTTTGCAAAAGGGAGGAGCGGGCTAAGCATGAATGGAAGCATTCGGCTGCAACTTTCTGCATTACACAGCAACTGTCCTTCCCATCAATCACGGCTTGTCCTTCTCAGGAGACGGAAATATGTAAGGCACGTAAGGGCTGTCCGCCTCCAGTTGCTCCAGGCCATCTCCATCTCTTCATCATTTCCGCCTTAAGGAGGGGGGGCATCTGCACGTGGTCCCCCCCCAAAGGAGGCTGCCGGCGGTCCACGTGCGAAGGATGCCCGCATCTCGGCTACCCACAAGCCAACCTGTTTTACAAAGGCAGCCTGTTGCAAATGGCTTCTGAAAAAAAAGATGCCCGGGGGGGGCCTCTGCAGAATCGCCGACTCTCTCCCTCACCCCCCCATCCATCCCCCAAAAAAGAGACCATTCTCCCCAAAAATCAGGTCCTCCTGCAGCTTAGATCTTAAAACGTTTTAAGAAATGAAAAATAAAAATTTGAACAAGGTCAGCAAAGCAAACGAAGCCCCCCCACCCCACCCCTTCATTTGCTTTGCTGGCCTTGTTTCAAATTTTATTTTTTTTCCTTTTAAAACCCTTTTTTCCCTTAAAAAGGATTTCCCTTTTTATTTGCAGATGTAAAAAAAAACAAAACTGCAGGTTTTCTAGATATAGAACCCCTTTTCATAGGGGATTTATTCCATTCAACATTAGAAAACAAAAATTAGGAAGGGGGAAAGTATTATGATGCATATTGTTATATAAATATAAATAAATTACTAAGAATATGTAATCGTTAGAAATTGGAAGAGTACTACGTATATACTTAAATAGTATTATTATTGCTCTAAGTATTGTGTATAAAGTAAATTAACCCAGACAATATACTATTCACTAAGTAATCATGTATGTTAAAGAAAAAAACCATTTTTTTTAAAAAAAAAAACTGCAGGTTTTCTGTACCACCTGAGTAGGAACAACAGGTTTGGTACCCATCAGTCCTTCCCCATTTTTACCCCTCTTTGCAGCCTTCCCCTCCTGGACAAAAGAAAGGATTAATCCATCTTTTGACTACCATGGAAGCCACAGGACCCCAAGATATAGACAAAAAAAATGGGCCTGGAGCATTTTTTTAAAAAGTTTTCTTTTCTTGAGCCTTACAGCATCCTATCTGCTTTGCAGGAGATGAAACAAAAGCCCAAGTTTCTCCTTTTTAACCCTATTTTTCACCTTGCTTTGATTTTAGGCTAGATTTTTCCACCCATGTTGGGACTACTATGCACCCCTCCTACATCTGCTGGCAGGGAACCATAGGGCATGTAGTCCTGGTGAACTAAAGGACGCCATGTTGGGCTTCTTTTGGACCACTCGCTTAAGGAAACTATAGTTCCCCAGATGCAAACCATAAATAAAAATATTGAATGAATGCATTTTTTTTTTTAAATGGATGATGAAATGGTGGAAATGGAAAGGAAGCTGGGTCCCCTTTTTTTTTTAATCTCTAGCAAAAATGCAACCTTCGAAAATGTTTGCAAGGCACACCTATTTCCTTTTCCTTGCAAAAAAATAAAATAAATAAAAGGAAATTTCGAAACGCCTTGAACCACAGCTTGCAAACGCCTGCAAGAAAATTGATCTATAAATGCGTATGATTTTCCTGCAAAATATTATTCCCTCTCTTATCTTCCAAAGCAAACGCTTTCCCAACTTACCTTAGGCTAAGCTCTCTCGCGTTGCAGCAGCGCCTAAGGAAATAAAATTGCAATAATACCTTTTTTTTTTTTTTGGTGGCTTTTTCTAATCACTGCAACGTTGCTCGCCTCGCGCACCCCGGGCAACTGAAGAAGACGCGGCCGGCGCGCACTAAACTATAGCCCGGTTCATGCAGATGAGATGGCCTCGTCGCGGCTTCTCATTGGCCGGCCGCGCCGCCCTGCCGCCCGCCGATTGGCCGGCGGGCCTCTCGCCAGGCTCAGCCTCTTGGCGCGTGCGCTACGTGCTCCGGCACCTTTCTCCTTCACGCAGTCGCGTGGGCGGGCCTAATTCAGTTTAGTTTCCTTTTCTAATTTCTTTTAGCGAGAGGCGGGGGGAAAAAAATCCCCATTTTTGTAAAGCGGAGGGGAAGATTTTAATTTTTTTTTTAAATTTTCTTCATACTGTGCATTGGGTCGTTTGCAAAATTGGGATCATTGTCTTGCACGGAAATAATTCTTTTTAAGATTTGCAGCTTCAAAATGGGGCTGTTTTGCAAACAATCAATGGATGGAATATAGTGTTAAAACTTTATAATCGCATCCAGTAATCCAAAGTTTAATACCCACATTAATAACCAAAAGCTTTTTTATTCTCAATATCCAAACTGAATAGTACAAGAGATCACAATTGAATCCAGCATTGAATATTTTTATTTAATGCTTAATTTTCATACCAATTGAAACAAACTTTCTAAACAGAACCTGAAGTTTGTAAAATTGTAGCTTTAAACGTGATTTAGCTTTTAAAATAATAATAATAATCACATTTTGATGTGTTCCCTTTAGTGTTTCTGTGCCAATGTTTACTCTGAAAGAGAACTTCTGCATAATAGAGACGGATATCTGTAAAATTTCAACCAAGGAAGTGATGCATTTTAAGAATTCTAAAATGCTGTTTTCCAAACCCCAATTTAATTGCTTCTTTTAATGTCTATAAAACTCCAGTTTAATCACTTGTCTTAACACAGACAGGGTTTAGATTTAGCTGGTCAAAATTCATTTACAAGAGATTTGTAAAAACATTGATTATAATGAATGAGTAAACACACCTCTCAGCCTCCAGTTTGGTCTAACTTGGCAAGAAACCTTGTTATTATTATTTTTTTTTTAAAAAAATCCCAAAATATGCAATCTTCACCTCCTTTGAAAAATTGGGTACTCTGTTTTTTCTGACACGTCCTGAACAGATTCATACACGCACACACACAAAAAACACTCCATCCATCGTAGTCAAACAAGATGCCATTTCACCTAAAAACTGGTGCCCGACAAATAAACCAATTTATGACTTAAAATAGGAAGGTTGGATGAAACCCCTGCGGTAAATGATGTACTAAATGCAGAGAGAGAAGGAAGTGGCCTCCAGCCCATCTTAGTAGCTTCAGAGAAGGAATTTGGCTCAGCCTCGCAATGAATTTCTTCTAGTAGCAATAAAAACACCGAAAGTTCTCGCTTTGGGCAAAAAAAAAATGCTGGGATTATTTTGTCCCAGCATCTGTTTTTTTTTTTTTTTCTAAACCATAATATAGCGCTGTGAGGCTGGTAGTGTGTGTAGACACACAAGGAGTATGTTGTATTGTTTTTAAGGTCCCGCAGCCACTCGTTTTCGGTGAGAGTCTGGAAGGATCGCGGTCAGAATTGGGAATTTTGGTGACTTCTTTTAGAAACAGCGGATTCCAGAGGTGGCCAGAAGCTACCTTGGTATCATCTCCGCCAGAGGTTTGGATGGTTTTTTTTGAAGGGGATGATCCGGTGGTATTTTAGCTGGTAAAACTTGCTTTTTCTGGTTTCTTTGCATGCTGAAATACGGAGTGCAGAATCGTAAAGCAAATTTAAAAGATGGGGGATTTTTTGAATTTAAAACACCAGATTTGGAGCAAATCCCAGCCGTGTGCCGGTGGAAATCTGAATGCCACAACTTCCAAACACACGTGTCACAGGGACTGATAAGGTTTGGAAATCGATGGGTTGCAGCCCACGCTAAAAATCAACCTGTGGTTTGTTTGTTTTTATATCTCGGTTTAAGCTTAATCTGGAAGGCCAGCTCCTTGTGGCTAAATCCAAACCACAGTTCAGCCAAACCTCAGTTTATCAGGGTGAGAATTACCCTAAGTTTGCAAATGCAGCTAGATATACTCACACAGCAAGCAGAGATACATACAACCTATTTTCCAGAGCACCAGAAGGCAAGACAAGAAGCCACGGATGGAAACTAATCAAGGAGAGAAGCAACCTGGAATTAAAAGAGAAATTTCCTGACAGGGAGAACCATGAATTAACCAGTGGTTTGCCTCCAGAAGTTGTCGGTTGCTCCATCACTGGAGGCTTTTAAGAAGAAACTGGACAACTATTTGTCTGAAATGATATCGGGTCTCCCGTTTGAGCAGGGGGTTGGACTAGACAACCTCCGAGGTCCCTTTCAACACTCTAATTGTGTTAAAAAGTTGGAAAAAAAAGTTTTGCCAGGGCAGGTAAAAAAGTCGGCAGCAGATCAGAAGGGAAAGAGGAAGGTTTAAGGCAGTTGATGGCGAACCTTTTTGGGACCGAGTGCCCAAATGGGAATGTGCGTGCATGGGCGCCACGGAAAACCGAAGAACAGCTGGCTGGTGCATGCATGCATGATTTTTGGCCGTTTTTCAGGTGTTTTTGGGGTGTTTTTCAGGCCGTTTTTTGGCTGTTTTTTTGGACCGTTTTCAGGCTTTTTGGTCCATTTTCAGGCCGTTTTGGGCTGTTTTCAGGCTGTTTTCAGGCCGTTTTTGGTCCTTTTCAGGCCGTTTTGGGGCATTTTCAGGCCATTTTGTTCATTTTGAGGCTGCTTTTTGGTCATTTCCAGCCATTTTGGGGCCATTTTCAGGCCATTTTGGGCTGTTTTCAGGCTGTTTCCAGGCCATTTTCAGGCTGTTTTTTGGTTCCATTTTCAGGCTGTTTTTTGGTCCATTTTCAGGCCATTTTTGTTGTCAGTTTTCTTGTCCATTTTCAGCCATTTTGTGGCATTTTTTCAGGCTGTTTTTGGCCATTTTCAGGCCATTTTCTGGCTGTTTTTGACCGTTTTCAGGCATTTTTGGTCCATTTTCAGGCCATTTTTGGTCCGTTTTTGCCATTTTGGGCGTTTTCAGGCTGTTTTCAGGCCGTTTTTCAGGCTGTTTTTTGGTCCATTTTTGGCTGTTTTTTTGGCCATTTTTCAGGCTGTTTTTCCGTTTTCAGGCCATTTTTTAGTCCATTTTCAGGCCATTTTTGGGGCATTTTCAGGCCATTTTTGGGGCATTTTCAGGCCGTTTTCTGGCTGTTTTTTGGACCGTTTTCAGGCCATTTTGGGCCATTTTCAGGCTGCTTTTTGGTCCATTTTCAGGCATTTTTGGGCCTTTTCAGGCTGTTTTCAGGCTGTTTTCCAGGCCATTTTCAGGCTGATTTTTGGTCCATTTTCAGGCCATTTTTGAGTCCGTTTTCTTGCCATTTGGCTGTTTCAGGCTTTTTGAGCTGTTTTCAGGCTGTTTTTTGGTCCATTTTCAGGCCATTTTTGGGCTGTTTTCAGGCCATTTTTTAGTCCATTTTGGGCTATTTTGGCCATTTTCAGGCCATTTTTGGGCCGTTTTCAGGCTTTTTGGTCCATTTTCAGGCCATTTTTGGCATTTTCAGGTTTTTTTGGTCCGTTTTCAGGCCATTTTTGGGTCCGTTTTCTTGCCATTTTGGGTGTTTTCAGGCTGTTTTCCAGGCCGTTTTCAGGCTGTTTTTTGGTCCGTGTTCAGGCCATTTTTTAGTCTATTTTGAGGCTATTTTTGAGCCGTTTTCAGGCCATTTTGGGGCTGTTTTCAGGCCATTTTTCCTGCCTTTTTCGGGCCAAAAACGGCCTGAAAACCAGGCCGTTTTCCAGCACTCTGGCCCCTGCGAAGAGCAGCTGGTGACAGCACGCGTACCCACAGAGAGGGCTCCACCCCTGGCATACATGCCATAGGTATGGCAGTCTTTAAGCCTGTCTCTTATGATGTCACAAAGACACTGAATGTTGGCAATCATCCTGGGCAAAACTCCACAGCTGGTTTGGTTTCGATGGCTCTTAGTCCACCACTCAATCCAGACCCATAGTTTCATTCCTTTATTATTATTTTTTAACGTTTGATTGACTCCCACATAGATTCCCCTCCTCCTCGTACCTATTTGGAGCAAAATGTCCACAAAGAGCTAAAAAACCTTAAGAGAGCGTTGCCATTCCACCGAAACAAGAGAGGATCGGGACCGGCGAGTAAGTATTCCTTGTGGTTAAGGGTATTACACATCATAATTAAAAGGGAATTTGTCTCGTGGTGGTAATGTGTTCTTTCCCGGGTCATCAAAATCTGTGCAAATCTTCAGCTCCTCTTCCAAATTGGTTCGTGTTGTTTTCTTCTCCCAAATGTAAATTTCAGTGCCTATTTGAGTGGAAGCTTTCTACCGGTATATTTGTCGAATTTGCATGAGTTCAATCCAGGGGTGAAATGCTCCCGGTTCAGACCGGATCGCCCGATCCGGTAGCGATGGCGGCGGGTGGTTCAGAGAACCGGTAGCAAAAATCCCTATGTTCCCCCCCCCCGCCCCCATGCCCGGCTGAGCCACGCGATCATCAGAGGCTGTTTTTTTTTTACTTTTAAAAGCATTTTTTCGGCCGAAGAGGTTGTAGAAAACAAAAAATGCTTTTAAAAGCCTCTGACGATCCCAGCGGAGTTGCCTGATCGTCAAAGGCTTCTAAAAGAGGTTGTAGAAAAAATGCTTTTAAAAGGTGGTGCAGCAGACTAATAGCCTGTTATAAACATTCAGCTGCCTGCAATTACTGCAAGTTCGAATCTCCCCAGGCTCAAGGTTGACTCAGCCTTCCATCCTTTCTAAGGTAGGTAAATTGAGGACCCAGTTTGTGGGGGCAATAATCTGACTATACAAAAGTATGAAGGCTATTGCTTAACGCATTGTAAGCTGCCCTGAGTCTCCGGAGAAGGGCAGCATATAAATCAATTTTTTTAAAAAAAAAAAAGTTGGCCACGCCCACCTAGTCACATTACACCCCCCCACCAAGCCACGCCCACAGAACCGGTAGTAAGAAATGTTAGATTTCACCCCTGGTTCAATCCTTTTTTTCTATTGTGAAAAAGACCCTCCGTTCAGGCCCCAATCTTCCTTGAGCCCCTCTTTGGGGGGGGCGAGGGCACCAAGCCGCGAATCTTGGTTTATCGCTCACAACAGTGCCATTCCACAGCCCAGATCGAACTAAAGCATCATGTGGCTTGATGCGTCGTGTCTCTCTTTCTGCCCAAATCCATAAATATTTAGAAATCCCACTGGCAAGTTGGCCCTTTTCGCTCTTGAAAGCAAACGATAGCTTTGCCCCCTAAAACAATCGCCATCTATAATTTATGATCTGTGATGGAACATTTTTTTACTCTGTCTCCTCCTCCGCCTCTCCCTTCCCATCTGTCCAGCCAAAAAATGATCGTGTTCATCGCTAGGGAAAAAAAACCTGGCTGGCATTTGCAAAGGTGGAAGGGAGAAAAAACAACAACAGAATTCTTATAATATTCAAATGAAAACTGCATTGTCTTTGAAACAACACGCGACACATTGGAAAAATTTTAAAAATAGCAAAAACTAAAGCGGCTTTTTACGCAACGAAGCTGCTTCCAGAAAATATTATGATTATTCCTTTGCATTCCTGTACCCTTTTTTTCCTGAACCTGCCAGCTGTATTGGCAAAAAGTCTGGGTTTTATTTCTCATTTGGCGAAGGGATGTTTTCAAAAGGCAGAATTTTAAAAAATAAATAAGTTAGGGGGTTTGATCGGTGCGGTTTGCATCACAGCAAGGAATCGGAATGTCCCAAGTTTAGAAAGCAGGTTTGAATCGGAATAAACAAGGATCGTTTGGGGTTTGATTTCTTGGAGGTTTCCCCTGGGTTTTGAACTTTGAAACTCCCGCAGATTAAGAGGCTGTTAAGACCCTCAACACCACTAAATTGAAATAAACAGAACAAAATATTTACCGGGTTTCCCCGAAATTAAGACCCTGTCGTATATTTTTTTGAACCCCAAAATAAGCGCTTGGCTTCATTTTCGGGGAGGTCTTATTATTTTGGGGCGCATGGAGCCGTCTTATCCGATTTCCAGCTCTGTCTCCCTAACCCTAATCAGAGGAAATAGCATGTGGTTAAATATTTTCGGAGCGGATTTATTTTAGCGCATTATTGGGCTTATTATCAGGGGAGGTCTTATTTTCGGGGAAATACGGTAAAAAATGCATAATTTGAGATTAGGGGAAGGGGGTTTTGCTTGGTAAGACTTGGTCTCTACTCAGGTCCAAAGTATAGGAAATCCTTGACTTACAACTACTTGTTTAGGGACGGTTCAAAGTTAGAACGGCGCTGAAAAAAGTGTGACATTTTTTTCACATAACCGTTGCAGCATCCTTATCAAAATTCAGACACTTGCAGCCATATTTATGACCGTTTGCTGTGTCCCGGGATCACGTGATCCCTTTCTGTAACCCTTCTGGCTAAGCAAAATCAAGATTTAGTTAACCACCATTAGTAGCTAAACAACCACAAGGGATCCGCTTAACAACGGTGGCCAGGAAGGTCGTAAAAGGGAGCAAATTTCACGGAAGTGTCTCACTTGGCCATGGAAATTTGGGTCATAATTGTGGTTATAAGCAGAGGTGGTATTCAGCCGGTTTGGGAAAACCGGTAGTGGCCGTCCTATTGAGCCACTAAATAGATGGCAACAATATGTGAAACCCATCCCTGGTCTTAAATCAAGGAACCTCCTGTACTTTGGATCTGAGTAGCTTGGCCAAGATTGTCTTCTTGCAAAAAAGTTAGCCTGGACTTTTCAACCTGAACTTTGAGCCTTTTACCCAATGTAGACGGGCAATCAAATTAGGATTATCGTCCATTTAGGATTGTATTCCAACGGATAGGCTGAACTTCAAACCCTGTAGAAATAAAGCTATTAAAGATTTGCAATCTGGGACAGTCCCTGGGACCAGAGATTTATTCTTCCAAGCTTTCCGATTCGTTCTGTAATCCATTTTTCTCTGCCTCCAGAATGCTTGCTCTGGGCTATTCTATGCATGGGTATTTATATGGTTCTTTTGTTCTTCGTGGCTTTTAGTTTTTAATTGGGGTGTTGATAGCCGGCTATTAAATTGTTGATTGTTGCTTCCTTGGCTCCTAAGCACCTGGTAAGCAGGTGATAAATCAGCATTCCTGCTTACTGACAAGGGACCCGTTCAGTGGTGGGTTTCAAAAAATTTTACTACCGGTTCTGTGGGCGTGGCAGGGTAAGGATACTGTAAAATCTCCATTCCCTCCCCAATCCAGGGGAAGGATACTGTAAAATCTCCATTCCCACCCCACTTCAGGGGAAGGATACTGTAAAATCCCCATTTCCTCCCGATCAGCTGGGACTCGGGAGGCAGAGAATAGATCTGGATGGGGCCAGTCAGAATTTTTACTACCGGTTCTCCGAACTACTCAAAATGTCCGCTACCGGTTCTCCAGAACTGGTCAGAACCTGCTAAAACCCATCTCTGGATCTGTTTCTCTGGCTCCGATCCTTTCTCTGGCTATTTTTGTCCCTGCTCGGCCAACAATATGAAAACGTTTTCTCCCCAAGAAAATAAAGTTATCCAACTTGGCATCTAGAAAGCTAGCCCTTCAGGAAATGAGGACCCCTGAAGCCTGGAGGGGAAAGGGGCCATTACATAACAAGAGGGGATTATGACCCGTAGCATCTGGAGGCAGGCTGAGCGATGTCAGCGGTCAGGATGTCTCCTATGCCTGCTCATCAGGTTTGCAAGAAGGGCTTTAAGGAAATCTTCTCCAAAAGCTCATAAAACGCCAGCGGCTGGAGGGAGATATTGTTGTTGTTTTTTGGCTTGTTCTGCAAAGCAGCAGAATGTACGGAGATCAAAACCGAGGCCCAGAAGGCATTTCATAATCCTGCAAAATCCAGTTGGGTAAATAGTCCTTGAAAATTGCTGAAACGGGAAAATGCCAACGATTCAGGCCAGCTCCCAGATTGCCCCGGGAGACCCGAGCGGAGAATATCGAAGCTCCCAAGTTCCATCAGGAAGGTTAAAACCTGCGTCTCTCAAGCTTGGCAACTTTTAAGAGGCCTAAGATCTTCCCAACTCCTCCGAATTTCCCTTCGGTTTTTGCAACTTCGCGTCGAAAAAGTCACGGCACAAAAAGAACGACGACGGAGGAGGGAAGAGGAAAAGTCAAGGCGGCCAAGCTAATTTGAGCATCATTGGGAGCTTGCTAGCTGGGGAATTCTGGGAATTCGGAGTCCACACATCTTAAAAGTTGCCACGATTGAGAAAATACTGGCTTAAATTGTCCCTTTCAAGAACTGGGAACATGCAGCCAGTCTTTCAAACAGCCCTTAGGAGTGGATGTGACACCACCAGGAGATGCACTGTGTTGAGAAATAAATGAAGCAGAAGTTTTTTTTCTTAATAATTAATAATTTTCTGAAATAATTCTTAGTTGTTATGAATGTGGCAGATACCTGCCTGTGAAAAATCCCTGGGAGCTGAGCTCAATCAAAAGGAATATTCACCTTTTTTCAAGTGTTTCAGGTCTCCGGCTCAAATTGTTTACTTTTTTTTTTTTTTTTTAATTTGATTTATATGCCGCCCTTCTCCGGAGACTCAGGGCGGCTTACAATGCGTTAAGCAATAGCCTCCATACTTTTTGTATATTTATACAGAGTCAGCTTATTGCCCCCACAAACTGGGTCCTCATTTAACCTACCTTAGAAAGGATGGAAGGCTGAGTCAACCTTGAGCCTGGTAAGATTCGAACCTGCAGTAATTGCAGGCAGCTGTGTTAATAACAGGGTGCTTTAGACCACTGTACTAACAAGGCTCTTTTCTTCTGCAAAGTGGAGAATTCAGATTCCCTGAAGAGAAATAGACAAAGGGGTGGGGCTGCTGGGAGTTCGCAGGGGTTCGGGAGAACCTCTAGCTAAGATTCTGTGCAGTTCGGAGAACCCCCAAATCCCACGCCTGGCTGCCCCCCCCCCCGCCTCTCTCAGGAGTCCCCACGCGGCCGTTTTGGATGCAGGTAAGTGCAGGGGCGCACGGAGCAGAGGTGGTACTCACTTCACTACCGGTTCTCAAATGTGAGCTCGGACGCGCCACCTCCACGCATGCGCAAGAGCATCGAAAACGGGACGGGATGATGGGCGAGTGGGCGGAACCTCCCACCGCCGCCGCTACCAGTTTGCCTGAACCGGATAGAACCAGCTGAATACCACCACTGGCGCAGAGGCTCGGGGAGGGCGAAAAACGGGCCTACCTGAAGTTCAGGAAGGGCCTCCAGAGCCTGGGGAGGTCGTTTCGCCTTTCCTGGAGGCTCAAGGAAAGCATTTCACCCCTGCGTTGAGGATTACCTGTAATTTACTTTTTGTTCCAAAATCTGTGTCATTTCTCAATTATTCTTGCTAAGTTCTTCCCACTGGCCTTTAAGAAGGCCTCTGCCTTCCTCTTGGCATAAAGCATCGACTTTAAGGTACATAAAACATTAATGCTTGCAGGATGCTGATTAACCTAGCCAATCACAGGAGCCAGAGGCAGTGGACGATTACCTACGACTGAGAAAAAACCGAGCTCAAACCCCACCACAGCCTGTTTCACCTGACAATCCCCACCTGCCTCCACCACTGTATTGTGGTCTTTTCTGCTGGCTCTATTAGAAGCTTAGCCGTCGCTCCCCAATCCGCAATATAATTAACTTTCTCACCCAGCAAGAGAAAAACAGAATATCTGCTCTTATTTCGGCAGGAGGAAAAAAAAAAAAAAGAGGCTGGATTTAAGTCAAATTATTATTTACCTTTTCGGAGATCCGACAAAAACCAGCAGATCTGGGGTTTTTGATTTCACCGAATCATGAGGACTAGCGTCTGGGTGTTCCAACTCTTCTTTCTACACCTGAGCTCCTTCGAAATCGTGGACTGGACGTATCACGGTAAGGAGGTGGGGGGGAAAAAAAGAGGGAAAGGAACGCAGAATCACCTTTTGCTTTTAACTGTGGTTTATTTCAGGGTTGAACATTGTGCAACGTGGTTAAAAGACCGGAAGTGCAATCCTAGCTACTCCTAGTTGTTACTCTAGAGAGCCTGTTTGGTCTCGTGGTTAAGGCACCTAGCTAGAAAACGGGAGACCGTGAGTTCAAGTCCTGCCTTAGGCATGGAAGAAACTGAGTGACTTTGGGCCAGTCCTTTTTCTCTCGCTCACCAACTCACCCTCACAGGGCTGTCGTTCTGAGGAAACAACACAATATTTCCTCACGATAACGAAAATTAAAATATTGGAAAACAGGAGGGAAAAGGCGTAGATAGATATATGTTTGCTGCCTTGAATTATTTGTAAAGATAAAGGCAGGATACAAATAAGAAATAATACTCCAACTATCCCGGGCAGGAATTGTGGCCCATCATAATTCAAACATGGCTTAAGAAGAACATTTGGGGGGGGGGAACCTAGGGGCTTGCCCCCACCCACCCAGCCCACCCCGTCAAATGACATTGTGGCGTTGTAGGTCCCGTTTGCAAACAACAAAAACGTGTGAACTCTTCATGCTGTTCTGTTGGTCCACAATCGGAGCGAACATTAAGTTACTGGAGCTGAGATTCATACTGTGCAGAATTATATTTAAGAATAATTCCATTAGATCTCCACTATGAGAGTCCTAAGAGTCAGTTTTCCTAGCCGGGGGAGGAATTAAGAATTGCTCAGCATGGACTTTGAAGATGGCCAGTTTTGCAGAGATGGCGAAGATTTCAGCCTATTTAAAAGATCGCTCACAAGAGTCTTATGTATGGGAGTGGAAAAAGTGGATAGATTATGTGCAGAATAAATATCAAACTAGGAAATATCAGATAGCTTTTAACTGAAAGTATTATATAGGGATAGAATAATAATAGAACTTTGTGAAAAATATAGAGGGGGTGGACGGGTTCAAGTTTTATAAAAAGGGGATTTTGATTTGGATTACATTTTGAGGACGTCGGGGGGGAGGGGAGGGTTAGGGAGGGTTAGGGAGGTTTGGGGGGTTGGGGGGGGGGGAAATCGGGGAGAAAATGTAATTGTAAAACTTTTTCAATTAAAAAAAGAAAAAAGAATTGCCCAGCAGATCTGGAGTGGACCAGTTTAAAGGATGGAGGGGGGAAAACGCCTACAGATGTGTTTTGGCATCTGCTTAGCTCACCTGTGCACATCCCCAAAACATCTGCCAACCTGCAGCACAGACCCCTCCGGCTTTAAAATCAAATCACCTTCATGCCATTTTGCAGCCCTTTCAAACCAGGTAAATTTCCTCCCTCTACCCACCCATCCAGCCCCCATTAAACTTTTCTTAACATCTCCCAACGTCCCAGAGACGGCTGCTTTAGGATTAATTTTGAAATCCTCTTCGGACGCCCAAATTCTTGGCAGGCCTCCCGAGGTGGAGATGTCGTTTTTTGTTTGTTTTTTTGAAACAAAAGGAGTGTGGGGGGAAAAAAAATTTGGATAGAAATTCCCAATCGAGCAGAAACTCAAAAATAGGTGAGCTTGTGCTGGCCGGCTTTTCGTTTAGTCTTCCTGTCTCTCCCGATCCGTCAAATTCAAAACAAAATAAATGATATTTTGCAACGTTGCTCCTTTTTTTTTAAGAGGGAGAAACCGAGGAAAATACGATACATCTTTGTTCTTTCTGCTGTGGGCATTCCCTCTGTGCCATGCATAATGCCAGCCAAAAGTTGATGCCTGCCTAGTCTGGGACATTAATAGGGAAGGAGGTTAAACCTGCTTCTGATTTTTTATTTTTATTTTTATTATTATTATTATTATTATTATTATTATTATTTACACAAAAATGACAGTATACACAGCAAACGAGATAACCATGCTGGATTTCGTATCACAAATCACTAGTCGAACATTAGTTTTTTATTATTATTATTATTATTATTATTATTATTATTATTATTATTATTATTGTTGTTGTTGTTGTTGTTGTTATTATTATTATTATTATTATTATTATTATTTAATCTTTAGTGAGATTCACAGCCTTTGAGGCTGGTTAATAGCTCAGCAGCTCGAGTCCTAACCAAGGACTTAGGAACTGTTAAGGTATCGTCGGAGGATGTAAGCTGTTCCGAGTAAGGTGGTTTTTTGTTGAGTCAAAATGTTCAAGTCCGGCAAATTTAGAATTTCTAAATAGAGGGGTAGCCCTTTGGGTATTGCTCCGAGGGCTCCAATTACAATCGGGACAACACACGATTTCTTTTTCCACAGTTGCTCAACTTCAATTTTAATATTTTTAATTTTTAATTTTTAATTATTATTATTATCTCTTTTATTCATTAAACATGAAACTCAATCAACCGATCATTTAAAAATGCATCACAAATACCATTGACTGGTGCTAATGGTTGATAGGGGTTGCTACCAGCATCCTAGGGATCAACCAAGTACCTTCTTAAGATGTACGATGTTCCGAGTAGCACAGTTGTTTGCAGTTCCGCTGGTGTTATTGCAGGAAGCTGCAGTTTCTTGATGCGTTTTGTAAAATTCTTGGACATGGTGCCAAGAATTCTTGGACATGGTGCCAAGTTGACGATGATGAAGATGATGATTAAATTAATTTTTTTTTAAAAAAAATTAAACTAAATTAACAGTAACAGAGGTGGAAGGGAGCTTGGAGGTCATCTAGTCCAATCCCTTGCTCACACAAGAGACCTGTGATAGGGATTTGAACCGTCGAACTGCCAACCTTTCTGATCGACAAGCTCAGCGTCTTAGCCACTGAGCCACCTAGTTGGCAAACATGACAATGATGATTTAAAAGTCCAACGGAGAAACTCTTTGAGAGGAGAAAAAAATATTTCCTCGGAGAGGCTCCTTGGAGATGTTTTGTTCCCGTAACCTTGCTCCTACGTTGATGTCCTCTAATAAGGATGGATCGATACCTCTTACTCCTAATGGCGAAGAAGCTACCCTAAAATTTAGGGAGAGAGCCAAGAATGATTTTTGGATTGATCGCAAACAGAGCTGAGAAACTTGGAAAGTGGGCCAAAGGGAGCACTTAAGAGGCTGAAGGATTATTTCAAGTCTAAAAAAAGTTTATTGGAGCCAAGAAGGAGCTTTTGGTAATCTGACAATCCTCCCTTCTCTCTGGTTTACAGGGAATCCCTAGAAATTAACTCCAAATTTCTGCAGGATTTATACAAATTAATTTCTAGGGATTTCTCTGCCTGCCTCCTACCGCCCTGTGCGCTCACATAGGACTGCCCTCCTCCGGGTGCCATCAGCCAGACAATGTCGGCCGGTGGCACCCAGGATGAGGGCGTTCTCTGTGGGCGCACCGACCCTCTGGAATGGGTTACCCACGGGGCTCCGGACGGCCCCCGACCTCCGCTCTTTCCGCCGGGATCTGAAGATATGGCTTTTCCAACAAATTTGCTGAACTGATGGGTGATTTTTAATCGGGAGATTTTAATTGATTGTTTTTAGTAGCTATTTTTAGCGTTTTCATCGCTTTAATTTCTGTGAGCCGCCCCGAGTCCTTTGGGAGAAGGGCGGCATATAAGTAGAAGAAAAATAAATAAATAAATAAACCAACCCCGCTCCTTTCTAACTAACTAACTAACCTTCCAGGCAATCTGGAAGTTGTAAAGGTGGAAGTTGTCCCACTCTGAGTCCTTCGGGAGTAGGGCGGTATATAAATTTAATAAATCAATAAAATAAAATAAAATAAAGTTTGCTTGTAGGGCTCAAGACCAGTCTTTGGCTTCTGGCCTTATCTGACAGCATTTTTCTCTTCCTCTCCGGCCAAGAGGAGCACAGTGAAGACGAATGGGGGACCTACTACGAACACTGCCTGGGGAAAATGCAATCCCCCATCAATATCCAGAGGTCAAAAGTCAGATTTAATTCAGACTTGGAACCGCTGCAGCTGGAGGGTTATGGCTACCGCCGTGATGCATTCAAAATGATGAACAACGGCCATTCAGGTGAATATAACTGGGGGGCCGGGGGGGAGTGGGGGAAGCAAAATCCTAGACTTCTGATCCAGAAATCTGGTGATTAAAGATCTTGCAAACTTGCAAGGGTGGTATTTCTAGCTTTAAAAAAAATAAATAAATAAAGCTTGAGAAGAGCAACAAAGATGATTAGGGGGCTGGAGGCTAAAACATACGAAGAACAGTTGCAGAAATGGGGTAGGTCTAGCCTAGAGAAATGAAAAGACTATCGCCGTGATGGCGAACCAATGGCACGCGTGCCACAGATGGCACACAAAGCCATATCTGTGGGCACGCGTTGCCCTAGCTCAGCTTCAGTGCGCAAACGTGTGCCGGCCAGCTGATTTTCGGCTGGCCCCGTCTACGCCTTCCCTCAACTCCCAGGAGTCTCCACAGGGCCTGTTTTGGATGCCAGGTAAGTATAGGGCTCGTGCGGAGACTCTGGGAGGGCGTTTTCGGCCTTTGGAGGGCATCCGGTGGGGAGGGAGGCTGTTTTTGCCCTCCCCAGGCTCCAAGAAAGCCCCTGGAGCCTGGGGAGGGCGAAAAACGGGCCTACTGGGCCTACCGGAAGTCTGCAAAAAACGGGCTGATTTCGGCCTCCGGAGGCTTCAGGGAGACCTGCTAGGCCCAAAATGGGGCACAGGGGGGACCATGCGCGCATGCGCAGGGGTGTGTGTGTGACACGGGGGGGGCGTTTCATTATGGAGGTGGGCACATGCACGCGTGCTTTCGGCACCTGAGGAAAAAAAGGTTCGCCATCACTGGACTAGAGGGTGACATGATAGCAGTCTTCCAATATGCCACAAAAAAGAGGGAGTCAAGCTATTCTCCAAAGCCCCTGAGGGCAGAACGAGAAGCAATGGGTGGAAACCAATCAAGGAGAGAAGCAACTTAGAACTAAGGAGACATTTCCTGACAGTGAGAACAATTAACCGGTGGAACAGCTTGCCACCAGAAGTTGCGAATGCTCCAACACTGGAAGTTTTTAAGAAGAGACTAGACAGAATGGTATAAGGTACTCCTGCCCAAGCTGGAGGGTTAGACTAGAAGACCTCCAAGGTCCCATCCAACTCTGGTATTGTGAGCATCTCCCTCTGTAACACAGGGGATTCGTTTCTTGCCCACATCCAGAAAATCAGTTTAAACAGCAGAATAACTTCTTTCCATGGCATAGGGCCTAGCTATCTTCGAGACCGCCTGCTGCTACCGACGGCCTCCCACCGACCCGTGCGCTCCCACAGAGAGGGCCTCCTCGGGGTGCCATCAGCCAAACAATGCAGGCTGGTGACCCCCAGGGGGAAGGCCTTCTCTGTGGGGGCACCTACCCTCTGGAATCAGCTGCCCCCAGAGATAAGGAGAATCCAAGACCTCGGTGCCTTCCGCCGTGCCCTTAAAACCCACTTTTCCCAGCAAGCCGGGCTGGCTTAGGAAGAAATTTTTTTAAGATTTTTAAATGTTTAATTGGTTTGTGGTTTTTTTTAAATTTTGGGCCAAATTTATATCGATTTTAATTGTTTTTAATATTTGTATTTCATGTTTTTAATTCTGGCTGTGCACCGCCCTGAGTCCTCAGGGAGAAGGGCGGTATATAAATTGAAAATAAATAAATAAATAAATAAATAAAATTTCCCTAAAACTTAAAGTAGGCCCTAAGATCACTATCTTTTTAAATATATATATATATCAGTGGTGGGATTCAAATTTTTTTTAACTACCGGTTCTGTGGGCGTGGCTTGGTGGGCGTGGCATGGCTTGGTGGGCGTGGCATGGCTTGGTGGGCGTGGCAGGGGAAGGATACTGCAAAATCTCCATTACCTCCCCACTCCTGAGGAAAGGATACCGCAAAATCCCCATTCCCTCCCCACTCCTGGGGGAAGGATACTGCAAAATCCCCATTCCCTTCCCACTCCTGAGGAAAAAATACTGCAAAATCCCCATTCCCTTCCCACTCCAGGGGAAAGGATACTGCAATATCCCCATTCCCTTCCCACTCCTGAGGAAAGGATACTGCAAAATCCCCATTCCCTTCCCACTCCAGGGGAAAGGATACTGCAAAATCCACGTTCCCTCCCCACTCCTGAGGAAAGGATACTGCAAAATCCCCATTCCCTTCCCACTCCTGAGGAAAGGATACCGCAAAATCCCCATTCCCTCCCCACTCCTGGGGAAAGAATACTGCAAAATCCCCATTCCTTTCCCACTCCTGGGGGAAGGATACTGCAAAATCCCCATTCCCTCCCCACTCCTGGGGGAAGGATACTGCAAAAATCCCCATTCCCTCCGCACTCCTGGGGGAAGGATACTGCAAAATCCCCATTCCTTTCCCACTCCTGGGGAAAGGATACTACAAAATCCCCATTTCCTCCCGATCACCTGGGACTCAGGAGGCAGAGAATAGATGGCGGCGGGGCCAGTCAAAGGTGGTATTTACCGGTTCTACGAACTACTCAATTTTTTGCGGTGGGCAGCCACAGGATTTATTTCTTTAAATACGCCTTCAAATCTTGCAGTGGCCTGAGCTTGCAAGAATCAGAAGCCGAAAGGCAGCAATCAGAGGCAATAAAACCTAAATAAATAAGAGCTGGCGGTCGATTAAAGTCTGTGAGGCAACCCACAATATTACACAGCCTTAGCTCTCCAAAGCTTGTGGTTTCAGTCCAGCTAGATGGGTATCGGAGTTGGCACCAGCCTGTCTTTGGAGTTGGAAGGGATGAAATTTCCAGATTAGGGTTACTGCAGAGAACCTTAATGGGTGATGGGGACTTCTCGGTGCTGGCCCCCTGCCCTATGCAATGCGCTTTCCGCCCTGCAAAACGCTAATGTGTTTTTAGACTTGCAAAAGACATATCTTTGGTAAGCCAGTTTGCAACCGTTACATGCAATTCCTGACTTCCCACCGCTCATTTAGTGACGGAATTCACTTGCCTTCGCTACAGGCTCATCAATGTGAGCGTACGCAAAGGCAGCTGAGAGAGAGAGAGAGTCCCCTTTTTCAACAGGATTAAAAATTGGGGTGACAAAGGCCGCTTAAAACAGAGCCCCGTTTTAAACGGGATTCAAATCGGGCTGCGCAAAGGCGGCTAAGAGAGAGAGAGAGTCCCCTTTTTCAACAGGATTAAAATCGGGGTGCAAACCCGTTTTTAAACCCGACTCCCCCCCCCCCCAGGAAGCATTCTAGGTTTATCAGAAGGCCCCGTTAAAAGAAAATCAGCAGAATGTTATTTGCGAACGAAGTCGGGCCGTTCGCTTTTTTTTTTTTTTAATTGCACGCGGCTCCTGTCGTGATCCATTCTCATTTTTTCTTTTTTTTTGTCCCCGTCATCATTTTCTTTATGCCCTTCCACATTCTATTTGGCTAATTTTGTGCTGATTTCCTCAATCCACCGGTGGGCACGCCAGAAACAACAGAGGACGGGACGGACGGTTTGAACAAATGCACGAGGCATTAAAAAAAAAAGAGAGAGAGAGAGAGAGAAAATAACAACAAAAGCACAGATCCAACATTACGGATGAATGGCGATATTGCTAGAATTTGGAACAATTACAAAATACCCAGTGCCCCGTATTTTTAACTTGCTGATATACTCGAAAACCAGGAATGCTTTATTTTCAGAAGCAAACTTGAAAAGGAGAGGGAGAAAAAGAGGGTTGAGTGGGCCTTTGGTGCGGAAAATATTTAACCGGACAGAGAGAAAGGACGGATAAGAGGCCACTAAGAAATTCCAAGGCTGCGGGTTCAAATCTAAAGTCCCAAAGTGAATTTTGCGGTCTTGGAATTCTGCGATCCCACTGAACGAGGGGTGAAATGTAAAATTTGTTACTACCGGTTCTGTGGGCGTGGTTTGGTGGGGGTAATATGACTGAGTGGGCGTGGCCAACTTTTTTAAAAAAAACTTTTAAAACCATTTTTTCTACAACCTCTTCGGTTAAAGAGGTTATTAAAAAATGCTTTTAAAAGCCTCTGACGATCCCAGCTGGCTTGCCTGATCAGCTTAGGCTTTTTTTCCTTTTAAAAACATTTTTTCTATAACCTCTTCGGCCGAAAAATGGACACAAAAGGTCGCGGGGCATCAGTCACTTAACAGCTCCCTTGCTTAGCAAAAGACACGTTGGGCTCAATTGTGGTTGTAAGTTGAGGACTACCCATAGTTGAAGAACTAGGAATTCTTATCCAAGGCTACCAGCCTTTGAGGGAGAGCTTCACCACCGTGTGGGCCCCCATGCCACTTTTTCAACCGGTCCTTTCAATCCGTATATGATCTTTTCACACAAGAGAAAGTTTGGCACCAATGAGAATTACTATTGTAGTTGTGTGTTTTTTGGGTTCCTGCCCGCCTCTCACTCTGCAAAAACTTGATAAAGCCGCAAAACTAACAGCCCCAATTTAACTCGGGCTCTGTTGTAATTATACAACTATTTGGATAATTGCAGCTTCAGTAAGCAGGTTTGATTTTGTGTATGTTTGTGTGTGTGGTCTGAGAATCACAACCTGCAAAGGACAACTGCTTTTGTGCCTTGACTTTAACTCGGGAGCTGATCCTTAATATTCAGTAAATATTAAAAGCCTTTTTTCCCCAAAATTTTAAAAAAGGATGTATATTTTGTCGAAAGAAATGCTTTCAATGTTGCCGGGACTTGAACCCATTTCTTCTTTTTCTGGCAGGTTGTCAGTGAGAAGGGAGGAAAATGAGAAATCTGTTTGAAATACAAGTAGTCCTCAACTTAGGATCACCACTGAGCCCCAAATTTCTGTCGTTTTAAGTGAGATATTCGTTAAAGGAGTTTTGCCCCATTTTACAACTTTTCTTGACACCGTTGTTAAGCGAATCACGGCGGTCGTTAAGTCAGTAACGGGGGTTAAGTGAATCAGGCTTCCCCTTTGCTCGTCAGATGGGTCACGAAAGGGGATCGGACGGGACACAGCAACGGTCATAAGTACGAAGCGTCTGAATTCCGATCACACGATCACAAAGATGCTACCAAGGTTTTAAGTGAAAAAAACGGTCCTAACTCACTTTTTTTCAGGGCCGTTGTAACTTTGAACGGTCACTAAATGGTGACCGAACGGGTGTAATTCAAGGACTACCTGTAGTAGAAAAATAAAAGAAGAAGTAAAACAGTGTTAACTTGGTTCCTTGCATGGGACTTAAACTCTCTTTGTTTGGTCCAAGCTCAAATTTCCGGCTTAAGTCCTAAGTCATTTTTTTCAGTCCCGTTGTAACTTGGGAACGGCCACTAAATGAATGGTTGTAAGTCGAGGACTACCTGCATGAGTCTGATTCCCTCCTTTCCGTGCCCCTTTCCAGTTATCATACACCTTCCTTCGTCCATGAAGATTATAAAAGGCCTCCCTGGGAAATTCACAGCAATCCAGCTTCACCTCCACTGGGGTGGCACGGGGAAAGAAAACAGCGGATCCGAACACACGATCGACGGGTTACGATATCTCGCCGAGGTACGTCACACTCCGTTTCCCCCTAGGAAAGAAGAGGACAACAAAAAAAGGGGAGGGAGGGACATCCAGGAGTGGGCTTCAAAAATATTAGCAAGGGGTTCTCTGCGGATGTGGCCTAGTTGGCCTCCTACACCATGGGGGGGGGTGTTTCTGCCCTCCCCGGGCTCCAGAGGCTTTTCTCAAGCCTCCGGGAGGGCGAAAACGGCCTCCCCAGGCTCCGGAGGCCCTTCCCGAACTTCTGGTAGGCCTGTTTTTCGCCCTCTCCAAGCCTCCGTGTGCACCCTGCACTTTTCTGCAGCCAAAACAGGCCGCGTGGGGACTCCTGGGAGGGATGGGGTGGGGTGGGCGGGGCCAGCCAGGAGTGGGATTTGAGGGTTCTCCGAACTGCACAGAATCTTAGCTAGAATTTTCTCCTGAACTCCTGCGAACCCCCAGCAGCCCACCCCTGCGTAGAATCCTTCAATCCTCTGATGACGCCGTTTGTGAGGAAGGGTCTTGACAGGAAACAGGGAGGGAGTCGATGGGAGATTCGCTTAACAACTAAACCATGGTGAAAAAGATTGTGAAATCAGACAGGACTCACTTAACAACTGCTTTGCTTAGTAACGGAAATCCTGCTCCCATTGGTCGGCGAGGACCGCCTGTTGTTGAAGAACTAAGAATCGGTTGTCCAAGGCTATTTGTGCCTTCGAGGGGGAGCTTCACCACCGTGTGGGCCCCCATGCCACTTTTTCACCCTTGCTTTTTTTTTTTTTTGCCCCGCAGCTCCACATTGTCCATTACAACTCAGCAGCTTACTCCAGTTTTGACCAAGCAAAGAATAAACCAGATGGTCTGGCTGTTCTCGCTTTTCTTTTTGTGGTAAGTACCACCATTTATGCCACGGGAGTCTTGTAAGAGGCTTTTAAGTTGGGTGGCACAGAGCCAGAGCTGCGTGTCGACTTCTGTCCCACCTCCTTGGTACTACAAGTTCATTAAAGACCCTTCAAAGGATCGCTCCCAACATACATATCCCATCATGTCTCCTCGTGGTTATGGTTCGAGACACAGCTAGTGGTTATCTGGCATTTTTATCCACCTATCGAGGCCTTCCCAAGAACCCGGAATAAGCAGAGGTGAATGTTTTATCGCTGTGATAGCGAACCTATGGCACGCGTGCCACAGGTGGCACACGAAGCCATTTCTGTGGGCACATGAGCCGTTGCCCTAGCTCAGGTTCAGTGCGCATACATGTGCCGGCCAGCTGATTTTCGGCTGGCCCCGTCCACGCCTCCCCTCCCCTCCCAGGAGTCTCCACGTGGCCTGTTTTGGATGTCAGGTAAGTATAGGGCTCATGCAGAGGCTCTGGGAGAACGTTTTTGGCTTCCTGAGGGCATCCGGGGGGAGGCCGTTTTCGCCCTCCCCAGGCTCCCAAGAGAGCCCCTGGAGCCTGGGGAGGGCGAAAAACGGGCCTACTGGACCTACTGGAAGTCTGGCTGTTTCCGGCCTCCGGAGGCTTCAGGGAGGCCTGCTAGGCCCGAAATGGGGCACGGCGAGATAATGCACAGGGAGGCAGGACACAGTGGGGCATTTAATTATGGAGGTGGGCACATGGACGCGTGCTTTCGGCACCCGAGGGAAAAAAAGGTTCACCATCACTGTTTTACGGTGTTAGAACATCGGAGGATGTAAGCTGTTCCGAGCAAAGCTGCCTTTTGCAATTGACTGGCGGTGAATTTGTCGATCTCTGAACGGGGTTCAGTTGGACCTACCTTTGCTTGCTTCTGCCCCAGTCGTTCTATTTCTATTTGCCGGTCTTTATATTTTGTGAGCTTCTCCAGTTCTTTTTCTTTAATTAGCGAGGTACTCATACCACTCTATGAAGCCTTAGTAAGACTACACCTCGGATACTGCATCTAGTTTTGGTCACCACACTATAAAAAGATGTTGAGACTCTAAAAAAAGTGCAGAGAAGAGCAACAAAGAGGATTAGGGGACTAGAGGCTCAAACATACGATGAACGGTTGCAGGAACTGGGCGTGGCTAGTCTAGCGAAGAAAACACCCTTTTTGCAACTACCTTTTATAATAAAGGGTGTTCATTGGTATACGCTCACTTTGCAACACAATGCAATTATAGCGCATTTTAATTTTTTCCCCTTGGAAAAGTTTCGGCAGTATATGTTTGACTTTAAAAAAAAAATTATTTTTTTTCTCCTGGCATTGCAAGCAAGTGGCCTCCTTTGGAAGGGAGATTTGTTAGGGCGTCCCTTTGATTTGCAAATCAAGGTTGTCATTTTCATGCCAACATCCCAGGACAATTGGAAGCGCAAGAGGCAATTTCCCAGAGAATGTCTCCCATCGCCTTCCCCCCCCTCCCCAACATCTGTCTGACATCTGCTTAACAAAAGGATCTCTCCAGCAGGACAAAGCTAAGAATCACTGTTTTGGTTCCTTCGCAGCTGTCCAAATTGTTGTCTGTGCAGTTTGGAAAAATTGGTAGCTGGGAATTCAGCTTAATTTTCCAGCTGTTTGCTTCTGGTTCAGAACGATGGGCTTGCTTCTTTCTCTCCCTCCCTCCCTCCCTCCCTCTCACACACACGAAACTATCTCTCCCAATCTGGATCAGCTACTTCATTTCTTCCCCAAATCTGATCAATTATAATTGGGTTCACATCACAGCTTGTTTTAAATGTGGCTGGATCAGGTTTGCTCAACCTTCGAATTGGGGTTTTTAAAGAGCGAGCGGCTGGCTTGCAGCCTCCCACCAAGCCACCATTTAATAAGCCACCTTGTGGCTTAGTTTATCAATCAGGGATTGTTATCAAGATGGGTTGTGTTTTTTTAATTGCTTTAAAATTAAGAAGGGTCATTGTGTAACATCAAGTTTAGGGTTTAAAATAAAGTTTTTTCAATTGAAAAATAAAACCTTCTCGGAGATTTTAAAGAGGGGAAGATTATACTTCGGTTCACAACCCTGAATCTAACACTAGGGAGCAGCAAAGAATAGAGAAATAAAGACTGGATCAGTGGCAAAATCCAATTTTTTTACTACCAGTTCTGTGGACGTGGCTTGGTGGGTATGGTGTGGGTTAGTGGGCGTGGCTTGGTGGGTGTGACAGGGGAAGGATATTGCAAAATCCCCATTCCCACCCCTCTCCAGGGGAAGGATACTGCAAAATCCCCATTCCCACCCCACTCCAGGGGAAGGATACTGCAAAATCTCCATTCCCACCCCTCTCCAGGGGAAGGATACTGCAAAGTCCCCATTCCCGTCCCACTCCTGGGGGAAGGATACTGCAAAATCCCCATTCCCAAGGATACTGCAAAATCCCCATTCCCTTCCCACTCCTGGGAAAAGTATACTGCAAAATCCCCATTCCCTCCTCACTCCTGGGGGAAGGATATTGCAAAATCTCCATTCCCACCCCACTCTGGGGCCAGTGAGAGGTGTTATTTGCCAATTCTCCGAACTACTCGAAATTTCTGCTACCGGTTCTCCAGAACCTGCTGGATTTCACTCCTGGACTGGACATATTTTTTAATTTTCTGAAAGCAAATCGGGACATTTAAATTAAAAGGAGAGGAAAGGAGAGAAGCAAAATATTGGTGTGCTTCTCCTTTGAGATTAATTCAATCCCGATGCTCATTATTTCCGGGATGTTCAACTTGCAAGGCTCACCTGGTGGTCTCCCATCCCAAAAAGCAAAACTTAACCCCATTTTTTTTTCTCTTCCTTCAAGAACAGCCAGCATCTAGTGGTGGGGGTGCATGAATTAGGCAAATCAGTTTCCTTTGTCATTAGAAGTCGAGCAATATAGATATGTAATTATTTTAATTTTATTTTTTTTCAGGGCAACCCCTTTGAGAATGCTTACTACAGCGACTTCATTGCCAAATTGGCCAAAATTAAGTATGCAGGTAAGCATCCCTGGATTTTTGGGCTGATGCAGAAATGCAAATGAGATTCTCCCCACACGCACCAATCAGATGCTCCCGGCTGCCACAATTCCTTGCCATTGGCTGCGTTGCTCAAGAGCTGATGGGAGATGAAGTCCAGAGGGCACCACCAAAGCTGCTCAATTCCATCCATGCAAGATTCTCTACCTGTTTTAAGCACCCCATCTAGAAAGAAGGGGGAGAAATCAATAAACAAATGCAGCTTTTTGGCTAACCAAATAGCAATTTGCAATATATCCTGCAAAGTGGGAAAACAGACTGTTAAGGATATTCTCGGCTCATAACCGATGTTATGGGTTATTGAGCAGAGTACTCCTTGAGTATACACATGGAAAACGGCTGAGAGTGTTTATGACTAATTACAGTTAATATACAGACACACTGAGTTGTGGTAGTCTTTTTACTTTTAGGAAAAAGTAAAGCAACGTCCAATAACAATCCAGGTCATACACAGATAAGGCGATAGTTCAAATATCAATTCAGGGATATTCCAAGTACAAAGTTTTCTTACCAGTTGTTGTAGTCATTACAGAATAAAACAGTTCTTCTTGAGTTTCAAACGGGAACAAGTTCGATATTAAAACATTCAATAAATAGTAGAAAGCAACAAGTAGCAATGATCAAACAGTGAGCATGTAGAGAGTAACAGCAAATAAGCAGGTAAAATGGTGTAGTGTCCACAAGCCATGATTCAGGCTTCCCCTTAAGTACATTGGCTACAGAGCTTAGCCAATCAGGATACAGGATGATGCAATACAGTCTTAAAGCAATATAATACCTTTTGACTGCAAACATATATTGATAGTTTATATGTTGCCTGACCAACTAGTTAAGATAATACACATTTTGTAACACAGACTGCAAAAACTCAGCAGGGGAGAAATGCTTGATGCACACATCGCTTCATGCAGCCTGGGCTCTCTTGGGACTACAAAGCCCAGCATTCCCGATCTCCCGACTCCAAAGGGAGACCAAAGCACCATTCTTGTTGCTTTCCTTTTCTCCTGTCTTCCCAAACATCTCAGTTTAAAGGCAATTTTTAAAACATTGGGTCATTTAGATCCCTCAGTGCTCCTTCATCTGATCCTGGCCTGCTTTACAAGATCGTTGTACGCAGAGGGGTGTTTTTTCTCTTGTAGGGTATTCGACCACTCTCGATAGCCTGGATATCTTAGCCATGTTGCCGGAAAACCTCTCCGATTTCTACCGCTATCATGGTTCGTTGACCACGCCTCCATGCACAGAAAACGTGATCTGGACGGTGTTTGACACGCCTATCAAGCTGTCTTACACTCAGGCAAGAAATATTCCTCCCTTACACTGTCCCTGCATTGCACTGAACCATGGTTTAGGTTGATGCTGCATTCAATCATGGTTTGGATCTACGCATTGCACAACACACCATGGCTTGCTGAATAACACAATAACACATTGCACAATTGCTTTTAAACGACCCTGGTTCTACTTTGCAAGCCACAGTTGCTCAGTTCAGACAGCCCACCCACCCAAAAATAAACAAGCCATGTTATGATGGTGTAAGGTCTCCTGTTATGGACGGGGGTGGGGGGGTGGACTAGATGACCTACAAGATCCCTTCCACCTCTGTTAATCTAACAGCTTTCTTTAGCTGTTTAGCAGGCTAGGTACGTAACACGGGTTGAAACTTTACCAAAGAAGAAATGAAATCTTTATTTTAAAGATTAAGATTATTTTAAAGGCAGGAAGCAGTTTTGATTCCCTCCCAGCCATTGAATATACTGGTTTTTTTTAAAAAATAATAACCTGACAAACTTTTACATTGACTTTAATTCTACAATTTTAGGTTGAGTTATTTTTTAATTGGCATCTTATCCTTTTTTTTTTCTTTTTTTTTGGGTGGTTTTATAAAACTATGCTCTTCACTTTTTAAATTGCATTGGCCAATTTGGCTTACGTTTGGGGTGTTTTCTCCCCATTTTTAATAGAAACAGCTCTCCAGAAGCACCATCTGAATAATTCGTTAAGGATGATTCGTGTTTGATTTTGCAAAAAAAAAAAAAAATGGTTTTGTGAATCCTTCTCATTTGTACATTCAGTGAGAGTCCATTGGAATTGGGTGGCTCCTAAATTCAAAATTAATCATTATTATATCTCTAAACATGCTTCTGTTCATCATTTTTTTTCTCTCTTCCCCCTGCAGTTCTCTTCTTTATATTTGCTTTGTAAAAATCCAAACAAAACACTGTTTGAGGGTACCTTAGTGCTCTCTAAGCTTGGCTGGGTTTTTTTTGCAAACATTTCATTACCCAACTAAGTAACATTATCAGTTCTAACTGCCGTTTGGACAGGAGAGCTGGATTCAGACTGAGCTGAACACACTTATTAGCAGAAGCCTATATTCCACTTAAGAGGGATGCGGTGTCTCAGTGGCTAAGACGCTGAGCTTGTCGATCGAAAGGTCGGCAGTTCGGCAGTTCGAATCCCTAGTGCCGCGTAACGGGGTGAGCTCCCGTGACTTGTCCCAGCTTCTGCCAACCTAGCAGTTCGAAAGCACATAAAAAATGCAAGTATAAAAAAATAGGGACCACCTTTGGTGGGAAGGGAACAGCGTTCCGTGCGCCTTTGGCGTTGAGAGTCATGCCGGCCACATGACCACGGAGACGTCTTTGGACAGCGCTGGCTCTTCGGCTTTGAAACGGAGATGAGCATCGCCCCCTAGAGTCAGGAATGGCTAGCACAGATGTGCGAGGGGCACCTTTACCTTTATATTCCACTTATACTGCGGCTCCTCCAATATATTTTTTTCCCCCGCTCCAATATTTACTTCTTTACAGATCGAACTTTTGGAAAGCACCTTGATGGATTGGAACAACAAAACGTTGAGAAACGATTACCGTCAAATCCAGCCTCTCAACCAACGGGTAGTCAAAGCATCCTTCTCTCCTCAGCTGCTCGAAGGTACATTGCAGGAGTTGACCCCCCCCCCACTCAAAAGGATGTAAAGTAGGATGGGCAAATCACCATGGATTGGACCAGCTCATAATCTTCAGGGCTCAGATCTTAAGACAGGAACCAGGAAGACAATTCTAAGACTCCACCCAACTCAACCAAAATGTGAACTAAGGGCTTTTATTATAGTCTCTTTAATAAAAAGGGACGCGGTGGCTCAGTGGCTCAGACGCTGAGCCTGTCGATCGAAAGGTCGGCAGTTCAGCGGTTCGAATCCCTGGTGCCGCAGAACGGGGTGAGCTCCCGTTCCTTGTCCCAGCTTCTGCCAACCTAGCAGTTCGAAAGCACGTAAAAAAAATGCAAGTAGAAAAATAGGGACCACCTTTGGTGGGAAGGGAACAGCGTTCCGTGCGCCTTTGGCGTTGAGTCATGCCGGCCACAGGACCACGGAGACGTCTTCGGACAGCGCTGGCTCTTTGGCTTTGAAACGGAGATGAGCACCGCCCCCTAGAGTCGGGAACGACTAGCACATATGTGCGAGGGGAACCTTTACCTTTATTATAGTCTCTGGTTCTCCTCCTCCTGAGTAGACTTTTACTCTGGAGTAGACCCCTCCCTGATCACCTCTCTCCTCCAGAGTAGACCCTTTCTGTTGCTCAGGCCCCCACTTTCTTAAAATGGATAGAAGTTAAAATTCTTTATTAGCCAAGTGTGATTGGACACACAAGGAATTTGTCTTGGTGCATACACTCTCAGTATACATAAAAAGACAGGATACATTCGTCAAGAATCGTAAGGGACAACACTTAATGATAGTCATAGGGTACAAATAAGCAATTGAATCATACAAGGAAACAATATAAATCATAAGGATAGAGCAACAAGCTACTTTCATACAGTCGTAAGTGGGAGGAGATGGGTGATGGGAACGATGAGAAGACTAATAGTAATAGTCATGCAGACTTAGTGAATAGTTTGACAGTGTTGAGGGAATTATTTGTTTAGCAGAGTGATGGTGTTCAGGAAAAAACTGTCCTGAACGCCATCAAACTGTCAAACTAGTTACTAAGTCTGCATTACTATTAGTCTTCTCATCGTTCCTATCACCCATCTCCTCCCACTTATGACTGTATGACTGTAACTTTGTTGCTGGTATCCTTAAGATTTATATTGACTATGACTATCAGTAAGTGTTGTACCTTATGATTCTTGACGAATGTATCTTGTCTTTTTATGTACACTGAGTAGCATATGCACCAAAAACAAATTCCTTGTCTGTCCAATCACACTTGGCCAATAAAGAATTCTATTCTGTTCTATTCTTATTCTCATTATATATTTACTAACAATTTCTTTTTTATTTACATCTTTATCTTAAATGTATTTTTACTTTCTCTTTAATCTTTTTCATTTCCATTTTTTTTTTTAGAAAAAAAAATTATTTTTATTTTTAAACGAACAATTCAACATTAATCAATCAGTGTAACATCTGGGTACAAATTTTTTTTTTGTGTCCCTAGTAAAACCATGATTTATGGGCTTAGTATGATACGTGAGCCAGGCTAGAATTGTTTGTGGCACAAAAGCCTAGTTAAAAACAGTAGAGGGGGTGTGAGCTCAGTCGATCCAAAGGAACTGAGAGTGAAAAGTGCTCTAGTTTTCTTTTCATCGTTCAACCCCTAATTTCCTTGGGTCGTCTCTGCATTAGATTGGGTGGGTCATTAATACAACTGTTGTGACTTAGGCTTTAAAACACACTAGTCCCCAAAACCTCTTTTATTGCAACAGCTGTGAATTACGTTCATTCACAGCTGAGTCCCAATTAGTTGCAAAAAGTCCTTTGGGAGAAGACCTTCGGGATAATCGCCAACCTTTATCTCCCTTGACACGCTGCCAAAGACCTACTTGGCAAAGCCACATGGAGTCCAGAATCAAACAGAGATGCCGACTGGGAACAGAATGAACAACGTTGCTTTCCTGCAAAGGGCCCACATGCCTTTGCTCCTCTTTTAAGCCTTATCATCTCCAGGCCTTACTCCCGAGTCGTCCCTTTTGTTTTAATTGTTCGTGCCTTCTGGCAGCTCTGCGCTTGCGTGCACTAGGAACAGGCTCCTCCTGTTCCTCTGCCTCTCTGATATCCGATTCTGGCGACTCCGGAATCCGCGCATCACTCCCAGATGGCCCTGGCCCCATCTCTGCCTCTGACGCAGAGCCCTCGTCCGAGCCTTCTCCAGACTCCAGGACTGGCCCATGTTCCTCCCCAGCCTCCTCACTGTCCGACTCCACTGCCAGCTCTGCAGGCTGCTGGCGGACCACAACAACAACGGAGAAAGTTTACCAAGGAGCTAAAAACTAGAACTCTCTGTCATTTTAGGAAGGTGTCAGCCTGAGAGCATCTCCAGGAAACTGGATAAACTACAGAATCATCTTTTTGAGATAAAGAAGTATCTTCTGGATGTCATAGGCAAGCCTGGTAAGGAACACCTTCTTGGCTTTTGTTGACCTAAGTGCCTTCTTTCCCAACCCAGCTGGGAAATTAAGGATGCCACCCTAGGAGACCCCAGAACCAATTCTGGATTCTGGAAGCTCCATGGAAGCCAAGAGGCAAGGCGGTTTTGAGTCTTGGAAGCACCTAGTACCGTGATGGCGAACCTATGGCACACGTGCCACAGGTGGCACGCAGAGCCATATCTGTGGGCACGCGAGTGTTGCCATAGCTCCAGCACGCATGTGCGTGTCAGCCAGCTGATTTTCGGGCCTTCCAGGCCCACCGGAAGTCGGGAAATAGGCCGTTTCCAGCCTCCAGAAGGGGGAAGGCAGTTTTTGCCCTCCCCAGGCTCCTAGAAAGCCTCTGGAGCCTGGGGAAGGTGCCACAGTGCCATTGCGTGTCAAAAGCGTGGGGAGCGTGCGGGGGGGTGTGGACATGTGAAAGAGACCCCCTGTGCTCCCCCCGCTTTTGGCACGCGACAGCAAAAAGGTTAGCCATCACCTTTGACCTAGTATCTCTTCTCTTCTGCCCCCTTCTTTGTCCGTGCCCTCCCTCCGTGCCCATTGTGTTGGGAGAAGTGGAGATGGTTGGAGAGATTTCACAGATCTTTATTTATTTAGAGAATTTATATAGCCGCCTACTCGCTCCCAGCAACTCTTAAGCGGCTTTACAAACGGTAAAAATACAAAATTCAATAAATACACACACACACAAACACACACACACACACACACACACAGTGACAGTACAGGATTAAATAAGCCATTTGATGGGCTCCCTCACATTCTGGGTTCCCCAAGTCCGCTGGCAGAACCATGTCTTCAGGTCCTTCCAAAAAGAATGCCAGAACGGTGACCAGTCTAATTTCTGCAGGGATGATGTTCCAAAGGGAAGGAGCCACCATGGAGAAGGTCCTTCTTCTGGGTCTCGCCAAGTGGACCTCCTTAGGGGATGGGACTCCCAACATTCCTTGCCTCCCTGTTCTAGTGGGTCATGTGGATGTGACCGGCCAGAGAGGGTCCCTCAGATAGCCTGGTTGCAAGCCATGAAGGGCTCTAAAGGTGACAACTTAAGGACCACCTATGACTAAGAGGTTCTCCTAGGTTCTTCCAAGGATCAATTTAATGAGGTTCTCCTAGGTTCTTCCAAGGATCAATTTAATGAAGTTCTCCTGGGTTCGTCCAAGGATCAATTTAATGAGGTTCTCCTGGGTTCGTCCAAGGATCAATTTAATGAGGTTCTCCTGGGTTCTTCCAAGGATCAATTTAATGAGGTTCTCCTGGATTCCTCCAAGGATCAATTTAATGAGGTTCTCCTGGGTTCTTCCAAGGATCAATTTAATGAGGTTCTCCTGGATTCCTCCAAGGATCAATTTAATGAGGTTCTCCTGGGTTCCTCCAAGGATCAATTTAATGAGGTTCTCCTGGATTCCTCCAAGGATCAATTTAATGAGGTTCTCCTGAGTTCTTCCAAGGATCAACTCAAGGGGAAGCCATAAACAAAATTGGTTCCTTCCAGTTGGTCGGCCAGCTCAAGGACCAAGCAAACCTTGTCCGTGTCCGGTTGTTTTATTTCAGGTCACCACCAGCCCAGCTTGCAAGCCTTCCACTTCCCCTTGGAGAACACGGCCAGCTACGTGATGATCATCCCTCTGAAGCCCATGCAACTGAAAACCTTCACTCTCTGCTTCTGGGTCCAGAACAGCAACCAAGGCAGGCAGACCGTTCTCTTCTACTCCACTCCCGAGAGCGAGAACGAGCTGGTCATCAGCGTCGGCATGGCGGTGGGCGTGTGGATCGGGGGCAAGTTTGTGCAGTTCGACCTCCACCGCCGGGCAGAAGACTGGGTCCACCACTGCGTCACTTGGGTCTCCAGCTCGGGCACCATCAACCTATGGGTCAACGGAGCTGTGGGCACCGCCCGGAACATTCAGAAAAACTACATCATCCAGAGCGGCGGGACGCCTATCCTGGGGAAGAGGAAAAACGCTATGTTGGATGTCTTCGCCGACGCTTTCTCCGGCTGGATGAGCCACGTCAACCTCTGGAGTTGGCTGCTGGACCAGAACGACATCCAGGAGCTCACCCTTTGCAAACACAGCCAGCAAAAAGGAGACGTCGTGGCTTGGGGGGAAACGCATATGTCCCTCTTCGGCGGAGTGTCCCTAGGCCCTGACACCAGCTGTAGATGAATCAGGCCTGGGTTTCGAGGTCTCTATATTAAAAAAAAAGCTTGTTTCCTTCCCCCAAATCTTTGCATTTTCCCAATCCGGGACTCTTAATTTCAGTGGGCGTTAAGAGAGGTGGCGAACTTCAACTCCCAGAATTCCCCAGCCCGCTTTGCTTCCTGGCTTCCATGATCTTCCGTTATGGTTCCTTATCTCCAGAAGCTTTGCTGGCTGGGGAATTCTGGGAGTTGAAATCCACTCCTCTTACGGGAAAACAAACAAACAAAAAACACTGGTGCCCAGAGACTATAGTGCACTCCCATCCAGCAGGGACTTATGGGTAGGACTGAGACCTTACAGTCCCAGGCTACTGACTCACATGGATGGTGTGAACACATGTCTTTTGTGCAATGTTGGGGAAGGAGGGGAGGGGGAAATCTGGAGCTAGAATGTCCCAGGTCTACCCCAAAAGTTGAATTAATGGTGTTGGAAGAAATATCCTTCTGGGTTCAGCTCCAAGTGGGGAAAAAGACATTGGAAACATGGAGACTGCTTGGAAAGATGGTTTAATGGCGGACAGGATCACATGGTGTGACTTCCTGAACAGAAAAGGGGCCGAGTCTCCGGGTTTTATGCCCTCTCTGGCTTTGAACTTCCTGGACCCCCGAAAAGAGTATCCTGATTGGTTGTCAGACTCCCAGGGGGTGGGGGTCTTAGCTAGCCTTGCTGGTTGATGTAACCTTCCCAGGTGCCATGTGGTGAGTTTCTGTTGCTAGATGGGTCCTATTGTGTTGCAGATGATGGTCCATTGACAAAGACTGAGTTTCTGTCTCTGGCCCATTGACAAAAGGTGGGAGCTCCTTTGTCTTTAAAACATGCTTCTCCATTTCTCATGCAGGGAAACATAATATTCTGCCTTTTTAATATTTCCTAAAATATTTCATTCTTCTAGTAAAGGGGTGGGTGCTAACTTCCTACAATGGGTTGGGGGGGGGTCCATCAAAGGGGGGGTCGAACTACCCCCCCCCACTTTGGATTGCCCTGTGTCAAGACAGTGTAGGGAGGGGGTGTCGATAGTGACGATTTTTAACAAAAAGATTGCGAACTGATTGTCCAGAGGATTTGCACCCCACCGAAACCTGCTTAATAATTTAAATTTAAAAAGCCTGCATGGCATAAAACCTACATTTTTGGCTTGCCGGTTGTGGGGCATCAATACATTCTCCACCAGTTCAACCCAAGCCTTATTTTGATTTCTTAAAATTTTATTCTGCCCCCACCACCACCTCCCATAAATAATTCTGCAATCCAATTATTCGGTATTATTCATCTGACATGCGTTGTATTTGGTTAACACCAAACTGAATTGACGGACATCGACAATTCTTAAATTGTAGGTTTCCCCCTTTTTTTTAAAAAAAAAATCTCAAACATACTTTATGCCATGGGCTCCTTGAACCCCAAATTTGATTTACTCTTCTCAAAAGTAGTATCACGCTCTCTCTAAATATATCTCGGTGCAGGAACGCAAATCCCAGCTAACACAGCAAGATTGGAACAAACAACTCTTGCCTCTTTCCAAGTTTTCTCCAACAGCTATTTTATTTTGCAGCACTCAAAATAATAAAATAAAATACACCTGTTTGTGCAAAAGTATAATTTCCCCACACTTTGGGGGGAGCGAAAAAATCCAGAGAAAATAAAACCTTAAAAAAAACACACACACATACAACCTACACAAAAAACATTCCAAGATATGTACAACATTTCTCTTCTCAAATTTGTGGATGTTTTTTTTTTTTTTTTTTAAATCAGGTTTGTTATGAAAAAGATGATTCTGGTTGCAAGAGAAACAACCCATCAATCTTGTTTTGGAAAACAAAAACGACCAAAGAAATAGAAAACTAACAGATTGTTAGGAGCCCCAAGTTAAATTCAGTGTAGAAATATCCCCAAGGGTGGAAAATTATTTTTAAAGTGGGCTCCCATGCTGCCAAAAATCCCTGCAAGCTTACCTTGAATGCAGGGATCTGTAGAACTGCCCCCCCAAAAATGCAGTGATATCTAGCATGTCAGGGATCCTGGCTAAGAGGAAACCTTGAGAAGCTAGGTTTCTACATTTGGGGAATGTTTTCCTATCTCAAAAAACTTTTGTTAAACATCCTGGGATCCAGGGGAAAAAAAAGAAAGAAAGAAAGATGAGATGGTTTTGTTTAATTTAGAAGTGTTTCTCTTGAAAAACAGAAAGGACCGCTTGGCAATATAGCATAAAACTTTGCAAAAATGCAGTTGTGTTATAATAAGACAGCCAGAGATTGGCTTGATTGGGGACAAAAGCCATTTAATCTTAACACATCCGCAAAGCATTCATTTGCATTTAATCTAAGGCATTTAATCTAACAAAGGCACTTAATCTAGCACATCTCCAAAGGCCCTGGGGGAGAATTTGGGGGTCTCTGTGTTACAAAATGCACCTCTCAAATTTAAGCAATGGTTTGGGGAGGGGGGTGTCTCTTTCCCCAGTTCTGTTATCTAAGAACAGAAGCTCCAGCATTATTACTAAACAAAAATTATTTACATGCTCCCACCTAAGAGAGCTGAAATCCATCCCTATTCAAGAACAAAAAAAAAATACTGATAATTTTTTTCCCAGAGTCCACCGGATGGAAAACGCATTTTTTCCCCAGCATGCGCCAATATTCGCTGTGAATTGCTTCCAAAACAGGATCTTGTAATTCCACCGAAATCTCGCTAACTCCGGTCCCACCTTGGAAGGCAACGGCTGGGGGGGGGGGGGAAATGGCAACGCTTGGTCACCCCCGTTTCTCCTTGAAATATAATTTTTAAGTTTTTGAGGGTGCCCTATCGTCCAACAGCGAGGAGAGGCACATTGCAAACCGGAGATGTTTTAAGGCAGAGTTCGGTGGGTTTATTTACACGGGGGGGGGAAATTCGGCGGTTGCCGAGACTTTACAACGCGCTGGTTCTTTCCCCATCCATTTTCTTGCCGTACGGCACGGAAACGGCGGTGAAATCCTTCAGTTCGTCCTTCTCGGCCTGATCTTCGGTACCGTTCCTCTTCGCCATGATCTGGTTGATCTCCATGAAGGTTTTGTTCTTGGTTTCCGGGACAATGAGAAAGACGTAGACGGCGGTGGCCAAGCAGATGGCGCCAAAAATGAGGAAACAGTAGGGACCGAGGCCTTGCTGGAGAAGGAACAACAAACAGATGGGACGTTCGTAAGAGAGGATTAAGAAATTGCATCGGTCGGCAGCTCCGCAAAATGTTTTTATTTGGGGAGAAACGTTTTTTGGGAGAAACCTTGCCTCAAAATCAAGCGGAGGTTTTGAGTTTCGTAAGAAACCGTTCAGACGTAAGAGTTAAGCTTTGCCTCTGATTTAAACTTCATGCATTCCCCCATTTATTTGAGCCAGTGGTGGGTTTCAATTTTTTTTTACTACCGGTTCTGTGGGTGTGGCTTTTTGGGCATGACAGGGGAAGGATACTGTAAAATCTCCATTCCCACCCCACTCGGGACAAGGTTACTGCAAAATCCCCATTTCTTCCCGATCAGCTGGGGCTTGGGAGGCAGAGAATAGATGGGGGTGGGGCGAGTCAGAATTTTTACCACCGGTTTTCCGAACTACTCAAAATTTCTGTTGCCGGTTCTTCAGAACTGGTTTGTCATTTGGGCTGAAACAAGTATCTACTCACAGGTACTTTTTGTTAGAAAATTCTGTTTTCTATAAAGCACCACAGAGCAAATAAAGAGTACATTCACCATGTGCTTTACTGCTCAACTGTATGACTGTTAACAGGAAAGTCTACTAAAGAAACCATAGATTATAACCATAGATGCCAGTGGTGGGATTCAAATATTTTTACTACCAGTTCTGTGGGCATGGCATGGCTTGGTGGGCGTGGCAGGGGAAGGATACTATAAAATCTCCATTCCCTCCCCACTCCAGGGGAAGGTTACTGCAAAATCCCCATTTCCTCCTGATCAGTTGGGACTCGGGAGGCAGAGAATAGATGGGGGCGGGACCAGTCAGAATTTTTACTACCGGTTCTCCAAACTACTCAAAATTTCCGCTACCGGTTCTCCAGAACTGGTCAGAACCTGCTGAAACCCACCTCTCATTTGAGCCCAAAATTTCCATCACCACCCGTTCAGAGTCAGATTTCTATTTTCGCATCATCATCATCATCTTTTAATGACCCCATAATCCCTTAGGGGGTGGAGTCTGGGCAATTGAATGGAGCTAGCAAAGTGTTTTAATGGCCGGATGCCCTTCCCTGTCGCCAATGCGGAGTTTTGTTCAGCAGATATATTCTCAGTGTGCAGAGAGAGAAATTATCTGCCTCTACCTAGGATCGAACTCACAGCCTCCCGATTGCAAGGCGAGGGCTCCACCTCTAGACCACCGCAGCACTCCTCTATTTTCGCATGTTTACACGCATTAATCAGAATGCGGGGCCAAACCCCGGGGCCATTGCAAAAAAGTTTCAGAACTTTTAAAAAGATTTTACCTCCAAGTAGCTGAAAACTAGTCCCACGGTGAAATTCGATAGCCAGTGCACCGAACCTCCCACCATGAAGGCAGCCGGCCGAGAAGATTGAAGAAACATTTCCATTATCATAACGCTTGGAATTGGGCCTAAAAAGGAAAGAAATTGGAAATAAGAGAAAGGAGGTGAGCGTCCTTTATCCAAGAAAAGCAAAAAAAAAATCAACTTTTCCCTTCCCTCCCCCACATCTTATGCCTGGCTGAGCTTGCAAGTGGGAAGTTGAGGTTGCTTCATGAGGACTAGAAGCTTAGATACCTATATAATATGGTAATTATACATAATTCTATTATACGTTATTAAAGAGATTTTTTTAACGAGATAAAAAGCAGTACAAAGAATAGGACAGAAAATAGGGGAAAAAAATAGAAAAGTTTTGACCACTATAAATATATTTTAAATTAAATTTACATTTATATTTTAACCTCTCTCTCAGGTTACATCATAATTTCCTGCTTCTGTAATCACTCATGAATCACTGATTTTCTTTTCCACCAAAATGTCCATCAGGCGTTTCCAGACAGAGCTAAATGCAATAGTTGACTTTTTTTTCTAAGAGAAAACTTACATTTTGCCACCTCTTCATGTTGTCATCACTGAGGACTAGAAACATGAGGGGGCTTTAATTCGAAGAAACTGCATCTCAAGGGCCCTTTGTTTGATAATATCCAGGACAATCAGTGTTATAGAGACAATATATATCATAGTTAGTACTGAGTGGAGGGTGTGAATGCGTTGACAAGCCAATTTAAGATAGAAGGCTGATTTGTGTACGTCCTCTGAGCATACGATCCACAAATCTACTTACTTGCACCAATGGCGTGTCCCATGACGTAAATGATCACACAGGCAATGCTGACGTAGGGCATCCACCAGATTGCCTGGGGGGTGGGGGGGAATTGAAAATATAAATTATTAAAATATTTAAAAGACGTTGAGACTTTGGAAAGAGTGCAGAGAAGAGCCACAAAGACGATTAGGGGACTGGAGGCTAAAACATACGAAGAACGGTTGCAGGAACTGGGTATGTCTAGTTTAATGAAAAGGACGAGGGGAGACATGATAGCAGTCTTCCAATATTTGAGGGGCAGCCCCAAAGAAGAGGCGGTCAAGCTATTCTCCAAAGCACCTGCGGGCAGGACAAGAAACAACGGGTGGAAACTAATCAAGGAGAGAAGCAACTTAGAACTAAGGAGAAATTTCCCAACAGTTAACAACAATTAATCAGTGGAACAACTTGCCACCAGAAGTTGTGAATGCTCCAATACTGGAGGCTTTTTAAGAAGAGACTGGACAGCCACATGTCTGGAATGGCCTAGGCCCAGGTCTCCTGCTTGAGTAGGGGGCTGGACTAGAAGACCTCTAAGATCCCTTCCTACTCTGAAGATGATGATGGATGAGAGACCACTAAGCAATTCTAAGTTATTCTTGTTATTCTGAAAAGGTCGAGAGGGTTGAGTTGCATCTTTATTGTAAGGACATATCTTGGAAGACTTGAAAAGTATTTCAACCCCTCCTTTCCTTTCACTCGCTGGAAAACTGGGGAATTTTCTGAGATGCTTCCCACACCCCTTTTTCTTCTAAGGGCTCGCGTTACCGTCACTTCAGTGGTGGGGCTCCACATATTCTTACTACCGCTTCACCGCGTGCGCACCTTTCGCGCATGCGCCCGGCCTTCCGTGCATGTGGTTTGCTTGCGCGTGGGCCTTCCGCGCATGCCCCTGGCCTCAAAAACGTGGCTAAATAAGACAGCATTACATCCAGGCCCACAGTCACCGCTACCAGTTTTCCCGAACCGGCTGAATCCCACTTCTGCTTCTCTTATCTGCAATTCTTCCTCCTTTCTCCCAAGGCCACATCTCATTAAAGGAAGGAAGCCTGCTATGGTAGAATCTAGGCTAAAATTGTGGGGTTTCCTCCCCAGATGTCCCCCCGCCCCCAGATCCTCTTCCCTTCCAGCCAATCAAAAGCCTTCTTTTAAAAACCTACCTTGAGATTCAGCGCAATGGTTAACACAGCACAGGCGACGCAGCAGATCCCAAAACCAGCCAGAAGCAAAATCCTTCGTCCCAGCGCCTCAACGACAAATACCTACCGTGGGGGGTGGGTGGGAAAAAAAGGGTAGATTGGGAAACCGAAGACCATAAGGCACTGACAGAACTCACCGCCATGCTGAGAAGAGTTCCCCCCCCCACCATCCCTTCCCTTGCACGCCCCTCCTCCAATCCTCCAAAGTGCCGTTAGTTGGCAAACTCTATGGTTTTCCACGTTTCTTTTCTAAACAGCTGGGAAGAACAAGAATTCCTAATTCGAATTTAATTCCCTTTTTTTTTTTTGTAATTCGTTTGGCTTGGAAGTAGAAACCATTTTGCAGATTGTCCTCGACTTACAACCCGCAATTGAGCCCAAAAAGTTTATGTTGTTGAGAATTTGTTGAGTTTTGCTCTATTTTATGACCTTTCTTGTTAGGTTGTTAAGTGAATCTGGGGACTCTAACTTTGCTTGTCAGAAGGTCGCAAAAGGGGATGGGCGTGACCCCGGGATGCTGCAACCGTCATAAATACGAGTCAGTGGCCACCAAGTGTCTGAATTTGGATCACACGGACATGCAAAGGTAACTGTGGAAAACGGTCCGAAGTCGCTTTTTTCAGTGCCGTTGTAACTTGGAACGGTCACTAAATGAACTGTCGTAAGTCGAGGACTACCTGGATTTGTGGGGGGGGGGCGGTGTTTCTCTCTCTCAAAGCCAAATCAAAACAAACCATACCGCAACGATCGTCATCAATACGTTGACGGCTCCAGTTCCCACTGTGACGAATTGAACGTTGCTTTCCTCTATTCCTGCATTCGAGTAGATCCGGTCAGCATAATAATACACCTGTCAATCAGATTGAAAACAGGGTTGTGGGGGGGGTCAAGAGAGTGAATTTGACATCCCTTGGTCTCTATGGCCTCAAGATTTCCTCGTGGCCTCCTCTCCAATAACCGAATTTGACATCCCCTGGTCTCTACGGCCTCAAGATTTCCTCATGGCCCTCTCTCCAATAACTGAATTTGACATCCCCTGGTCTCTACGGCCTCAAGATTTCCTCATGGCCTCCTCTCCAATAACGGAATTTGACGTCCCCTGGTCTCTACGGCCTCAAAATTTCCTCATGGCCTCCTCTCCAATAACTGAATTTGACATCGCCTGGTCTCTACGGCCTCAAGATTTCCTTATGGTCTCCACTCAAATAACCAATTTGACATCCCCTGGTCTCTACGGCCTCAAGATTTCCTCCTGGTCTCCACTCCAATAATCAATTTGACATCCCCTGGTCTCTACGGCCTCAAGATTTCCTCATGGCCTCCTCTCCACACCACGCTCCCCTCCTCCAGCCCAGTTTATAGATTTTTCTTTCAGCCTTTGACTTCAATCCTTTCAACCGTCCACACTTCCTCTCAATATTCAATGGTAAGAAAAAAAATGAGTGAGGGGTGAGTTTGGATGACCTCTAGGGACCCCCCCCCGACACCTTAAAAGTGTGCCTTTGGTTGGTTCTTACTTACCGCGTTGACCCCAGAGAGCTGCTGCCCCATCATCATGACGATGATGGAGATGAGCTGCCAGCGAAGGCCTGGATAAGTGAAGAGGGTCAACACGGACATCCGGCCCTCAGCTTTCTCCGCTAGGTCTTCCTGCCGCATCTCGTCCATCTCATCTTCCACGTCATCCGAGCCTCGCAGCTTCCTCAAAGCTGAACGGGATAAAAAAAAAAAAAGATGAGGAAAATAATCTCACAGGAAGCCAGGATGGGAGCAGGTAGAGGCAGATATTTCTCTCTCTGGACACAAGGAGAATATATCTGCTGAATAAAACTCCACACAGGCGACAGGGAAGGCATCTGGCCAGTAAAAACACTCTGCTAGCTCCATTCAAGTTGTCCAGACTCCACCCCACAAGGGATTATGGAGTCATTAAACGAAGATTAAGAGGGATGTATTAAACGGAGCCCAAACTATTGGCAATTCTTACGACCGAAAATTTTGAGCTCAAGTTTTGAGCCCAAAATTTCCATTGTTAAGCAACAGAGTTGCTAAGTGAATTCCGCCCCATTTAACGACCTTCCTTGCCACGAATCACCGCCTTTATTCTGACAAGCCAAGTCGATGGGGAAAGCCAGATTCACGTAACAACCGTCTTACCCATTCAACAACCGCGGGGATTCACTTAACGAATGTGGGCAAGAAAAGTCGCCGAATGGTGCAAAACTTGACTTTTAACAAATTTCTCACTCTGCAACTGGGTTCAATCGTGGTCATAAGACGAGGACTACCGGTGTTCCCTAGAAGCTGGGAATATACCTGTTCTTGCGCCCTCTTCATTGCCTTTCTGGATCAGCAGATACCTGGGGCTCTCGGGGAAAAAGGGCAGGAAGATAAGCTGTAACGCAGCGGGGACTCCCGTCAGACCCATGAGGATCGGCCACCCTGCAGGGAAAGAGGGAGACAAGTCACAACACCCGGCAACAAGGCCTATACCAATCCCCGTCCTTGCACAACACCCGGCAACAAACACCAATCCCCGTCCTCACACAGCACCCCGCAACAATGCCTACACCAATCCCCGTCTCTCCGGTTTACCTTCGGCGCTTCCGAGGATCATTCTCATCCCGAGAATCTGAGCCGCCAGGATTCCCACCGTGATGAACAGCTGCGGCATCACCCCGATGGCTCCGCGAAGGTTTTTGGGGGACATCTCTCCGAGGTACATGGGGACAACGTTGGAAGAAAGGCCTAACTCGGAAAACGAGAAGAGATTCAGCATGGTATCGGGGAACACAACCCTCACCCGCCCCCCAAAAATGATGGTTTTCCTGACAGTAACATTGTATGTTCCACTGGTCAAGGACAATTCAAGACTAGTGGACTTCAACTCCCAGAATTCCCCGCTCCCCGCCTCTGTTTAAACACAGAGATGGAAAATGGAGTCTCTAAGATGGACGAGGTGGTTTTTGCGCCGAGGTCTCACCTGCGCAGATGCCAATAATGATGCGGCAAATGATGATCACTTCAAAGGTCTTGGCTACCTTGGAGGTCCCCATGAGGATGGCGGGGATGATGGAGAAGATGTTGTTGATGAGGAGGGTGCCCTTTCTGTAAAGGAGGAGAACATCTCAAGAGCTTCAGAAGATTCAACCTGGAGCTCTAAAGAATGAAGGTCTGGCCCTTAAGCTTATTCCTCTTTAGACAACACCCTTCCGTGGCCCACAGAAGACCATCACAGGAGGTCCTTTTTGCTTGGACATTCAACCACACCCAGGAGAAAACCCAAGCCAGATGTTTCTCCTGGCACTGTGGATGTTTTCTATCTCCTAGGCCAGTAGGAGCCTCACACCCGGCCCAGGATGCAAACTGTGCAAACAAAGAAGAAGGAAACCTACCTGCCACAGTTGTTCACCATGGGCCCCACCATCAGTGATCCAAAGAACCCCCCAAGTGGGAAGAAGGACACACTCAGAGACCAGAGGGCAGTCATCAAGCTCTCGTCCATATATTTATTGTATCGTCCCTGGTATGTTTCATTGTAAAATTGTTGCATGAACTGGAAGGATAGATGGAAGAAAGGACCAATTAGAGAGGATTAACAAGCAGCCCAATTTGTGATGACAGGGGGGAGGGGGGAGGGCTTCCAATGGGTTGGGTACCCATCATCCTTAGCCAGCAAAATTTGAGAGTTACAGTAAAAAGTATCTAGGTTGACACAAGTGGATTTAAGCAATATTAAAAGTTTGTCATTTGGGCTGAAACAAGTCCCCACTCACAGGTACTTTTTGTTAGAAAATTCTGTTTTATATAAAGCACCACAGAGCAAATAAAGGGTACAGTCACCATGTGCTTTACTGCTCAACTGTATGACTGTTAACAGGAAAGTCTACTAAAGAAACCATAGATTATATCCGTAGATGCCAGTGGTGGGATTCAAATATTTTTACTACCGGTTATGTGGGCGTGTCTTGGTGGGCGTGGCATGGCTTGGTAGCCGTGGCAGGGGAAGGATACTGTAAAATCTCCATTCCCTCCCCACTCCTGGGGAAGGATACTCCAAAATCTCCATTCCCTCCCCACTCCAGGGGAAGGATACTGCAAAATCCCCATTTCCTCCAGATCAGCTGGGACTCAGAAGGCAGAGAATAGATGGAGGCAGGGCCAGTCAGAGGTGGTATTTACCAGTTCTCCGAACTATTCAAAGTTTCCACTACCGGTTCTCCAGAACTGGTCAGAACCTGCCGAATACCACCTCTGATAGATGCACACTAAATTAAACACTGCCATTTATTGGCTGAATAATTCAGTAGTCGTTGCAGTGCAAAATACATTTATTAAATGTGTATTAAAAACACTTTCTAAATCTGTGTTTCTCAATTTTGACCACTTTTAAGACTCACATCTTAAAAAAGGCCAAGAGGTTGGGAGACACTGCTCTCTCTTTTCTTAAACACTATCGGCCATTTGGGCATCTCTACCTCCTTTGAAATGTATAAACCGCTAATAAATGCCCCCCTAAATGGATTATATAACTCCAACGAACCGGAGCTGGAGAATTGATCACGGAGACATTATATCCATACTGGAAAGACGATCCGAAGGCCGCAATGAGGGTCACCAGAGCAAGCATCACTGTCATTTTCTGGAAAGAAAAAAAAAAAAAGAAAATAGACCAAGCAATGCAGAGACAGTATTCCTGAAGCAGCCCAGATCAGCTAAGAGATCGAATTACTCTTCAAATATCCTTCTAACTCAGGGGTCGCCAACCTTTCGGACCTCAGGGACCACTAAATTCATAATTTTAAATCCCACAGACCACTAATATGATTTTTTTAAAAAGATAAATAGTATTTAGTGCAATATAAAAAATGCATTGTCGGACGCATATAAAGAAAATCAGTACAAAATGTTTTATAGGTGGCATTTAACACCAGCGAGATTGGCTAAAATGTACGCAAATATGAAACCAGACTGCTGGAAGTGTAAATATAAGGACGGAACATTCTATCACATGTGGTGGCAATACCCCAAAGCAAAGAAATATTGGGAACAGATAAGGAGATGGTTACAGGAGAAAACAGGAGAACAAATTGAATTTAAACCTGAATTAAACCTGAAACAGCCTTTAACAAACGTTTATTACAGTGGAAGCCCTGTCTGATCACCTTTCCTAACCCACCCACCCCTGTCCATTTCTGTCCCACCCCATCCTCTCTAAACGAATACCCATACTCACCCCCTTCTGGGATGCCTGTGGCACGGGCTGTGGCATTTTCACACTTTCCTGTCCTGGGGACCTAAAGGGAGGAACGGAGAAAGAAAGGCAAAAAAAATAATAATACATTCCACAGACAGGGTTATAAACCCCTGCAATTAAATGCCACTGAGCAAGATAAGTTGGGTGACGCATAGCAATTTATTTTACAACTCGGCTCCTGGATAAAAAAACGGACAGCCTCTGGACTTTTGGAATCTTTGGCAGCTTCTAACAAAGCTCTTTTTTTTTCTCCTTCAAAAGAGTTCAAATCACAGACTGGTTGCAGGGATGGAGGAATAAGAAATGGGTTCAAATCTTGGTTTTGGCCCAGAGGGAGAGGAAAAAAAGGGGGAAATTCCTTTGTTTCATTCTCCTAAATCTCTTTGCCTTACTTCGAAGATTCTCCAATAGTGTTTTTTCACTTTTAAAAGGTCTGGACTTCAGCTCCCAGAATTCCCCAGCCCTCTAGGGAATTCTGGGAATTGAAGTCCAGACATCCTAAAATGGCCCCCAAGACCAAGGAACACTGCCCCACACAAACACCTTTCCAAACCACTCAGAAGTACCCCAGTACTCTTTTTTTTTAAACCCTTCTAATTCAGAGGTTTTCCAACTTGGCAGCTTTAAGACTTGTGGACTTCAACTCCCAGAATTCAGCTACGCTGGCTGGAGAATTCTGGGGGTTGAAGTCCACAAATCTTAAAGCTGCCAAGTTTGGGGACCCCTGTTCTAGTTATTTGGGATTACACCTCCCATGACGCAGCCCAAGGTTTATTGGAATTGTAGTTGGGGACATCCAAGAGAAAAATTGGATTGCAAGTCATACGTTTCCCCTCTTTTTGTCTCCTGCTTTTTCACCTCCAGAGAATTTTTTTAAAAAGTTGCTTTTAAAAAGTTAGGCAGAAAGTTTAACAAACAGAAGGGGGGGCAGGGGAAATAAGGAGAATTGTTTTATTTAGTGCCATCAGGATTAATTAAAAGCAGCGAATTCCAGTTTTTGGAGACCAGAACATCTCACGATCTAGATAAGAAAAACAGGATTGGGGAAAATATTTTTCCGTAAATTAAAAGTTGCTATTTCTAAAAAAAAAAAAAAAAAAAATCAGCATTTTGAAGATTGTCCAGCAACTGTCTGTGCTAAATCAATCCTATTAAAAAACAACAAGGGGGTGGGAGGGGGTTAGCTGTGGCTGATAGGAGTTGTAGTCCTCAAGACTTCCATCCCGGAAGACCACTTCCAATTTCTTGAGTGTGCTTTCCAACACATGAAGAACAGGGAAACACAGCCAAAAACCCGAAATCATCACACACACAAAATTAAGATTCTCTTTTCGGATCTACAAAACAAACCTGGCTAAGAATCCAACTGAAGTTAGGAAAACAAAAGTTTGTAAGAAAATCCGTGTCCTCACAAGGATGGGCATCAAAGTCCATTCATTTCCCCTTTTCTACTTTAAAAGAAAGTAAATCTCTACAACAAAAGGATGAGCCAAGTCTCCAGGCAGAAGAAGCTAACCAGGAGCCAATTCCAAAATATAATAATTTTTTTGGTGGGGGGAAAAAAAAAGATTTTCTCAAAGCCAAAATTCAAAAACATCAAAACAGTCCCAACTGCTTTCCATTTGAGAAATCTTCCACCAAAGGTTTTTATTATTATTATTATTATTATTATTATTATTATTATTATTATTATTATTATTAATTCCCAATAACTCAAAAAAGTTGTATTTTTCTTCTTGGATTCTTTTTCCCCCCTCAAGCTTTCTCCTTTCCGCTTCAATTTTCCCCAGCGTTTTTTCCTCTCTCAATTGGATTCCCTCTCCCTCGTATTCCTCTCTAGGATCCCATCAACCAGTTTGGCTGGGGATGATGGGAGAGGGACCACCAAACCCGATCCTCCAGTTGGGACAAATAAGCCACGGCCATCAAAACCCGTTTTAAATAAAACGCAACTGTATCTCCGGCTTATTGATGAACACATCCTGCAAAGTTGATTTACCCAACTCTCTCCAAATAAATAAATAAACGCATGATTTTTGCAAAGCCAATTCTTTCTCTAAAGTCTACCCGGGAGGATTCCCAAAACAAACCCTATTTTATTTTATTTTATTTTATTTTTATTTTATTTTATTTTATTTTATTTTATTTTATTTTAATTTAATTTAATTTAATTTAATTTAATTAATTTAATTTAATTTTATTTAATTTAATTTAATTTTATTTTATTTTATTTTATTTTATTTTATTTTATTTTATTTTATTATTTACCTTGTGTGTCCAATCACACTTGGCCAATAAATTTGTATTTGTATTTGTATTTTATTATATTTGTATACCGCCCTTCTCCCGAGGGACTCAGGGCGGTGAACAGCCATGGTAAAAACAATGTCCAACAAAAATTAAAAGCTTGTTAAAATAATTCAATCAATCGGCCAAATTTTTGGCCTTGGTAGTACTAGGGTTTAAGGCACCCTGTTATTAAGCTGCTTAAGACCAGCTGCCTGCAATTACTGCAGGGTTCGAATCTCGCCAAGGCTCAAGGTTGACTCAGCCTTCCATCCTTTCTAAGGTAGGTAAATTGAGGACCCGGTTTGTGGGGGCAATAAGCTGACTTTGTATAAATATACAAAAGGAGGAAGGCTATTGCTGAGCACATTGTAAGCTGCCCTGAGTCTTCGGAGAAGGGCGGCATATAAATCAAATTAAAAAAAAAAAAAAAAATTAAAACATCCAACTAAAATCATTTTAAAACCCCTATCAAAACCCAATTAAAAAAAACTTTATCCTTTATCATATATGTATATGCAAATTTGTTTCTTGATTAAGTTAACTTTTAACTTAATCAAGCTTTTGTATGTTTTAAATGCTTTTTTTAAGAATGAATAAAGTTTTGCTTTTTAAAATTAAAAAAAAAAAAAACCTTTATCCTGTCAGTCCAGCTTGCTGGAATAATAGGGTCTTCAGAGCACGACGGAAGGCGCGGAGGTCGGGGATCCTTCGTATGTCCGGGGGCAATTCATTCCATAGGGCCGGGGCCCCCACAGAGAAGGCTCTCCCCCTGGGGGTCGCCAGCCTACACTGTTTGGCTGACGGCACCCCGAGGAGGCCCTCTCTGTGGGAGCGTATTGGTCGGTGGGAGGCAATCGGTGGCAGAATGCGGTCCTGTAGATAACCAGGTCCTAAGCCATGGAGCGCTTTAAAGGTGGTGACCAACACCTTGAAGCGCACCCGGAAGACCACCGGGAGCCAGTGCAGCTCGCGCAAGATGGATGTTACATGGGAGCGATGAGTTGCCCCCATGATTACTCGCGCGGCTGCATTCTGGACCAGCTGGAGCCTCCGGGTGCTCCTCAAGGGGAGCCCCATGTAGAGAGCGTTACAATAGTCCAGACGAGAAGTGACGAGGGCGTGAGTGACTGTGCGCAGGGCGTCCCGATCCAGAAAGGGACGCAACTGGGAGATCAGGCCAACCTGATAAAAGGCCCCCCTGGCCACGGCCATCATATGATCCTCCAAAGACAGCCGTGAGTCCAGGAGGACGCCCAAGTTGCGAGGCCTCTCTGAGGGGGGTAAGATCTCATCCCCAATAGCCAGCGTTGGTGTCTATTCTATTCTATTCTATTCTATTCTATTCTATTCTATTCTATTCTATTCGATTCGATTCGATTCGATTCGATTCAATTCAATTCAATTCAATTCAATTCTTTTCTACTCTACTCTACTCTACTCTACTCTACTCTACTCTACTCTACTCTATTCTATATATACAATATATACACACACATATATATATTTATATACACACACACATTTATATCTCCAATCCTTATCGACGTTTAGCATGCAAAAAATGCAGTGATTTTGCCCATTTTTGCTACAAGTCAGGCGACATGCAAATTTAATAAATTGCTATTATTAAAGGATGCTTACACTTATTTATTTTTTTCAGTCAAATCAATGCAGGTCAAATATCTGGGAAGGCCAGCTTTGGAGAATGGGACATATATACTTGAGTTTTGTTTTGTTTTTTAAATACATATATGGTTGTGATTTTTCCTTTTTTTTTTTCTCCCCTGTTTGGTTTAGCTGAAAAACCAGGAGCAGGGGTAACAGGAGGCCACTAAATTCCTTTAAATTTTATTTACATCCAGTTTTTTTTCCCTCTTCTCTGTAGACTTCATTATTTCATCCTTAAAGTTGGCTTCACGGCTTAAAGTTTGTAAATATGCCAGGGGATCATGTTTATCACTGATAGGCAAAGTCTTTTTCATGGTTATTTCTTCTCCTCCGCCTTCTTCCACCACCTAATCCAGGACAAAAAAAATATCCATTTCTTTCCTCCTTAATCAGTAACTAAATCAACCTGCACCTTATCTCAAGACTCAGGAGCTAATCCCTGCCTGCAGGCTGGAGAGGGAAAAGAGGAACCAAAACAAGGGGAGAAAACATCCATAAAATGTAACATTTGCAAAAAAAATGGGTTTTCCTGCCTTTTCCTATTGTTCCCAAAGCTTGGCATCTTTGAAATGTGAAATTCCCCAAGCCAAATGCTTTTAAAGATATGGGGATTTCAACTCCCAGAATTCCTCAGCCACCATAGAGCCATAGCTGGCTGGGGGACTCTGGGAATTGAAGTCCACATGCTAAACATCAAATAATTAAAAGGGTGCACGAAATTGACTTCTGTGCTCCGCTGAATAAGTCTTCGTCCTTCACTCACCTATTGCAAGACGTGGGAATTTTGTAGCGAGCTTATTTTCCCCAGCCACAGGAAAATTGTCAAGCTGTTAATTCTCTCCCTCATATTTTCTCCATCAGCCAAGTTTCTCACCACTTTGAGAAACTAAACACTCCAATTTGAGCTTCGCTGCATGACCCAAAAGCCCACAGTGGCACCTGGAAATATAAGAAAAATATATATATATAGCAGCATAGCGATTATATTGCATTTCTCTCCCAATAACAGAGATGGAAGGGACCTTGGAGGTCTTCTAGTCCAACCCCCTGCTTAAGCAGGAAACCTATTTCAGACAAATGGCTGTCCTTTAAAAAAAGAAAAAAATCTCCAGGGATGGAGCAGCTACAACTCCTGAAGGCAACTTTTTCCATTGCTTAATTGTTGACAATTTCTCCTTCGTTCTAGGTTGCCTCTCTCCTTGATTAGTAATTGTATTGATTAGTAATAATATTGATTAGCAATATTTATATGCTTCTTGTCCTGCCTTCTGGTGCTTTGAAAAATAAGTTGACCCCCCCTTCAATATAATAATAATAATAAATAATAAAATAAGTTGGCAGCCCCTCAAATATTGGAACATTGCTATCATGTCTCCCCTCGTCCTTCTTTTCATTAAACTAGACATACCCAGTTCCTGCAACCGTTCTTCATATGTTTTAGCCTCCAGTCCCCTAATCATCTTTCTTGCTCTTCTCTGCACTCTTTCTAGAGTCTCCACATCTTTTTCACATCGTGGCGACCAAAACTGGATGCAGGATTCCAAGTGTGGACTTACTAAGGCTTTACAAAGCGGTAGTAATACTTCACGTGATCTTGATTCTCTGTTAATGCAACCTAGGATTGCATTAGCTTTTGGGGCTGCTAAAATATGAGCACCACTGGCTCATATTTTAAGGGACTGTAACTACTAGGACTCTAAGATCCCTCTCGCAGTTACCGCTGTTGAGCCAGGTTTGACCAAATCTGTACCTGCGCGTTTGATTTTTCTCGCCTAAGCGTAAGACTTTTACTTTTCTCTACACCGAATTTCATTTTGTTAGATATAGGGCCCAGCGTTCGAGTCTATGGAGAGCCATCTGGATCTTGAGCAACAGCTGGATCTGCCCCCCCCTCCCCACACCCACATCTGGACTGGCAAAGTTTCCCAAATGAAGTGGCTCCTGCAACCTTAGGAGAGTAAAATTCAAGTGGACAGTCATCACAACCAGAAATGACCAGAGGCCAAAATGCATTTCCTCCCCTTTAAAGATCGGTCATCTTTCAGAATTTCTCCCGTTCACCTTTCCCACAAATTCCTAACCCTGGGAAAAAATAAATGACATTTTTGCAGCTGCCACCTTCCAAATTTGGAACCCGCATTCTTTAGAAAATGGTTACAGATAATCCTCGACGTGCCACAATTTGTTGAGTGTCTATTTTAAAGTCACAGCAACACTGGAAAAGGTGAGCGATGGTCGTTTTTTCCACACTTACAATCATTACACTTACAAAGTATGAAGGCTATTGCTTAACGCATTGTAAGCCGCCCTGAGTCTCCAGAGAAGGGCGGCATATAAATCAAATTTAAAAAAAATAATAATTGGGAGGGAGCATACTGCTTCCCTTTCGCCTTTCAACTCCAATCCAGGAGCCCTCAAGCAGTCGCTTGATAGATAGATAGATAGATAGATAGATAGATAGATAGATAGATAGATATAGATATAGATATAGATATAGATATAGATATATGACAGTTGCTGTGTCGCAGGCCACTAACTCGTATATATGACAGTTGCTGCGTTGCAGGCCACTGACTCATATATATGACGTAATGTCGTAATGTCCTGGGGTCACGTAATCCCATTTTGCAACCTTCGGACACGCAAATTAAGGAAGCCAGATTCACTTCATAGCCGTATTACTAACTTCACAGCTGCAGTGAATCACTTTAACAACTGTGGCAAGACCTGGCCCCCAAAATCCTCTTGAGCCACTGTCTCGCTTAGCGACCGAAAGGTTGGGCTCAATTTTGGGTCATAAGTTGAGGACTACCTGTCCCACCAAAATCAGCTGGCTTACTTTTGGTTAGACGCTTTTTTTGCACAATCCTATATCAAGGCTTCCCTTTGTCTTTCGTATGTAATCTCCGTGTCGTAGAATATATGTGGGTATGTGCATAATTTTTATTTATTATTTGTCACGTTCAGGGGTGGGTTTCAAATTTTTTTACTACTGGTTCTGTGGGTGTGGCTTGGCGGGCGGGGCTTGGTGGGCGTGGCAGGGGAAGGATACTGTAAAATCTCCATTCCCACCCCACTCCAGGGGAAGGATACCATAAAATCTCCATTCCCACCCCACTCCAGGGGAAGGATACCGTAAAATCTCCATTCCCACACCACTCCAGGGGAAGGATACCGTAAAATCTCCATTCCCTCCCCACTCCAGGGGAAGGATACTGCAAAATCCCCATTTCCTCCCGATCAGCTGGGACTTGGGAGGCAGAGAATAGATGGGGATGGGGCCAGTCAAAATTTTTACTACCGGTTCTCCGAAGTACTCAAAATTTCCGCTACCGGTTCTCCAGAACTGCTGAAGTCAACCTCTGGTAGGCTTTGAGAGGTGTATGCGACAAAATTTCATTTTAATCTACGCCGATTAGTGTAGAGTTAAAGTGACCATAAAATTATTCTTAAGTTCCTGTTTTCTGAATAAGCCATGTCCTCTTAGCCAGTGTGGATTATATTATATGATATTTATCTGTTCGGTTTTTTTGCTGAGCCCAGCTGATCTTTGATACAGCTTTCCAAGTCAGCAAATGTTCAGTTAATAAGAACAATTTAACTGACTGATAACCCAAATGTTATCGGATGACCAAGTCATTTTTACTTTCCGCTGCTGCAGTCCGAGATCATTGCAAAGATGGGAAATCATCAGTTCTCATAGGAAGGAAAACCTGATGTTTAATCCTAATTATAATATTATCAAACAGAGCAAACTCTATCCCTGATCAATAAATCTGCATTTGTCCTCAGGTCAATAAGACTCCAAGTGAAGGATTTAAACTTGTCGTATCCCTGCCCTGAAAATTCCTGGTTTTTTTTTCTTTTTTCTTTTCTTTGCGTAATAAAAATAAGCAAAATAGCATTTGTATTTTCTTCAGAATACTAGATATTAAATACTAATATTCAAAAATATTAGAAAAATATTGCTTGCATGGATTTATCAATCTCTTCCCAGTTGTACATTAAAAAACCCCGACAGGCCTAAAGCTAATGAAGGATTCCAACCTCTTCCTTTCCTGCTCTTCTTCTCGATTTGCCAAATGAATAAATTTTATTCTTGAGCCAACCTCTTACATAAAAAGGCTATGAGATGGTGTCAAACAACTGAATAGGATATGCGCTTTCAAAAATAAAGGAATATTGGCAGAATAAGTCAATAACTGTGTGTGTGTGGGGGGGGTCTTTTGGTGCCGAAGCAGTGAAGCTGGATATGTTACCCTATCCAGAATTCTGCACTTGGCGCGACTTTAAGTTTCAAAGCCCTGTCAAGTTTCTAGTCCTCAGCACAGTGAAAAAGAGAGAAAGAGCTGAGTAAGGTACAAGCAGCCAAAGATTTATTGGCGCTATTAATCATCCCAGCCAGCCAGGCACTAATACCTGTGGAAACAGGCTTTGGGTGAAGGCAAAGGCCGCACCACAGTGCCAAGCACGTGAGTGTGTAACACACACCCCGTTGCGTAACACGGAATTTTCTCTCACAACAGCCAGTGTTGAAACCTATTTTTTCCCCCAGCCTTGTGCAGCCTCGGAAGGGCCAATGAAGAAAAGGAACACGTGAGAATGTTGTCTTGCGTAAAATAACACACCCACACCCACACACACAAACACACTTTTGGTCCAGAAACGGAGCCAATTCTCAACCGAGCCTCGAATTAAGCCGCTACAGATGGTTCTCGACTTACGACAGCTCGTTTAGTGACCGTTCAAAGTTGCAAAGGCACTGGGGGGGGAAAAACGACGTACAACCGTTTCCCTCACACTTATGACCGTTGCAGCGTGCGTCCCCATGGTCACGTTAGCGAAATTCAGACGCTAGGCAACGGACTAGTATTTATGACGGTCGCGGCATCCGGGGGGAGTCATGTGATTCCCCCTTTTGCAAACCTTCTGACAATGGGGAAGCCAGGTTCACTTAACAACAGCGCAATTAACTTAACAGCTGCAGTGATTTGCTTAACGACGGTGGCCAGAAAGGTCGTAAAATGAAGCAAAACTCCCTTCACATCCTGGACATCAACTGTTTCAACTCCTACCCTCAAAACGACGCTATAGAGCACTGCACACCAGAACAACTAGACACAAGGACAGTTTTTTCCCCCAATGCCATCACTCTGCTCAACAAATAATTCCCTCAACACTGTCAAACTATTCACTAAGTCTGCACTACTATTAATCTTCTCATCGTTCCCACCACCCATCTCCTTCCACTTATGACTGCATGACTGTAACTTTGTTGCTTGTATCCTTACGATTTATATTGACATTGTATCCTGATTGCTTATTTGTACCCTATGACTATCATTAAGTGTTGTACCTTATGATTCTTGTATCTTTTCTTTTATGTATACTGAGAGAGTATGCACCAAGACAAATTCCTTGTGTGTCCAATCAGACTTGGCCAATAAAAAAATCTATTCTATTCTATTCTATTCTATTCTATTCTATTCTATTCTATTCTATTCTATTCTATTCCATTCCATTCCATTCCATTCCATTCCACTCCACTCCACTCCACTCCACTCCACTCCACTCCTCTCCTCTCTTCTCTTCTCTTCTCTTCTCTTCTCTTCTCTTCTCTTCTCTTCCCTTCCCTTCCCTTCCATTCCATTCCACTCCACTCCACTCCACTCCACTCCACTCCACTCCTCCTCTCCTCTCTTCTCTTCTCTTCTCTTCTCTCTCTCTTCTCTTCTCTTCTCTTCCCTTCCCTTCCCTTCCATTCCATTCCACTCCACTCCACTCCACTCCACTCCACTCCACTCCACTCCACTCCTCTCCTCTCCTCTCCTCTCTTCTCTTCTCTTCTCTTCTCTCTTCTCTTCTCTTCTCTTCTATTCTATTCTATTCTATTCTATCTATTCTATTCTATTCTATTCTATTCTATTCTATTCTATTCTATTCTTCACCAAGGTCTTACTTAACAACACAAAAATTTTGTGTTGTATCTCAATAACCAATAACCAAGAGGGCTTCTGATGTTGCATTCTATTTTTCAGCCCTACCCGTGATTTCGTTTCTCCGGGCACAGAGCGAACGGGGCACCATGATAGCTGCGCTAAAAATGGGACTCAGGTTGAACCCTTCCTGGCTTCCCACCTCTGAAGTAAGGCATTCCCAAAATCCTTGCATATCTGTTTCTCCACCCAAACATTCCTCCTCTCCCTCTTCCATTCTTCCACCTTATCTCTTATCTTAATCCTTTGAAGCCCCCCCCCCCCTCCAGCTTCTCTGCAACTGAAAAGGGACTTTGGAAAGAGAGAGAGAGAGAGAATGAACAAAAGAGAGAGAGAGAGAGAGATTGAGAAAGAGAGAGAGCATTCCTTCTCCCCTCCCTCCTTCCTTTTTCTTTCATCCCTTTCTCCCCGTTCATTCTCCTCCTCCTCCTCTGTTCAATCACCTTCTGCCTTCATGGGGGGGGGGCAGATTGCAATCTGCTCCGGGGCAGAGATCTCTGGCTTAAAAACTCCGGACGGAGGCCGATGAGATCCATCAATCATTAAACCTTCCTCTAATCCAGACAATAAACAGGTGTTTTGCCTTTTTTTCCATCCCCCAGGAGATGAGAGGTACATTTTATAAATGAGCCTGAGTGGCGTAGGAGGCTAATGCCTCCTAAGGCAGCATTTAACATCCAGCTGCCTGCAATTATTGCGAGTTCAATTCTCACCAGGCTCAAGGTCGACTCAGCCTTCCATCCTTTCTAAGGTGGGTAAATTGAGGACCCAGTTTGTGGGGGCAATAAGCTGACTTTGTATAAAAATATACAAAAGGATGAAGGCTATTGCTTAACGCCTTGTAAGCCGCCCTGAGTCTCCGGAGAAGGGCGGCATATAAATCAATTTTTTTTTCAAAAAAAAAAAGTACTTCTTTGATCTCCCGCCCCCCTCCCCCCATCTAATGCTATCAAAAACTCTGGTAGGGGAGGGTCTACCTGGATCTTAGGTGGCCCTGCTCCTGGGGGGTCCTCATTTGCTGCTTTTTAACGGCGTGCTTTTGCATTAAAGCTAGCAAATTGGCTAGCAAATTGTGTAGGTGTATGTGTGTAGGAAATTGGGGGATGCGGTGGCTCAGTGGCGAAGACGCTGAGCTTGTCGATCGAAAGGTCGACAGTTCAGGGGTTCGAATCCCTAGAATAGGGTGAGCTCCTGTGACTTCTCCCAGCTTCTGCCAACCTAGCAGTTCGAAAGCACGTAAAAAATGCAAAGTAGAAAAAAATAGGGACCCCCTTGGGTGGGAAGGGAACAGCGTTTTCCGTGCGCCTTTGGCGTTGAGTCATGCCGGCCACATGACCACGGAAACGTCTTTGGACAGCGCTTGTTGCACTCTTTTAAGATAACATCCCAGCAAAAGTTACCTTTTCACTTCCTAAATGTATACAGCAGAAATCGTATTCAGCCGGTTCGGGTGAATCGGTAGTGGCACAACCCTGCCCTATAATCGCTTTGTTTTTGACGCCGCAGGCATGTTTGGACGGTGCGCGTGAGCGAATTGCCATGTGATTTGACGTCACACGCATGCACGAACGGTGCGCGTGAGTGAATTGCCGTGTTTTGTGACGCCGCACCAGGGGTGGGTTCTACTTACTTTTACTACCAGTTCGCAACGGGATCGTGTGCGCTCGCTTCACCCGTGCACGCGCCTTGCTTCTGCGCAGGCGCCGATCGCTTCTGATGACGTCAGGGTCAGGAGGCGGAGCCTCCCATCGGTTTTACTACCGGTTCTATAGAACCGGTCCGAACCGGGGGGGGGCAATCCACCACTGTGCTGCACGGAGGTGTGGATGGCGCCACATTTCCAGTGCTGGGAGAACCGTTTGCTACCACTTCTGGTATACAGAAAAGATGTGTAGCTCAGCCAAGAATCTGGAGTGCACATGACAGGTTTCAAATAAGGTTTAAAAGCAGGTGAAAAGTTTTCCTGGGACAAAGAGAGACAGATGAAAGGAATTAGGGGTTTTTTCCTCTTTTTTTTTTTTTTTTGCATTCTCCGGAAACCTCCACTGAATGGGATCCAAAAATAATATTTGCGAAGGTTGAAAATCTGGCTTTGGTTGAAATAAAAGTTCTTGGCGTGCTCTCAAGCGTTTCCCCGGTTTCAATATTTAAAAGCTCCCTGACTTTAAAAAAAAAAAAATACTTTTTTTTAAGTATCCAAAGTTTTTATTTGCAGAGAGCTGGGATTTAAAAGCCGGCGTCTACATCAGCTTGTTAGTGTCAAAAGATGACTGACCACTGGTGGATTTGGAAATAAATAAATCATGTGATAAGATAAAAAAAAATTTAATTCGGAATTCACGGAGGCAGCAGTAACAATGGACTTTGGTCCCAGCTGAGAGTGTTTTGGGCAGTAAAACTTTTTGATTTTGTTTCGGTCCCCACTGGAATTACGCTGTGGAATTACGCATTTTAATTCTTTCCCCCCCTTGGAGAAATCGAGTTGTCGCGATTCCAGACTCAAAAAACTTTCCTTGAAGTCTCCTTTGGGCATATCCTCGACTTACAACAGTCCGTTTAGTGACGGTTCCAAAGTTACAACAGCGCTGAAAAAAAAGTGAATTTTCTCTCTCACACTTGCAGCATGAGCCATGAGCAAAACTCGGGCAACTGACTCGTATTTATGACAGTTGCAGTGTCCTGGGGTCAGATCACACCCCTTTTGTGACCGCCTGACAATGGGGAAGCCAGTTCCGCTTAACAACCGTGCTATTAACTAAAGAACTGCAGGGATTCACTTAACAACAGTGGCAAGAAAGGCTGTACAATGAGGCAAAACTCGCTTAACAAACATCTCACTTAACGACGGAAATTTTGGGCTCAATAATTATGGTCGTAAGTCGAGGACTACCTGTAACCTGGCCCCTGAATAACTCCTCATAAAGACACAATGCCAGTCAAAGCTACCCCCAAAGGGAGAAGTATACATGGCCCGTGAGCCCTGCGCAGCAACAGATTGCAGAAGTTGAGGACTAGCAACTTGATGGGGCTTCGTCTCTCAATCAGGAACTATTATCGTAGCACAGAAAAAAATAATGGCGTTTTCTTTTCCAGCAGTCCCTTTTATCCATCTTTTGAACTAAAAATCACTCACTTTTCTTTTATACTTACCTGCATAACCCTGGGGAACCCTGGGAAATTGTAAAAATCCTTTGCATGGCGTCAGCTCAGCTAGAAACTCAGAAGCTAAACTCAGAAGCAAAAAGAGGGCGAGCAGAGTGCAGGAATAATGCTAAATGCTAAAAACTAATAATGCAGTTTTAGTGTTTAGTGCCAAACACTAAAACTGCAATCTGCCATGGTTCAAAACTGCAGGGCAATTAATGCTCAAGCATTAAATAAAATGGATTTATTTAGCCTGCTGATAAGATGCCAATCGAGGGGAGGAAAAAAAAAAAACCCAGGAAATTATTCCGATTAATAAAATAATAAACGTTGTCCATCAGGTTGAAATCAGAAGAAAAAGGCTGAATTTTTTCCTTTAAAAATATGGGATAATGCACTAGGCTAAAATAGGAAGAAGAGGGGCAAAAAAATCCATTCATTATAAGACAAGATAAGACGCGATGCCTAACGGAACAAAAATCACACACATATCTGGGTTTTTTTTACACACTCCGAATCAGGGTTGTGTTTTTCACACACGCTCCATCCACACATTTAAACGGCCCCGCCTCAACTTACCTATTTCTTCCCGTCGAGCCCCTTTTCACATCCAAAGCAGAGGAAGGGGGAAAAAAAACAACAACCCACAACTTGCAAGATGAAAAAATAAAAATCAAGCTAAAACAAACGATTGTGTCTTTTTCTCTCTCTCTCTCACTCTCTCTCCTGCCTTTGGACTTTGGTAGACAAACCGAGTTACTTCACAGTTTGGCTTTGCTCTTTGGCCACTGCTGGCAACAACAACTTTCCTCTGCCCATCAGCTACCACTTTGCAAAAGGAAAACGAGAAGGCCATGAAATAAAAACAGATCTATTTTTTCCACCTCTTGCAATTCCTTCACTGGGATCGCTTCGGAGCTCAGCCTGGTGTGGTTGTCGGCAAGGAAGGCAGGAAGGCAGGCAGGCCGGCCGGGAGCATTTGCACACCTCCCTGCAACACACCTTACTTGGCAGGAAAAGCAGAGCTGCGGCGTTTCTTAGCCACAAAACTGTCACCGGGACAGACAAACAAACACAACTCCCTTCCTTCGAAATTCTGCAGGGCAGAAGGGGAAAAAAAATGCAGTGGTTGGGATTTTTAACAAGGAGAAAAAACGTGAGGGTCGAGAGACGTAGTGCAGTGGTGGGTTCCTCCCGGTTCGGTCCGGTTCGGCCGAGCCGGTAGCGATGACGATATGATGTCACCGAACCGGTTCTCTTGGCCCTCCCGCCCGCCCCCGCGTTATTCCTACCTTTTATTCCTTCTTTTTTAGCCCAGCTGATAGGTGTGGCAGAGTGGATTGCCGCTCCTCAGCTAGACAGATTTGTAACGTGCTTGCGCGAAGCGCGTGCACGAAGAGAACCGGTAGTAAAGCCGGTTAGAACCCATCACTGCCGTGGTGGGTTGCTCCCGGTTCGATCCGGTTCTTGCGAACCGGTAGTAAAAGCAGCGGGAGGCTCCGCCCGGACGTCATCATGGACGATCTATGCCTGTGCAGAAGCTTTTTTTACTACTGGTTGCGAACCTGTAGTAAAGGTAAGTAGAACCCACCCCTAGTCAAGAAGGAAGATATTGTTCTGATTTAGGCTCCCTGAGAAAGCTTAAATCACACGCTTAATCCAGAGGTGGGTTTCAGCAGGTTCTGACCAGTTCTGGAGAACCGGTAGCAGAAATTTTGAGTAGTTCTGAGAACCGGTAAATACCACCTCTGGCTGGCCCCGCCCCCCTCTATTCTCTGCCTCCCGAGTCCCAGCTGACTGGGAGGAAATGGGGATTTTGCAGTAACCTTCCCTTGGATTGGGGAGGGAATGGAGATTTTATAGTATCTTTCTCCTGCCACGCCCACCAAGCCACGCCCACAGAACCGGTAGTAAAAAGTTTTGAAACCCACCCTTGGCTTAGTCCCAAAAAAAACCCTCTTTTATTTAAACGGCTGTGAATTATGATCATTCACAGCCCGTAATAATTCACAAACATTCTGTGAAGAGTCCGACAGGTGTCTGCTGCAGTCTTTCAAGGTAATGCTGATAAACACCCACCTTTATCTCCCTTGAAACGCCGCCAGAGACCTAATGGCCGATTAGCTTTGCAAGGCCAAACGGAGCACAGAGTCAAAACGGAGCTTCTCAGAGTTTGAACCGACCAGAATGAACAAAGTTGCTTCCTGCAAAGGCTCACGTCCGTTTGCTCATCTCTTATGCCTTATGGGAAGGGCCAATCCTCTCCAAGCCTTACTCCCGAGTCGCCCCTTTTGTCTTAACTGTTCTTGCCTCCTGGCAGCTCTGCGCATGCGCGCACTGGGAACAGGCTCACACTGTTCTTCTGTCTCACTGATGTCAGATTCCGGAGGCTCCGGAGGCAGCACATAACTCCCAGATGGCCCTGGCCCTCTCTCTGCCTCCGACGCAGAGCCCTCGTCCGAGCCTTCCCCAGATTCCAGGACTGGCCCCTGTTCCTCCCCAGCCTCCTCACTGTCCGACTCTGCTGCCAGCTCCCAAAACACACACCAGCCTTTGAGCCAATCTCGCGCCCCTTAATTAACGACGACAAAAAATGTGACGCGTGTAAAGGAAAATGCACCCGGCCGGCAGAGGAAAGAGCAAGACTCACAACCAAACTAAATTGCCTTGCAGGAATGTGGGTGAAAATACCCAGATAAGGAAAAGCGGTGAAAATTCTGCAAAGCAGCCATTCGAGAGCTCTGCGAACAAATAAACGATGAAACCATTTCTAGCCGTCGCACCCAAAACCCGACGGCAAAAAATAGCCTGGATTTCTGTAGGGTGTCAAATCCTGGACTTGGCTAGTAGCGGCTCGTGCTTGCCTACCTTGCAGGGTTGGGGTGAGGATGGCTAATTGAGGACATGCATGCCCAGCTGGCTTTTCCACATTCCACATTCTGCCTCCCTCTTTCCCTGCGGTATTTCATCAAAGGGTATTAAGTAATCTGGAAGAGCGAGAGTCCTGCCTTAGGCACGAAGGCAGCCGGGTAATTTGGGGCCAGGTCCTCGCTCTCTGCCCCCAGGAAGAAGACCAAGGTGGCCAAAACGGGCCCCCAAAACAGCAGGACTCATGCAGGCAATTGCCAGGAAAAGGTCAAGACAGACTTGATCTCTCTCTCTCTCTCTTTCTCTCTCTCTCTCTCTCTCATCTATCTATCTGTCTGTCTATCTATCTCTATCTATCTATTTATCTATCTCTGTCTATCTGTCTATCTATCTATCTATCTATCTATCTATCTATCTATCTATCTATCTAGTTAGAACAATTAATCACTGGAACAACATGCCTCCAGAAGTTGCGGATGCTGGAAGTTTTTAAGAAGATGTTGGATAACCCTTTGTCTGAAGTGGTGTAGAGTTTCCTGCCTAAGCAGGGGGTTGGACTAGAAGACCTCCAAGGTCCCTTCTGACTCTGTTATTCTATTCTATTCTATTCTATTCTATTCTATTCTATTCTATTCTATTCTATTCTATTTCTATTCATCTGTTAAATCTGTTAAGAGATTTTGTAACGTCTACACAACGTATTGGTTCTTGGCTGCTGCAGTGCCTGCATCTGGCCACCAGAGGGCACCCTTCACCGCCCTTTCCCAATTCTGCTACTGTGTAAACCCAATAAAGAGGTTTGCTGTGTTTTATTTGATTGCGTTAACATTAATTGTGTTCCTCTGCAGTTACACTATTTTACAAACATGTTGCTGCGGAACGCGCACTTCAAGGCTTCGCGGTTACCTTCTTCGCAGTCTAATTGAGAGTTGGGTGGCAGACCATTTCAATAGATCATGATTTGTCTATTGAATCCTGGTTTCTTACTGGTCGAAGGGCTGAGGATAGCGCTGGTGGCTTTAGGGCGGGACTCCTCCAAAGCTGGGGGTTGACTTAACCATGGTTAAGCGGTAGCTTTTCTCCAGTTAAGCCACAAGCCATGATTGGCCAACTGATAAGGCTGGGCTTGTCCAATTCCCGTAAGCCAGAATCAACCATGATGGTTAGTGGATGTGGTGAGAACCCATTAGCCTCTAAGACAGGGGTGTCTGCAACCTTAAACACTCAAAGAGCCATTTGGACTCGTTTCCCACAGAAAAGAAAACACCGGGAGCCACAAAAACCTTCCTCTAAGGAGACCAAGAAGATGTGGGACTTGAAAGAAAGACTGGATTTCTGAGTTTTCTCTTTCTTGTCTCTTTTAGGGGCCGCCGAGGCGCCATGTCCTGGGATCCAACTGCCAACCGGACCCCGGAATCCTGCGGAGCCCTCGCCTGATTGGCTCTCCCCACCGGGCACCGGTTCCAGGCCTGCTTTGGCCATCAATCCAGAGTGACCCAGGCTTTGAATCCTCCAGGGGTAGAACGGGCAGTGACGGGGCATCCTGGCTTGTCGAGAGAAGGCCACCCAAGCATTGGTTGAACCCGAGGCCTGACCGGTGCGGAACTTAGTTAGTTGCCCTAGTGGGCAAAGAGGGGCTTTGAGAAAGGAGAGGCGGAGGGGAGGTATATTACAGGAAAGTATAAAGTAAAATATTACGTTTTGGGGGGGAAGCCAAGCATTTTTGAATGACCTCCAAGTAAGTTCCTTCCTTCCCTTTCTACCCCTTCCTTCCTCCCTCCTCCCCATCCCTCCTGTGTTTCCTTCCTTCTTTCCTCCCTCCCTCCTGTGTTTCGTTTCCTTCCTCCCTTCCTTCTTCCTTCCTTCCTCTGTCCCTCCTTCCCTCCTGTGTTTCCTTCCTTCCTTCTTTTCTTCCTTTCTCCCTCCTTCTTTCCTTCCCTTCCTCCCGCCTGTGTTTTCTTCCTTCCTTCCTTTCTTTCATCCTCCCTCCCTCCCTCCTTCCCTTCCTTCTTCCCTCTTTCCCTCTCTCCTGTATTTCTTTCCTTCTTTCCTCCCTCCCTCCTGTATTTCCTTCTTTCTTCCTTCCTTCCTCCTGTGTTTCTTTCCTTCCTTCTTTCCTCCCTCCCTCCCTCCTGTGTTTCTTTCCTTCCCTTCTTTCTTCCGTCCTCCTTCCCTCCCTCCTGTGTTTCCTTCCTTCCTTCTTTCTGCCTTCCCTCCCTCCTGTTTCCTTCCTCCCTCTCTCCTTCCTGTGTTTCCTTCCTTCCTTCCTTCCTTCCTTCCTTCCTCCTTCCCTCCCTCCTGTGTTTCCTACCTTCCTTCCTTCCTTCTTTCCTTGCTTCCTCCGTCCTTCCCTCCTGTGTTTCTTTCCTTCCTCCCTCCTTCCTGTGTTTCCTTCCTTCCTTCTTTCCTCCTTCCCTCCCTCCTGTGCTTCCTTCCTTCCTTCCTTCCTTCCTTCTTTCCTTGCTTCCTCCCTCCTTCCCTCCTGTGTTTCCTTCCTTCCTCCCTCCTTCCTGTGTTTTCTTCCTTCCTTTTTTCCTCCTTCCCTCCCTCCTGTGCTTCCTTCCTTCCTTCCTTTCTTCCTTCCTTCCTCCTCCTTCCCTCCTGTGTTTCCTTCCTTCCTTCTTTCCTCCTTCTCTCCCTCCTGTGTTTCCTTCCTCCCTCCCTCTTTCCTGTGTTTCCTTCCTTCCTTCCTTCCTTCCTTTCTTCCTTCCTTCCTCCCTCCCTCCCTCCCTCCCTCCCTCCTGTATTTCTTTCCTTCCTTTCTCTCTCCATTTTATCCACAAAATGGGATCGTGTGACCGCGGGACACCGCCATCGTCATAAATACGAGCCAGTTGCCAAGCGTTTGAATTTGGATGACCTGACCACAGGGATGTGTGTGAAAACCGGTCATAACATAAGTCCCTTTTGCCAGCGTTGGCGTAACGTTGACTGGTCACTAAATGAGCTGTTGTACGTCGAGGACTACCTGTGCAGGCAGCGGAGGGGAAAACAGGAAAAGTCAATTCCATACCTTCCCCAGAACTCAAGGGTTTTGCCGTTTCTTGCTTTTCTTTCCATTTGGGGTTGTTTTAAAAACATTGAAGGGATAAATCATGATAAATTATCATGATTAAATAATGATAAAATTATTTAATAATGGTCAAATTAAATAATAAAATTAAATAATGATAACATTCCTTGAAAATAGCCTTTTCTCCTTTTTTTTTTGCTTCCTAGGGTCGCTTGTTGTGATTGTCGTCCTCACAAAAAAAAAACCCCGCTGCCCCCCCTGCTGCCCCCCGGAAAAGAAACCATGGGAAGCAGAACAGAGCTGAATAAAAAATTGATAATAGAAGAGTGGAGCCAGGTGAATGCTATTCTTTCAGGATTTATTTATTTTATTTATTTATTATTCAATTTCTGTACCGCCTTTCTCCCGTAGGACTCAAGGCGGTGTACAGTCGAGAAAAATATAGACACACCAACACCATAAAATTGCTAATTAAAATTATTACTTAGTTTGGTCAATTAAATAAAACCCTATTACTACTAATCTCATAGGATGACAAGCAGAGATTAAAACTAAGAAATCATAATTTATCAAATGTATTTGCCTCTTGGGCTGCGGGTGTTCCTCTGAGCAGGGCAGCAAAATTTAGCCCAAAAGTTATTTCCAAGGGAGTCAACTTTTTTTTTTTTGTAACAGCAATAGAATTGGAAGGAGACCTTGGAGGTCATCCAGTCCAACCCCCTGCTCACGCAGGAAACCTGGGATTCGAACCGCCGCCCTGCCGACCTTTCTGATCGACAAGCTCGGTGTCTTAGCCACTGAGCCCCCTTAGTCAGGCTCTGTGTACTGACTTATGCACTTGGCACCCTGACCTGCCCGGATTGAAATTGAAAATTGTGTTCATGTTATGGAAATGCCCTGATAGGAAACATTAGTAATTGAGGAGGGCACGGGAATTTAAAAAAATATATATATATTTAAAATCAAACTTTTCTATTGATTCGGATTTTATATCTTCGGGTGCCAGTAGCTGAAATATTGAAATGGGTTACCCCTCTATTTCCTGCAGCCTGATAAGGAGCGTAACCCTCTTGTAAATGCATGGGTTACTCTTTACCAGATTTGCATTGGCTAACTTGGTTAGCTGTAATCCTGGTTTGTGCAGGTTGTGTGCTATAAATACTATCCAGCAAAACTGGATTTCTTTGATATCTTAAAAAAAAAATCCCCTTCCTTCCCCTTCCTTCCTTCCCTCCCTCCCTCTCTCCTTCCCTCCTTCCTTCCTTCCTTCCTTCCTTCCTTCCTTCCTCTTCTCTTCTCTTCTCTTCTCTTCTCTTCCTTCCTTTCTTCCTTCTGTCATGGCTGCATCTGTCCTATTCAAGCATCATGAGCTGATAATGGGACGGTTGACTCCTTCCTTTCATCCTTCCTTCCTTCCCTCCCTCTCCATCCCTCCCTCCTTCCTTCCTTCCTTCCTTCCTTCCTTCCTTCCTTCCTTCCTCTTCCCTTCCTTCCTTCCTTCCACCCTTCCTTCCTTCCTTCTGTCATGGCTGCATCTGTCCTATTCAAGCATCATGAGCTGATAATGGAACGGTTGACTCCTTCCTTCCATCCTTCCTTCCTTCCCTCCCTCTCCATCCCTCCCTCCCTCCCTCCCTCCTTCCTTCTGTCATGGCTGCATCTGTCCTAAAGCATCATGAGTTGACAGTGGGATGGTTGACTCCTTCCTTCCTTCCATCCATCCTTCCTTCCCTCCCTCTCCCTCCCTCCCTCCTTTCTTCCTTTCTCTTCTCTTCTCTTCTCTTCTCTTCTCTTCTCTTCTCTTCTCTTAAAAGTTGACAAGGATGTTGTTGAAGAAAGTCAGCCAGACAAATTTACCCTGCAAAGGTGGGGGGGGGGAGTTAGATATAAAACAACAGAGTTGGTAAGGCCACACTTGGAATCCGGCGTCCAGTTTTGGTCGCCATATTATAAAAAAGATGTGGAGACTCTGGAAAGAGTGCCGAGAAGAGCAACCAAGAGGATGAGGGGACTGGAGGCTAAAACATAGGAAGAACGGTTGCAGGAACTGGGTAAAGCTAGTCTGATGAAAAGAAGGACCAGGGGAGACATGATAGCATCTTCCAATATCTCAGGGGCTGCCCCAAAGAAGAGGGAGTCAAGCTATTCTCCAAAGCAGGAGAAGAAGCAACGGGTGGAAACTAATCAAGGAGAGAAGCAATTTAGAACTAAGGAGAAATTTCCTGACAGTGAGAACAATTAATAAGTGGAATAACTTGCCTCCAGAACTTGTGAATGCCCCAACACTGGAAGTTTTTAAGAGGATGTTGGATAACCCTTTGTCTGAAGTGGTGTAGGGTTTCCTGCCTGAGCAGGGGGTTGGACTAGAAGACCTCCAAGGTCCTTCCAACTCTGTTATTCTAAATTCTAAAATCCCATCCTTTCTGAGCAACGTCTCCCCTGTTACGTACCTGTAGATCTCGGGTCACTGTAAGCAAGAGGCAGAAGACCGTGGACATCCCAAATCCAAGGAGAAGCTGGATTTTCCGTCCTTTCCTATCCACAATGTACATCTGCAAAATGGGGAGGAAAGATGGGGGGAAATGGAAGAAATCACCACCTCTCTCTAGTTTCTCTCCTAGGTCAGAACAGAGATCACCGAGTGGTCTATTTTCCATCTCCATTCAGCCCCTCCACCTCCCCACCCCCAATAAAGCCCAAAGATTGCCACGGTTTGATTTCAAGGCAGGAAAAAGAAGCTGAAAAAGGAAGGCAGGAAAACAAACCAGGATCCAGTCTCGTGATGGCTATGTCGCTCGGCTGAAAAGCTACGTCTGGCTTCTTCAACAAAACAGGGTTGAAAAAATGAACGTGGAGGAGGAGAAGGAGGAAGGGGAGGAAGAAAAGAAGAAGAGGAGGAAAAGAGGGAGGGGAGGGAGGAGGAGAAGAGGCTCACCCCGTATAAGATAGCCAAGATTAACAGGGCAGTGGTCATCATTTGGAAATATCGGCGTTTTTGTGGCTTAACCCCGTAGAATAGAGCATTTCCTCAATGCCGAGGTAGATCTGAAACAAAACCAGCACAACAAAAGGACTCGGCTTCCAGACACGTTCAGAAGATCTTCACCATTATTGATTATGCATCCCTAGAGCAGAAGTCTTCAAACCAAGAAGCCTTCTCCAACTCCAAGAAGCCTTAGTAAGACTCCACCTAGAGTACAGCATCCTGTTTTGGTCCCCACACTATAAAACAAGATGTTGAGACTCTAGAAAGAGTGCGGAGAAGATGATTAGGGGACTGAAGGATTAAACATACGATGAACGGTTGCAGGAACTCAGCATGGCTAGTCTAGTGAAGAGAAGGACCAGGGGAGACATGATAGCAGTCTTCCAATAATGAGGGGCTGCCACAGAGAGGAGGGGGTCAAAGCTATTTTCCAAAGCACCCGAAGGCCAGACAAGGAACAATGGATGGAAACTGACCAAGGAGAGATGCAACTTGGAAATAAGGAGACATTTTCCGACAAGGAGAACAATCAACCCATGGAATAGAAGTTGCCTTCTGTTCCATGTGGGAGCTTCATCACTGGAGGCTTTCAAGAAGAGACCGGACTGCCATCTGTCAGGAATGATGGAGGGTCTCCTGCTTGGGCAGGGGTTGGACTAGATTCCTCTGCCCTAGGGAGGAACCCACCAAGAATACCTTGTTCCCAAAATCGCATGGAGTGAGTTTGGAATCATGGTGAAGGTAGGTGCTGGAAAAGACGTGAAGTCTAGACAACCAGTTGGGTAGCTTTGGACCAGATGTGCTGTCCTGGATCAACCTGGATCAGAGGTGCACATTTTCAGGTGAAGCACACCACATCGACTCCATCCCAAAAATGAAACCCAGAGCTTGGTGGATGAGAAACCAAGACTGGTCAACCTAGAAGGCTTCTTCAGAAGAGAAGACTTCTTCCATCTTCTGATCTTCTTGTCTTTCCAGGAAACCTCAACGGTGATCTTCTAAGGCCACGCGGAACAATGAGATTTGTTCCTTGTGAGACCGAGAACCACCTGGTAGATACTTTCCATGAAGTTTAACACAAAAGCCACCATGGTCAACCTGAGACCACCAAAGTTATTCAGGGTAGAGGTGGGATTCACCCGTTCGGGACCGGTTCAAGCGAACCGGTTGTTAAAATTCTGCCCAGTTCGGTGAACCGGCTAATCCCACCACTGGCTAGTCCCACCGCCTACCCATTTTGGGGCCCTTTTTGGGGCCTTTTCCAACCGCCTTTCCGGCCATTTTTTGGGCCATTTTTCCGGCTGTTTCCCGGGCCATTTTTGGGCCGTTTTTCGGGCTGGTTTTGGATGTTCAGTAGTATAAATAGAGAGGGAAATTGTACCTTGTTGTGGCCTTTGAGGTGAGTGGCCAGGAGGCGGGGCTGGGTGTGATGAGTGACATCGAGTTGGCCACGCCCACCCAGTCACATGGGCACCCAGCCACATCAACCCCCGTCATTAGGGCAGAGATCCAGTTGTTAATTTATTGGAATCCCACCACTGATTCAGGGCCACCAGAAAGAACCTTCACCCGACGCATTACATTTGGTGGCGGTTGCCATGATGACGACGCTCAGCTTCTTACGGGTTCCAGAGACTGCCTTCCCTTACCACATTGACACCGGAAAGCTGCTGGCCTGTTTCTATAACCACCACCGAAACCAGGTGCCAACGGAGCGGACGATAACCCAGCAACCGCAGGGTAGTCATGTTCTTCTCGTCCTTCTCAAAAATGTCCTCCCGTCGGAGTTCCTCCATTTCATCCTCAATTTCGCTCTGGAACCTGAGGCGCTTCAGAGCTGGGAGATGAAACAGAAAAACCCCCCCCAAGGCTGAAGGTCGAAGTTGAAGTGCGGTGAGGGTACAGGTTAAGGATACAGGCAGTGGTGGGATTCAAAAATTTTCGTAAATGGTTCTCTGCCCAGTTGCTGGGTAGGCGTGGCCATGGTGGGCGTGGCCTACTTCAGCCTCCTGCATCACAGTGGGGGAGGGATTTTTCGCCCTCCCCAAGCTCCGGAGGCTTTCCTCGAGCCACCGGGAGAGCGAAAACAGCCTCCCCAGGCTCCAGAGGCTCTCTGATGGCTGGAAACGGCCATCAGAGAGCCTCCGCATGGGCACTGCACTTACCTAGCATTCAAAACGGGCTGTATGGAGACTCCTGGGAGGGGAGGGGCAGAGTGGGTGGGGGCAGCCAAACCGGCTGAATCTCACCCCAGGATACAGGATACAGGATACAGGATAAGGATACAGGATAAGGATAAGGATATAAGATGGAGTCAAACCCCCATCAATAAGCCTGAATCTGCGAGGGAAGACGAGCTGGAATTGAGAGCTGACGGAGATAAGGGATAGGATAAGGTTAGGATAAGATGGGTCATACCCCCGTCAAAGCCTGAATCCAAGGGAAGTCTGGAAGGAAGAAGCTGAGTGATGCCTTGGCTTTGGAGGAAGATGGAGGAGCAGCCCAGTCAGGGCCTTTCAGGATTAGGACAGTTTGTAGGCAGGGAGGAACAGGGGCGGGATGACGAAAAGAGGTTATTGAGAGGCAATGACCTCCTGATCCTCGAGCACGGAGAGTGGAGAGAAGGCGAGAACAGTGCAGACTGACTTGGCTACTCGGGAGGAGAGCGGCCCGCCCCTCTTCACAAGGCATACCTGGGGACTGAGACTTAAGGAGACGCTGTAGGGAGGGGCATTTGTCGGGAACAAACACTGAATTAATGGAGTGTTGAGTGCCGACGTAGCTGGAGGGGTGATGAGTGGACCACTGGACGTTCTGAAGGACCAAGCTGGGGACAGATCCTCCTGGAGATAACTTACTTATGTGGCCACTAAGGGTCAACAACAACTTGATGGCACATAATCTATGAGTTACCTCCTTTGACCATTCCACATTTCCACACATCCTAGAGTTTTGGCTTGTTTAAATACCACACACGTTGCCAGGAGTTTAGATATGAGTCCATCCCAACCCTAGCAGATACCTTCTCTGGCTTCTTCTTCTTTTTTCTTTTGTATCAACAGGTACCTCGGACTTTCAGGGCAGGAAGGGAGCAGAAGGATCTGCCAGATAGCCAACAGCCCAGGCAAACTCACCAGTATTGGCCAAGCTGCATGGACAGAAGCGAGTGGTCAAAGGAGGGGAAGTTGGGTGATGTCATCCCAGCGCTTCCTCCCCTCCTTATCGAGAGGAAACGGACTTTACCTTCTACAGTGCCCAGAAGTTCAGGAAAGGCAAATATCTGAGCCATTTGGACCCCGATCACTAGAAAGAAATGGGGCAGCATGCCAATGGAACCCCTCAAACCCAGGGGGCTGGTCTCTAGGAGGTAGATAGGAATGACGCTGGAGAAAATACCTGGGGAACAAAAACATACCCGGCACGTTCAGAAGAACTTCATCGTCGTTTGGTCGTTTGGCCTGGCCTAACTCTCCTCTTTTAAATTTTTAATTCGTGATTTTATAAATTGGGTGTTTTAATCTGTGTTTCGGCCAAAATATTTAATAATTTAAAGGGATTTTTAATATTTGTATTATCTGTATTTTATCTTGGCTGTTCACCGCCCTGAGTCCTTCGGGAGTAGGTCGGTATAGAAATTTGATTAATAAATAATAATAATAAATAAACATAACCCTGGAGTAGGAATCTCCAAACATGGCAACTTTAAGACTTGTGGACTTCAACTCCCAGAACTACGCAGCAAGCCGTGCTGACCGAGGGATTCTGGGAGTTGAAGTCCACAAGTTCAAACTTACAAAGGCGCACTGAAAAAAAGGTGACTTATGACCTTGCTTCACACTTACGACCGTTGCAGTGTCCCCAGTCACTTTTTTATTTATTTATTTTGATTTATATGCCGCCCTTCTCCGGAGACTCAGGGCGGCTTACAATGTGTTAAGCAATAGCCTTCGTGCTTTTTGTATATTTATACAAAGTCAGCTTATTGCCCCCACAACCGGGTCCTCAATTTACCCACCTTAGAAAGGATGGAAGGCTGAGTCAACCTTGAGCCTGGCGAGATTCGAACCTGCAGTAATTGCAGGCAGCTGGTCTTAATAACAGGGTGCTTTAAACCACTGTACTACCAAGGTCTCCTCTTTGATCAAAAGTCAGATGCTCATGTTTATGTTACGTGCCCAGGGGTTACGTCGTGATCCCCCCTTTTTTGGGGGGGTGACTTTCTGACAAAGTCAGAAGCCAGATTCACTTAACCACCGTGGGACTAACTGAACAATCGCAGTGATTCGCTCAACAAATATGGCAACAAAGGTCGTAAAGGGAGGCAAAACACACTTAACACTTAGTGACAGGAAATGTTGGCTTGATGGTGGTCATAAATCAAAGGACTATCTGTAACTAGTAAAGGGTAATTACTGATTCGGCTGTCGGAGGGGCAGGCAGTCAACAGGCCACCAACATTAAACTGTGGAAGTTGTTTTTGTTGGAAAACATGGGTCCATTTTCTTGGGAGGTAACCTTCTCTTCGCTTGGAGGGGGGGGAGACTTTGGAAAAAGTGCAGATGTCAGACTGCGGTGCTATCTCAAAATTAAATGAATTTCCAAACTGCCAATCTTTAAGGAAATCTTTCTTTAATTGAGCTCAGCCACCGGATCATGACTCCACGCAGACAAGACTGACCTTTTGCCCCCCCAATCCCTCCCTTTCCGATCCCCAAATCTCTGCTTCTCATTGGCTGTCTTCCGAGCCATTCTTCAGACTTCTTTTCCTCATCATTTCCCAGGAATGTGCCCCCTCCCCTCATTTCCACGACAACCAGGCTTCAAAGGGATTTAGCAGGCAAAAGTCTCAGAGTTTATCTTTCGCTCTCCTCTGCTCCCTCTAGGCCAGCGTTGCAATGCTGACAGCAGAAAAGAGCAACTAAGACGATCAAAGGCCTGGAGACTAAAACATATGAAGGACGGTTGCAGGATTTGGGTTTGGCTAATGCAAGAGTCAGCAACCTGCGGCTCTGGAGCCGCATGTGGCTCTTTCATCCCTGTGCTGCGGCTTCTTGTTGCTGGTCGGCTCCACAATTGATAGGGCTTTTGGTTAGGACAGAGGTAGAGGAAAAAGGATGCCACACTAGGAGGAGACTCTATGGTAGGGGGAACCAGACTTCCGGTCAGCATAGGAAAAAGGACGCCATGCTAGGAAAGACTCTATGGTGGGGAACCGGACTTCCAGTTGGTTCCAAAATTGAACGGGGGGGGCTCCCAGTTAGGACCTTTGTGGCTCTTTGAGTTCAACGCGAAACGAGCCCCTCCCACTCTCCCCAACTCACCCATTGAGATGCCAATAAGGAACCGTGAAAACATGGCAAAGATGAATTCGTGTTGAAGTTTGGCGAAAATCATCAACATGGAGCACACCAAGGAAATGTAATTGTTGGTCATCAATGTCTGTTTCCTGAAGACACAACAGAAAGAAATGGTGGGATTCAGAGGTTCCTTCCACCTTGGGTAGTATTAGAGAAGACGACAAGAAACCCGGTGGTTGGAGAGAGAATTGGGAGGTCCTAATGAGGTGGGAAACTTCATTCAATCGTTCAGGTTTAATTCGTCCAGGAATGGTAAGCAACTATCTAAGACAGGGGTGTCTGCAACCTTAAACACTCAAAGAGCCATTTGGACTTGTTTCCCACAGAAAAGAAAACACCGGGAGCCACAAAACCCTTCCTGTGCCTAATATTTCTTAAGCGGCCACAAAACTAGAGCCTGATGGCGCAGCAGACTAAAAGCCTGTTATTATCATTCAGCTCCCTTAAATACTGCTATTCGAATATACCCCAGGCTCAAGGTTGACTCAGGGTTCCGTTTCTAAGGTAGCGTAAATTGAGTACCCAGTTTGTGGGGCAATAAGCTGACTTTTGTATAAATATACAAAAAGGATGAAGGCTATTGCTTAACGCATTGTAAGCGCCTGAATCTCGGAAGAAGGGCGGCATATAAACAAATTTAAAAAAAAAAGAAAAGAAAGAGAAAGAAGGAAGGAAGGAAGGAAGAAAGAAAGAAAGAAAGAAGAAAGAAAGAAAGAAAGAAAGAAAGAAAGAAAGAAAGGAGAAGCTGACTTTGTATAAATATACAAAAGTATGAAGGCTATTGACTTAACGCATTGTAAGCCGCCCTGATCTCCGATAAGGGCGGCATATAAATCAATTAAAAAAAAAAAAAGAAAGAAAGAGAAAGAAAGGAAGGAAGGAGGAACGAAGGAAGGAAGGAAGGAAGTTGAAGGAAAGCGAAGAACGAAAGCCAAGAGCGAGAAAGAAAGAAGCGACATGAAGAACAGAAAGCAAAGAAAGAAACGAGAAGCTGACTTTGTATAAATATACAAAAAGGATGAAGGCTATTGCTTAACGCATTGTAAGCCGCCCTGAGTCTCCGGAGAAGGGCGGCATATAAATCAAATTAAAAAAAAAAAAAGAAAGAAAGAGAAAAGAAGGAAGGAAGGAAGGAAGGAAAGGAAGGAAGGAAGGAAGGAAGGAAGGAAAGAAAGAAATAAAGAAAGAAAGAAAGAAAGAAAGAAAGGAAAGAAAGAGGAAAGAAAGAGTGAACTGACTTTGTATAAATATACAAAAAAGTAGGAAGGCTATTGCTTAACGCATTGTAAGCCACCCTGAGTCTCCGGAGAAGGGCGGCATATAAATCAAATTAAAAAAAAAAAAAGAAAGAAAGAAAGAGAAAGAAGGAAGGAAGGAAGGAAGGAAGGAAGGAAGGAAGAAGGAAAGAAAGAAAAGAAAGAAAGAAAGAAAGAAAGAAAGAAAGAAAGAAAGAAAAGAAAAGCTGACTTTGTATAAATATACAAAAGTATGAAGGCTATTGCTTAACGCATTGTAAGCCGCCCTGAATCTCGAAGAAAGGCGGCATATAAATCAAATTAAAAAAAAAAAAAGAAAGAGAAAGAAAGAAGGAAGGAAGGAAGGAAGGAAGGAAGGAAGGAAGGGAAGAAAGAAAGGAAGGAAAGAAAGAAAGAAAGAAAGAAAGAAAGAGAAGCTGACTTTGTATAAATATACAAAAGTATGAAGGCTATTGCTTAACGCATTGTAACCCGCCTTGAGTCTCCGGAGAAGGGAGGCATATAAATCAAATTAAAAAACAAAAAACAAAAAACTAGCATATGTAGTTGAATTAAACGTTCTGTTTTCTTCTGAAACTTTTCTTTTCTTGCATTTATCTGCGAACCCCCAGCAGCCCACCCCTGTGGTAGACTTCAACCTACATGTCTGGGAGCTGGCAAAGATATATCTCCCTTCTTCTCCTTCCCTTCATTCATTCACTCTTACCCCAAAACAGCCTGCACGGATGAGTCCTGGCGGCGCCCTGAATCCATTTACCTGCCGAATTTATCCACCAGGACTCCGACAAGAAGTGACCCATCATGGCTCCCAGAGGGAAGAGGCTGCTTGCAAAACCGACCACCACATCGGCCTTATCCTTTTGACTGGCATTTTTCATCACGTTGTGATACGATAGATTATAAAATTCCCTGATGAGCTGGAAGGAAGAAAGGAGCAGCTGGAATAGAGGCTGCCAGGTTATATATGGGCAGCTTTGACTTGGCGGTTTTGATCCGTTGAGCTGCCCCCTTTTAGGCAAACTCCCTAAAAATAGTAACAGCAATAATAATAATAACAACAACAAGAACAAGATCTTGTGGGACTTTCGAACACAGACGGATCGTCATTTGGAACACAACAATAATAACTTTATTGTCATTGTACGTGTATACACAGTATACCCGTTCAACGAAATTCACTTAACACCCAAAGACCGGGTCCAACAGACATAACAATCCCCAAACACACTCCCACCCACCACAAATTCCCCACCCTACAAAACAACAGACATCCAAAACAGACACTTATGACCATCCAACCCACCACAATGACCCTTAGTTCCTAGACCAAGTGCCTGCAAAAATACATGAATAGACCAGTGCCTGCAAAAATACATGAGTAGATCAGTGCCTGCAAAAATACATGATTGGACCAGTGCCTGAAAAAAAACATGAGTAGATCAGTGCCTGCAAAAATACCATGACAGTAGACCAGTGCCTGTCAAAAATACATGTATTAGACAGTGCCCCACAAAAATATTATGGTAGACCAAATGCCTGCAAAAAAATACTGTGAAACTAGATCAAAGCCTGCATCAGTGCCTGCAAAAATACATGAGTAGATCAGTGCCTGCAAAAATACATGAGTAGACCAGTGCCTGCAAAAATACATGAATAGTCCAGTGCCTGCAAAAATACATGAGTAGATCAGTGCCTGCAAAAATAAATGAGTAGACCAGTGCCTGCAAAAATATATGAGTAGATCAGTGCCTGCATCAGTGCCTGCAAAAATACATGAGTAGATCAGTGCCTGCAAAAATACATGAGTAGACCAGTGCCTGCAAAAATACATGAATAGACCAGTGCCTGCAAAAATACAATGAGTAGATCAGTGCCTGCAAAAATAAATGGGTAGACCAGTGCCTGCAAAAATACATGAATAGATCAGTGCCTGCAATCAGTGCCTGCAAAAAACATGAGTAGATCAGTGCCTGCAAAAATACATGAATAGACCAGTGCCTGCAAAAATATATGAGTAGACCAGTGCCTGCAAAAATACATGAGTAGATTGGTAGAGCTCTGCAAGCAGTTAAAAGCCTGGTAGACCAGTCCCTCTGCTAAATCCTAAATAATTGTCACATGACCATCAAGCCACGCCCACAAAATAAGCCACACCCACAGAACCGGTAGTAAAAAAATTTTAGAACCCACCCCTGATCTGGCGGGACAGGCTTTTAAACTAACCAATGGATTTAAAAACAACAAAGGTGACAAATATTTGTTCCGATTTTTCACCTCTTAGCTGGCAGCTGTTTTGTGAAGGTCACTCACCGTAGTGTCCGAGTAGCAGAGCCAGTGGTTGTAACCCAGCTGGAGCGACGCTAAGCCCGTTACGAAGACGAGTTGGCGTGAGGTTTCTGTTAGCTTTAAAGAAAAAAAAGGGAAGGAGAGGTCTCAACTTGAACGCAGATCTCCATATTGTTTTAAAGCACAGATACAGATAGTCCTCAACAGATATTCTTCTCTCTCTGGGCACAATGAGAATATATCTGCTGAACAAAACTCCGCATTGGTGACAGGAAAGGCATCCGGCCAATAAATACTCAGCTCCATTCAGTTGCCCAGACTCCACGCCAGATTATGGGCTCATCAAAAGAGGATGATACAGATAGTCCTCAACTTAACAGTTTCCTTTAGTGATCGCTCAAAGTTAGAGAAGAGGAAGGATGGAAGGAAGGAGTCAACCATCCCACTGTCAGCTCATGATGCTTGAATAGGAGAGATGCAGCCATGACAGAAGGAAGGAAGGAAGGAAGGAAGGAAGGAAGAGAAGGAAGAGAAGAGAAGAGAAGAGAAGAGAAGAGAAGAGAAGAGAAGAGAAGAGAAGAGAAGAGAAGAGAAGAGAAGAGAAAGGAAGAAAGGAGGGAGGGAGGGAGAGGGAGGGAAGGAAGGATGGATGGAAGGAAGGAAGGAGTCAACCATCCCACTGTCAACTCATGATGCTTTAGGACAGATGCAGCCATGACAGAAGGAAGGAGGGAGGGAGGGAGGGAGGGATGGAGAGGGAGGGAAGGAAGGAAGGATGGAAGGAAGGAGTCAACCGTTCCATTATCAGCTCATGATGCTTGAATAGGACAGATGCAGCCATGACAGAAGGAAGGAAGGAAGGAAGGAAGGAAAAGAGGAGAGGAGGAAGGAAGGAAGGAGGAGGAAGGAAGGAAGGAAGGAAGGAAGGATGGAACAGGAAGGAAGAAGGAAGAGAAGAGAAGAGAAGAGAAAGAGAAGAGAAGAAAGGAAGGAAGGAAGGAAGGAAGAAGGAAGAGAGGGAAGGGAGGGAAGGAAGGAAGGAAGGAAGGGGATTTTTTTTTTAAGATATCAAAGAAATCCAGTTTTGCTGGATAGTATTTATAGCACACAACCTGCACAAACCAGGATTACAGCTAACCAAGTTAGCCAATGCAAATCTGGTAAAAAGTAACCCATGCATTTACAAGAGGGTTACGCTCCTTATCAGGCTGCAGGAAATAGAGGGGTAACCCATTTCAATATTTCAGCTACTGGCACCCGAAGATATAAAATCCGAATCAATAGAAAAGTTTGATTTTAAATATATATTTTTTTTTTAAATTCCCGTGCCCTCCTCAATTACTAATGTTTCCTATCAGGGCATTTCCATAACATGAACACAATTTTCAATTTCAATCCGGGCAGGTCAGGGTGCCAAGTGCATAAGTCAGTACACAGAGCCTGACTAAGGGGGCTCAGTGGCTAAGACACCGAGCTTGTCGATCAGAAAGGTCGGCAGTGCGGCGGTTCGAATCCCAGGTTTCCTGCGTGAGCAGGGGGTTGGACTGGATGACCTCCAAGGTCTCCTTCCAATTCTATTGCTGTTACAAAAAAAAAAAAAGTTGACTCCCTTGGAAATAACTTTTGGGCTAAATTTTGCTGCCCTGCTCAGAGGAACACCCCAGCCCAAGAGGCAAATACATTTGATAAATTATGATTTCTTAGTTTTAATCTCTGCTTGTCATCCTATGAGATTAGTAGTAATAGGGTTTTATTATAATTGACCAAACTAAGTAATAATTTTTAATTAGCAATTTTATGATGTTGGTGTTCTATATTTTTCTTCGACTGTACACCGCCTTGAGTCCTACGGGAGAAAGGCGGTACAGAAATTGAATAATAAATAAATAAAATAAATAAATCCTGAAAGAATAGCATTCACCTGGCTCCACTCTTCTATTATCAATTTTTATTCAGCTCTGTTCTGCTTTCCATGGTTTCTTTTCGGGGGGGGCGGGGGGCAGCGGGGGGGGGGGTTTTTTGTGAGGACGACAATCACAACAAGCGACCCTAGGAAGCAAAAAAAAAAAGAGGAAAAAGGCTATTTTCAAGGAATGTTATCATTATTTAATTTTATTATTTATATTTGACATTATTAAATAATTTTATCATTATTTAATCATGATAATTTATCATGATTTATCCCTTCAATGTTTTTTAAAAAACAACCCCAAATGGAAAGAAAAGCAAGAAACGGCAAAACCCTTGAGTTTTGGGGAAGGTATGGAATTGACTTTTCCTGTTTTCCCCTCCGCTGCCTGCACAGGTAGTCCTCGACGTACAACAGCTCATTTAGTGACCATTCAACTTTACGCCAACGCTGGCAAAAGGGACTTATGTTATGACCGGTTTTCACACACATCCCGTGGTCAGGTCATCCAAATTCAAACGCTTGGCAACTGGCTCGTATTTATGACGATGGCGGTGTCCCGCGGTCACACGATCCCATTTTGTGGATAAAATGGAGAGGGAGGGAGGGAGGGAGGGAGGGAGGGAGGAAGGAAGGAAGAAAGGAAGGGAAACACAGGAAAGAGGGAGGGAGGGAGGAACCAACAGGAGGGAGAGAAGGAGAAAGGAAGGAAGGAAGGAAACACAGGAGGGAGGGAAGAGGAAAGAAGGAAGGAAGGAAGGAAGCGATAGGCAGAGGAGGAGAGGAGGAGGAGGAGGAAGAAGAAGAGGAGGAGGAGGAGGAGGAGGAGAAGAAGAAGAGAGGGGAGGAGGAGGAGGAAGGAAAGGAGGAGGGGGAGAAGGAAGGAAGCAAGAAGAAGAAGAAGAACAACAAGAAGAAGAAGAAAAGAAGAAGAAGAAGAAGAAGAAGAAGAAAACAAGAAGAAGAAGAAGGAAGAAAAGAAGAAGAGAAGAAGAAGGAAGGAAGAAAGAAGAAGAAGAAGGAAGGATTCTTCAGGAAGGAAGGAAACACAGGAAAGAGGAGAGGGAGGGAGGAAACACAGGAGGGAGAAGAAGAAGGAAGGAAGGAAGGAAGGAGCACAGGAGGGAGGGAAGGAGGAAAGAAGGAAGGAAGGAAACAAAGGAAGGAGGGAGAAGGAAGGAAGGAAGGAAAGAGGAGGAAGGAGAAAGAAAGAAGGAAGGAACACAGGAAAGAGGAGGGAAGGAGAAAAGAAGGAAGAGGAAATACAGGAAAGAGGGAGGGAGGGAGAAGAACACAGAAGGGAGGGAAGGAGAGGAAAGAAGGAAGGAAGGAAACACGGAAGGGAGGGAGGAAGAAGGAACAAAGAAGGGAAGGAAGGAAACAAAGAGGAAGGAAGGAAGGAAGGAAACACAGGAGGGAAGGAGGGACAGAGGAAGGAAGGAAGAAGGAAGGGGGAGGGAGGAAACGAAACACAGGAGGGAGGGAGGAAAGAAGGAAGGAAACACAGGAGGGATGGGGAGGAGGGAGGAAGGAAGGGGTAGAAAGGGAAGGAAGGAACTTACTTGGAGGTCATTCAAAAATGCTTGGCTTCCCCCCCAAAACGTAATATTTTACTTTATACTTTCCTGTAATATACCTCCCCTCCGCCTCTCCTTTCTCAAAGCCCCTCTTTGCCCACTAGGGCAACTAACTAAGTTCCGCACCGGTCAGGCCTCGGTTTCAACCAATGCTTGGGTGGCCTTCTCTCGACAAGCCAGGATGCCCCGTCACTGCCCGTTCTACCCCTGGAGGATTCAAAGCCTGGGTCACTCTGGATTGATGGCCAAAGCAGGCCTGGAACCGGTGCCCGTGGGGAGAGCCAATCAGGCGAGGGCTCCGCAGGATTCCGGGGTCCGGTTGGCAGTTGGATCCCAGGACATGGCGCCTCGGCGGCCCCTAAAAGAGACAAGAAAGAGAAAACTCAGAAATCCAGTCTTTCTTTCAAGTCCCACATCTTCTTGGTCTCCTTAGAGGAAGGTTTTTGTGGCTCCCGGTGTTTTCTTTTCTGTGGGAAACGAGTCCAAATGGCTCTTTGAGTGTTTAAGGTTGCAGACACCCCTGTCTTAGAGGCTAATGGGTTCTCACCACATCCACTAACCATCATGGTTGATTCTGGCTTACGGGAATTGGACAAGCCCAGCCTTATCAGTTGGCCAATCATGGCTTGTGGCTTAACTGGAGAAAAGCTACCGCTTAACCATGGTTAAGTCAACCCCCAGCTTTGGAGGAGTCCCGCCCTAAAGCCACCAGCGCTATCCTCAGCCCTTCGACCAGTAAGAAACCAGGATTCAATAGACAAATCATGATCTATTGAAATGGTCTGCCACCCAACTCTCAATTAGACTGCGAAGAAGGTAACCGCGAAGCCTTGAAGTGCGCGTTCCGCAGCAACATGTTTGTAAAATAGTGTAACTGCAGAGGAACACAATTAATGTAAACGCAATCAAATAAAACACAGCAAACCTCTTTATTGGGTTTACACAGTAGCAGAATTGGGAAAGGGCGGTGAAGGGTGCCCTCTGGTGGCCAGATGCAGGCCCTGCAGCAGCCAAGAACCAATACGTTGTGTAGACGTTACAAAATCTCTAACAGATTTAACAGATGAATAGAAATAGAATAGAATAGAATAGAATAGAATAGAATAGAATAGAATAGAATAAGAGTAAGAATAGAATAGAGAAGAGTGAATAGAAGAGAAGAGTGAATAGAAGAGAAAATAGAAGAGAAGAGAATAGAGAAGAGTGAATAGAAGAGAAGAGAAGAGTGAATAGAAAATAGAATAGAATAGAGAAGAGAAGAGTGAATAGAAGAGAAGAGTGAATAGAAGAGAAAATAGAATAGAATAGAATAGAATAGAATAGAGAAGAGAAGAGAAGAGAAGAGTGAATAGAAGAGAAGAGAAGAGTGAATAGAAGAGAAAATAGAATAGAATAGAATAGAGAAGAGAAGAGTGTATAGAAGGGAAGAGAAGAGTGAATAGAATAGAATAGAATAGAATAGAATAGAATAGAATAGAATAGAATAGAATAGAATAGAATAGAATTCTTTATTGGCCAAGTGTGATTGGACACACAAGGAATTTGTCTTTGGTGCATCTGCTCAGTGGGATGACAGCTATTTCTGCCAGCTTAGCGTCATCTGCAAATTTGATGAGTTCCTCTTCTATTCCCTCATCTAAGTCATTTGAGAAAGTTGCATAACATTCTCGAAGACTCTTCCCATCCTGCTTACAATCTTTTTGGACTGTTGCCTTCTGGCAGAAGATGCAGAACGATTAAAACTCGGACCGCACGTCTTCCGAATAGTTTTTATCCCAGAGCTGTAATTGCACTCAACAATGAACTAAAGGGCCACCATCAGTGAGCTGTTGGACGGCATGACGTGGTCTGTTGTGTGGATGTTTGGGTGGTTTAGGAGTGGGGAATTTGTGGTGTGTTCGGGGATTGTTATGTGTGTTGGACCTGGTCTTTGGGTGTTACGTGAATTTCGCTGTATGGATATACTGTGTGTACACGTACAATGACAATAAAGTTATTATTATTTTGTCATTAAACAGATATATTCTAGGCTGCATCAACAGAGGGATAGAATCAAGATCACGGGAAGTGTTAATACCGCTTTATAAGGCCTTGGTAAGGCCACACTTGGGATACTACATCCAGTTTTGGTCGTCATGATGAAAAAAATACGTTGAGACTCTGGAAAGAGTCCAGCGAAGAGCAACTAGGGTGTTTAGGAAGCTAAAACATATAAAGAACGGCTGCAGGAACTGGGTTCAGGAGTGAAATCCAGCCCTACGTGGCATGGGCCCGGGGTACTTGCAGGACCACCTCCTACCGGCCTCCCACTGCCCAGTGCGGTCACATAGGACTGCCCTCCTCCGGGTGCCATCGGCCAGAGAATGCCAGCCGGTGACCCCCAGGATGAGAGCGTTCTCAGTGGCCGCACCGACCCTCTGGAATGAATTACCCACCGGGCTTCGGACGGCCCCCGACCTCCGCGCTTTCCGCGCCGAACTGAAGACACGGCTTTTTCAGCAAATTCCCTGATCTGTTATGAGATTTTAGTTGTTGGGGTTTTTACATTTGGATGTTTTTAGTTCTATTTATTGTTATATGTTTTTTATATATTAAGAGCCTTGGTAGTACAGTGGTCTAAAGCACCCTGTTATTAAGACCAGCTGCCTGCAATTACTGCAAGTTCGAATCTCGCCAAGGCTCAAGGTTGACTCAGCCTTCCATCCTTTCTAAGGTAGATGAAATGAGGACCCAGTTTGTGGGGGCAATAAGCTGACTTTGTATAAATATACAAAAGTACGAAGGCTATTGCTTAGCGCATTGTAAGCCGCCCTGAGTCTCCGGAGAAAGGTGGCATATAAATCAAATTTAAAAAAAAAAAAATTCAGTGAGTCGCCCCGAGTCCTACGGGAGAAGGGCAGCATAGAAATCTAAGAAAATAAATAAATAAATAAATAAATAAATAAATAAATAAATAAATAAATAAATAAAGGAAGCCATTCTTTTCCCCAAGAAAGACATCTCATTTATTTTAAAAATTAACAAACAAGAGAGTAGAAAAATCTCAACGGCCCCTTCCCTTAAATTGAGGGCACGGATGGGACGTGGGAAGTGACGGCTCTGGGTTTTTTACGCCTCCCGCCATGCAGCCCTTTGAACGGATTCGACTGGTGATGAGACCCCCGGACTTTAATTTTTTTGATGGCCCGCGCAGCCAGAAGGTTCCGGATCTGCAGAAAACTCTTCTGTTTGGTCTCAGGGATATTCCTGAAGATAAACACGAAGCTAGCGATGCAAAGAGGCCAGAAGAGGAGAAAGCTGTAGGATCCAATCTTATTCTGGAGGGAGCAAAAAGAGATTGTGCGGCCAGCATAACGTAGAAGAAAAGGGCCCTCCTGACTGACTCAAAAAAAAAAAAAAAACAGTTTTCTCACCCCCACCCCCATCCAAAAAAACCTCAGAATCAAGCAAAGAAAATGTGGAAATGAGTGACGGCTGACTTCAAGTCTCATGTTTCTAAATTTAGGTTTCTAAATTGGATTTATAAAGAAATGCTCCTTGTGTGTCCAGTCACACTTGGTCAATAAAGAATTCTATTCTATTCTGTTCTGTTCTGTTCTGTTCTGTCCTTCTACTCTTCTCTACTTTACTCTATTCCTAATTCTATTCTATTCAATTCCATTCTATTCTCCTATCCTTTCCTAGACCTAGTCCTTATTCTATTCCTTATTCTATTCCACTCTACTCTACTCTACTCTACTCTACTTTCCTATTCCTATTCTATTCTATTCTATTCTATTCTATTCTATTCTATTCTATTCTATTCTATTCTATTCTATTCTATTCTAACTCTACTCTACTCCTCTATTCTATTCTATTCTATTCTATTCTATCTACTCTACTCTACTCTACTCCTCTATTCTATTCTATTCTATTCTACTCTACTCTACTCTACTCTACTCTACTCTACTCTACTCCTCTATTCTATTCTATTCTATTCTATTCTATTCTATTCTATTCTATTCTATTCTATTCTATTCTATTCTATTCTACTCTACTCCTCTATTCTATTCTATTCTATTCTATTCTATTCTATTCTATTCTATTCCATTCTACTCTACTCCTCTATTCTATTCTATTCTATTCTATTCTATTCTATTCTATTCTATTCTTCTACTCTACTCTACTCCTATTTTTATTCCTAGTTCTATTCTAATATATTAATATAAATATAAATGTATGTATGTATGTATGTATGTATGTATGTATGTATGTATATATAAATATGGAGTGGACTCAACAACAATCGATTCAGATTCACTTACCTCAACCTGAAGGACAATAACCCCAGTTATAAAATTTAGAAGCCAATGGACAAAACCCCCCAGCATAATTCCTGTCGACCTGGAGGATTGAAGGAACAGTTCAGCTATGATGACATTTGGTAATGGACCTGCAGGAGGAAGAAGGGGAGGAAGAGGGGGAGGGGGGAGAGGGGGCAGAGGAGGAGGAGGAGGTGGGGGAGGGGGAGGAAAAGGAGGAGGAAGAGGGAAGAGGAGGATGAGGAGGAGAAGAGGAAGAAAGGGGAAGAGGAGGAGGGGAAGGAAGAGGAGGAAAAGGGAAGAGGAGGAGGGGAAGGAAGAGGAGGAAAAGGGAAGAGGAGGAAGAGGGAGGAAGAGAGGAAGAAGGAGAAGAGGAGGAGGGGAAGGGGAGGGGAAGAAGAGGAAGAGGAGGAGGAAGAGGAGAGGAGGATGAGGAGGAGAAGAGGAAGAAGGGGAAGAGGAGGAGGGAAGGTGGGGGAGGGGAAGGAAGAGGAGAGGAAGAAGAGGTAGAAGGGGAGGAGAAGGTGGGGAAGAGGAAGGAAGAAGGAGGAGGAAGAGGAGGAAGAGAATGAGGAAGAGAAGAGAAAGGGGAAGAGGAGGAGGAAGAGAAGAAGGGGAGGAGGGGGAGAAGGTGGAGAGGGGAAGGAAAAAAAGGAGGCAGAAGAGGAAGAGGAGGAGGAAGAGGAAGAGGAAAAGGAAGAAGAGAAGAGAAATGGGAAGAGGAGGAGGAGGAAGAGAGGGGCAGGAGAAGGTGGGGGAGGGAGAGGAAGAAGAGAAGGAGGAGGAAAAGGGGGAGGCACACTCTCAATTATCCTCCGTATCAGTGGGTGGGGGCCCAGTCCCACCCCCTCCCCCCCAGATGAAGAGGCTCTACCTGGACCTAATACGTGTCCGAGGAGGAAGATGAGCAGGAAAATATATGTGACGTAAGACAGCCAAGAAACGGTCATCTGTTGGAGGAAGTTTATTTATATTTCTTTATTAAATTTACCTCAGGATCCAGGCCAATTTACCTCACCTCAGGATCCAGGCCAGTCCTGGGAGGCTCCCAATGCCATGAAATCAAAAATATAAGAGCATTAAAATGAACAAGAATCATATTTTTTTTAAAAAAACTACAAACCCAAGGTACAAACGGTGAAATCGTCTAAATTACAGGAGTCCTCGACTTACGACCACAATGGAGCCCCAAAATTTCTATTGTTCAGTGAATTTTGCCCCCATTTTTATGACCTTCGTTGCCACCGTTGTTGAGTGAATCACTCCAGTTGATAAGTTAACAACTCGGTTGTTAAGTGAGTCTGGCTTCCCTTTTGGTCGCAAAAAGGGATCATGTGACACACACACACACACACCCGGGATGCTCAACCGTCATAAATTTGAATCAGTTGTCATGCAACTGACTTTTGATCAGTCAAGTAGAGGCAGATATTTCTCTCTCTGGGCACGATGAGAATATATCTGCTGAACAAAACTCCACATTGGAAACAGGAAGGGCATCCGGCCAGTAAATACTCAACTCCATTCAGTTGCCCAGACTCCACCCCACAAGGGATTATGAGGTCATTAAATGATGATGATAATCTCACGCTTTGCTATCTCGGACCCTCCGAAGTTGGTCACCCCAATCTGAGACAATCAAAGTGATGGACCAGTAAATTTGGCCAGAAGACACAACAAACTCCCCCCCACCACCACAATAACTACACCACAAACGCTCAAGTTTGCGGTTGGGATGAATTTTTACATTTTTAAAACAAAGCCCTCGCCCCCCCCAAATCCAGCAGAAAATATCGGGGCGCGTTCGGCCTGTTGGGTTGGTTTTCTTCCCCCCCCCCCAAAAAAAAGGTGTCACGATTTTTGGAGAAGTTTCAATGGCATACCTGAAGTTCCTGAGATATAGTCAAGAGGACACAGAAGGTGCTACAGATGCCGAACCCCAGCAGGATTAAGAGTCTTCGGCCCAAGCTGTCGACGCTATAGGACTACAGGGTAGAAAGTCCAAGATTGAAAAGGAGGCTAAACCACGTTTCTTTTCAACCATGGTTTGTCAAACAAGCCGTTGACCGCCTGGGAGTGGTCATCACTCTAAAGCCACGGTCTCCTTACCTTGGCTATTTGAAGAAGTGTGGACTTCGACTCCCAGAATTCCCTAGCCGGCGTGCAGAATTCTGGGAGTTGAAGTCCACACATGGCTAAGGTTGGGAAACCCTGTCTTGAAGCAAAGAGACCATCATGGGGTGAAGCCTGAATCAAGGTTTGGAACCACGATGGAACAAACCATGATCTATGGAGATTCTCAATCCTCCAGGTCATGGTGTTTTTTTTCTCAAGAGGCCAGGGGACTTTCTGGTTTTTCTTGAAAGACTTTTCACTTCTCACCATAGGTGGGCTTCGAAACGCCCACTATGACCAACGGTTGCTGGGTTGGTCATAGTGAGCATGGCTGAGTTGGCCTCCTTTACCACGGCGGAGGGGGGCGTTTTGGCCCTCCCCAGGCTCCGGAGGCTTTTTTTGAGCCTCCAGGAGGGTGAAAATGGCCTCCCCAGGCTCCTGAGGCGCGTTTTTTGCACTCCCCGAGCCTTTGTGCACGCCCTGCACTTACCTGCATCCAAAAGGGGCCGCGTGGGGACTCCTGGGAGAGGAGGGGTGGACGGGGCCAGCCAGGAGTGGGATTTGGGGGTTCTCCGAACTGCACAGAATCAATAGCTAGAGGTTCTCCCGAAACCCCTGCGAATCCCCAGCGGCCCACCCTTGCTTCTCACCCAAGAAGCTTCTTCGGCTCTGACTGGATGGTTTTTTGGACTAAAACCCTATTGGATCTGAATGAAACTGGCCCGGGAGAAGCCCCCTCGATAGAAACACGGAGGTGGGAAAACTCACCACAAATAATAAGGTCAGGAGGACAAACGTGGAACACACGATGATGATGTACCGAGATTTGTACCCGTTCAGCCACTTGGTTCGGTAGATATACTCGGTGTAATAATACACCTGGGAAGAGAACACGACCGCCAACAATTGTGTTTGATCTCGGGGGTTGGGGGCGAGTGTGTGTGTGTGTGTATGGCCAGGGGGGGGCATAGCCAGCATGATGTCACTCGTGCCGGGGGGGGAGCACCTGTGGTGGCCCGAGTGCTCTGTCAGCGAAAATGGGCTCCCGAGCTCCGTTTTTGGCTGTGACACGTCCTGCGATAACAGAACTTGGGAGGGCAGCCCATATGCGCCAGATCTAAGCACCCTGCGGACTGGGATATGCCCCCTGGGCTTTGAGTTCGACACCCCTCCTCTGGGGGCTACCCCTAATTCGAAAGCATCAGAAAACCCTCCATAATTTCTGATACGCCATGCAGTGGTGGGATTCAAATAATTTAACAACCGGTTCTCTGCCCTAATGACCGGCTGGGTGGGCGTGGCCATGGTGGGCATGGCCAGGGGTGTGTGACAGGCAGCACCTCCCTCACGCCCTGTTTTGGGCCTAGTAGGCCTCCCTGAAGCCTCCTAGGAGCGAAAACGGGCCTAGGAAGCCTCCTGGGAGCCCAGCAGGATTAAGAGTCCCTGTTGGGCCTAGGAGGCTTCCCTGCACTTACCTGGGAGCCAAAATGGGGCACATGGGGACTCCTGGAAGGGGCAGGGTGGGGCAGGGCCAGTTTGCAATTTAAATACCGGCTCGCCCGAACCGGTTGAATTTCACCACTGATGCCATGGTGCCAACATTGAAGTTCTCCAGATGTTTCAGAACTTCATTTTCCAGACCCCCCTGGCCACCATAGGCAAGGTGGGCTGGGAACTGGGGTCATCGTAGCCCCCCCAAATCTCTTGAGGGGGCTGGTGGTTTGTAGCAGGACGGGGCGGAGAACCCAGATGGCCAATTGGCAGGTCCCGGAGTCTTCCCTCTCCTCCCCTCAAGCCAGCCCCAGCCTGGGCCTTACAGCGTTGACCCCTGTGAATTGTTGACCGGCCATCAGGAGGATAACATAAATGATCTGCTTCCGTAGACCTTTGTATCTGAGCCGGTTCAACACGCTCAGTTCTTTTTCTTCCATCTCAGCTATATCTTCTTGATGAAGTTCCTCGATCTCTTCCTGAACGTCCTCCTTGGCTCGTAGGACCCTCAAGACTGTGGGGGACAGGAGGGGAAAACGGGCAAAAAGGACGCCCCAAAAAAACATGTTAGTAGACCTACTACACCAGGGGTCAGCAATCTGCGGCTCTGGAGCCGCAATGTGGCTCTTTCACCCCTCTGCTGCGGCTCCCTGTCACTCAAAATATCACTCACAGCTGCCAATGTGTGACACTTGCCAGCACGTGATTTATTGAGCTTTTCAACCCCCGATAGGCCAACCATGGATAAATCCACGAGAAGAAAAGTTTCAGAAGAAAACAGAACGTTTAATTCGATTACATATGCTAGTTTTGTGGCTGCTCAAGAAATAGTCAGGCACGGGAAGGTTTTTGTGGCTACCGGTGTTTTCTTTTCTGTGGGAAACGGGTCCAAATGGCTCTTTGAGTGTTTAAGGTTGCAGGCCCCTGTACTATGCAAACGTTCAAAACCCAGCCCACATCATCAATAGCGATAGCGAACCCTCTGCAACAATCCAAATTCTTTCTGAGACCAGTTATGGAACATCTTGAGATGTTTGTATCTCGTGGCTGAATGGGATCTGGCTTCTTGGGACCGAAACATCTGTCTACTCCACTGCTCGAGCAGCAGACCCTTACAGAATCATAGAATGACAGGGGCTCCCTCCAAGAAGAGGGAGTCAAGCTATTCTCCAAAGCACCTGAAGGCAGGAGAAGAAGCAACGGGTGGAAACTAATCAAGGAGAGAAGCAACTTAGAACTAAGGAGAAATTTCCTGACAGTGAGAACAATTAACCCGTGGAACAACTTGCCACCAGAAGTTGTGAATGCTCCAACACTGGAAGTTTTTAAGAAGAGGTTGGATAACCATTTGACTGAAATGGTGTAGGGTTTCCTGCCTGAGCAACGGGTTAGACTAGGAGACCTCCAAGGTCCCTCCCAACTCTGTTATTCTGTTATTATTATACCTTGTCTTGCTTTCTCCTCGTTCTTCCTCTGAATCAACAGGAAGCGTGGACTTTCGGGGAACTTGGGCAGGATGAAGAGCTGGAACACTGCAAGAATCCCAGTTAGACTCAGCAAGATGGCCCATTCTGCGTCAGGAGAAGAAACCAAGTCACCAACATGGCCCCATCCCTGAACCCTGGCTAGATATCCCAACCTGCCCTTCCGACTTACTTTTATGGGAACCTAGGAGCTCATGAAGGCCAAGGATCTGCGAGAACAGGACCCCGCTAGCAACGGCAACCATCGCCATGGTCATGATGCCCCCTCTTAAATTTCGGGGAGCGATTTCGGCAAGGTACAACGGTACAGCACAGGAGAGGATCCCTGGTTTAAAGTGGGAGACAGAGAGGAGCCTAATGATCTTTGGGTGAAGTGGGAAACAGAGAGGAGCCTACTGATCTCCGGGCGAAGTGGGAGACAGAGAAGAGCCTACTGATTTCCGGGCAAAGTGGGAGACAGAGAGGAGCCTACAGATTTCCGGGCGAAGTGGGAG